AAGTAAATTCAGTTGCTGAAAAATTCAAAACCAACCCTTTGAGGACCGTTGTTCATATAAAATATTTTTCTTAAAAATATTTCGCCGTCCACTGTATGTTCATGATAATTAAATTAAATCAAATATATTCAGTGACGTAGTTATGTGGAAGAGTAGTTATCTTGAACATCGCCACTTCATAATAGATATAATCTATTGTGATGTAATTTCAAGAGATATACAAAAATGTATTCGCGTTGTTTCTCAAAAACTAACGGTCATAGAAAAAGTATAGTATACAACTCGTTTGGTAAGCTTTGACTCACTTGCCGTTTACCAGGCTTGTGGCATAATATACTGTTTGGTTTGGGCTTGGGTTCTTGTTAATTTGTTGTGTTTTTATTTGAGTGACATCGTTTAAATAAAATATTTTAAAGATGTGTAGAAGGTATTTTATTCATAGCTTACTCATGGCAGCATGACATTGACAGCAAGCAACTAAATTATTTTTCCAACTCAATGCTTTACATTTTTTTTTAAATTGGAAATTGTAAGTTTTATCAAAAATTGCAAGAGACAAAATAGTTTCTTAACAAACCCGTGTATCGATTTTTTTCCTTGTAGTTGCGTAAATGTTTCTTCAAATTTATTTAAGAATGATAGGAGTAATCTAATCCTATATTCTTCACTTATTTTTTTTCCGTAATATTTGTTTTATCTATCTTCATTTAAAAAAAAACGGGTAAGATGACTGATTTTCGTTAAAAATTCTAAGTATTTGAAGGTTTAAAGCAAAATACTGTCTTGTTGTTTGTCAAAAATAATATATTTTGAATTAGCTGTGGCCTTTTTAATTCTACGTGATGGTGTATTTTTATGAACGAATTTTGTACAGTAATTGGTTCTGTCTTTTTCAGAATGCCGGAGAATAAGAAAATATCGGATCGCCGATCTCGGAGTGACAGGGTTAATATAGAGGCAGCCATCAATGAGGTTTTAGAAGGCAAATCTGTCAACAGTGTAGCGGAACGATTTTCAATTCCTGAAGCGACGTTAAGAAGGTACGTCAATAAGAAAAGAAATGGACAAGATTTACCTGTTCATGGTGGAAGATTCAGAGGCACCTTTTCAGAAGAACAATATAGAGAACTTTATAATTACACAAAAATTGTAAATGAACGTGCCGTTGGACTTACATTTCTTCAACTGAGAGAAATAGCATATGAATATTCGGAAAGAAACGAAATTCCCCACCGTACCCCACAGGACTGAAAAAGGGATGGCCGGAAAAGATTGAACTGCTGGATTTGCCAAAAAATGGAAATTAAGCTTGCGAAAACCAGAATCTACGTCTTGGCAAGATTAGTGGGATTTAATAAAGCATCAGTCGGCATCTTTTTCGATATCGTTAGCGAACATTATACAAAATACCACCCGAATGCATTTATAATGCAGATGAAAGTGGTGCCCACCAAAATTCCCAAAGTCTTCAGTCCACGTGGAAATAGAAGAGCGGCAAAGGTACTTTCAGAGGAAAAGGGCCGGTGGCCTGCTGGTAATTATGTTCCACCTTTTTTTGTTTTCGGCAGAGTCCGAACTTCGTCATGCAGCACGAAGAAAAATGGATGGATGGATTCGGAGATATTTCTAAAATACCTGAAACACTTCAAGCAATACACGAAATGCTCTCCGGATGAACCCATTTTACTTTTTGTGGACAACTATCGTAACCGCGTTACTCTTCTGGCATTATAATGGTCGGATTTCCCCCACATACAACCCATCGACTACAACCTATGGATGTGTCATTTTTTGGTCCCTTAAAAACCCATTTTAGTCAGGAGTGCGACTTGATTAAATTAAAAGAAGCAAAAAAGATAAAAAATTAAACAATTCACAAAGGCAAGTTTTTAGCTGGGTACAGTTCAAAACTTCCAAGTAGTTTAGTCCTATCGGAGAGTAAAATTCATATTCCACGTATTTTTGACAAGACGCAAAATCGGGTCACACAAAGTGTCTTGTTCAACATCTTTGAGAGTTCAAAAATTACTTGCTCACTTTTTTAAGGAGAGAAAAAATCGCGCTTCTTTCATCATTGATACCAATAAATCTATATGGTTGAAAAGGGCTCGGCACGGGCATTTTTTTAAGACCACAGCCAACTATGATTGCCATATAAAATAAGAAAGTTATACTCATTTATGAGAAAATAGAAAACTGTAAAAAAAATCTGAGTACGTAATGCATTTGCCTTTAAAAAAAGCCATAATAATATTTCGTTTCCCACGAATCCGCGCCACTTCGGACATTTCTGGGATTTTACCGCACGGCTTTGGAAGCAATCGGGTGTTTTCGGAGACATTTCCAACGCTTTGATTGTTGACGTTTGTCAAATCTGACAGTCATGTCAGTGAATGTATTCGTGTATACTCAAAAACTAACGGTCGTAGAAAAAGTATAATATGCAACACGTTCGGTAAACTTTTTAACACACTCGTTTATTAAACACTCGCTCCGCTCACGTCAAATAAACTCGTGAGTCAAATGCCGTTTGCCGCACTTGTTGCATAATATACTATATTATTATTGCCTTGGTAATAATAGTAGATCTTAAGTTGTTCAAAATATTCCCTACTCGTATAGATCCCAGCTAAAACTCCAATTACGACCACCATGACATATGTAATATTTCCAGTGTTAGACTATCCAAAACTTTTTATCAAGAATAGCTTTTTTTTCACATTACTTATTATAAAAACTACTAAACTAGGTTGTTTTCAGCGTTTTATAACAAACAAAATTAAAACACTTTCCATATTTTAAGAGGCTGGTGGCCAGCAGTGGGGCCCAGTATGATTCGTCAATTATTCTCGAATCACCCACCTTCTATTCATTTTCTCTGCTTTTCTCTATTTTTGATAAAAAACAAACGATTCACTTTAATAATACAATATATTTTTCACTAATACAATAAATAACAATATGTTATGTACAAGTTCAAAATAAATCCCCTAGCGTAGTTCGTTTTGATATAAAATATGTGCAATATCTGTCACAACACTACTTTTGCCTCGAATCGAATTTTTTAAACTATGTACAGGAGTGATAAAAGTGATACTAATCCCAGACCCAGACCTCAAGTTAAACTAGGTCGCGACTAACGACGGCATAACCTTATTCCTTTAAGTCTTACCAAATTAAGCATGTATGACGCTGTCTAGCGAGTTTTCAGGTTAAGCCAGTGTATTCCGCAATGAATGCGTAAAAAATCAATCCTAAACTCGTGAAAATAATTACGTTCCTGCCAAATATTCATTGGTAAAATGTCACTCATTAAATGGAGAGCGTTATCTCCTTCACAAAATGAAATCTTGTCATTTTGGAATCGGCAGTACCTGGATATCAACCATGCAAAATGTGCGGCGACTGCTATTATGCAATAGCGATTGGCCAATAGCCTGCGTCTGATTCTTAGATGAAGGCACTAAATACTGAATGATGTGTTGATGATAACAGAACGACTGCTGGTTTTGGTTTGGTTTTGGTACGTACGATAGAAGTGTCAATTCCTGAGTATAGCCTTGAACAAATATACATTATGAACATACATATTTTAAATCTGCGTCGTCCTTTAAACGGTACCAGAGTCTCGTCAATGGTGGCATGCACTCCGATTAAATAATTTTTTGACAGTTTAGAATAAAGATTCTGAATACCAGTCACGCTTGTGATGATTTGAAAATAGAACAGAGCAAAAAAATGCAAAACAATGAATTTATTTCATGAGAAATGGTGTTTTTATATGGCGCAGAGTTTTGATTTTGTACTTTTAGTCTTATTGTTTCAAGTTTGGTGTTTACTACAGGGATGATAAACAAATCCCAGATCTGTCTAGCAGTTGCTTTGTTTTCAAGAGCTCGCGCAGTACCATCAGGCTGACAGAGTCGAACTTTTATTATATTTCTTCTGATGTGAGGATTGTCGAATCTGCAGTTCGCTTCTATTAGAACCTGCTCTTCTTCATTATATACGTCATCGTCAAAGTCGGTATTCGGTTCACTTGAAACATATGAATCTTCTGAGTCAATATCACTCTCACAGAGTTGTAGATTTAACAGAACATGAAATCAGGTTTATGGCCGCCTTAGTCGCCCGAGAATCTTTGTTAGATTGTGGAAAAATAAACTCGAAGAAAAAATTTCAAAAAACATGCCCAATTATTCGGAGAAATTAAAAACGGTTGGGCTATCATTAGTAAAGAAACTATTGTCAATATAACAATATTGGTCCAAATATTAACTGTAAGGACTCATCCATCCATCCAGAAAGTTGCTTTAATTTTGTACGATACTGTGGGTTAAAAAGCAGTTTAGATAAAATACACCTTTTTTATAAGTATGTCTTTTGATGTCGTTTTTTCGATCATCTTTTGATATTTAACACAAACCAAACCGAGATATTCAAATTTCACGTGAAGACGGGTGCGAATGATGAAAAAGTACGTGGGACATGTGGCTTATCATTCGATAGACAAGCGCTGGGAGGAGTTCGGCTCTTTGGAAGTGTTGTAGATGTTGATTTTAGCAAGTCCGTTATTAAATCTAAGCCTTTGCTATCCTTTTCGGCAATTAACTTAATTATTTCAGCGCACATATCGGTTTCTTTTTTGTAAAATTGTCGCGTGAACTTGGCTTTACTTATTTCTGGACCTTTCTTCTGTCTCTCGGAAATCTTCAGTATATTGTTGCCATTTTTCAATTAACACTTTTACAATTAGCTCCCTTAGCTGTGTTGATTCCTATTTACTTTAATTTTTTTCGTGTGCTTTAAAAGTGTCATTTTTTCAGAAATTGTTCTACTTTTTAAAATTTTGAATACATCCAAGTTTCCATTGCGTCTCTGCAGTTTTTTCTATTGATTTTCTGTAGGATTTTTTGCGTCATCGAGTTTAGTTACTTTCATCGGTCATCCCTAAACTTAATGTTTGGGCAACGGTTTGTTTTTTTTTTGTTCTCTGTGACGGAACTTCGGGATTTGATGTAGGCCACGCATCGGCCACCATTTTGTCGGCTAGTTTTTGCGTGGAGGATCGACAAATTTTTGAAATTTTTTTTGGGACCTAAAAAACTCTATTTGGTTGAAAAAAAAGTTGTGGCATGAAATAGCGGGATTTTAGAACTGAACTGAGCGCTCAGTGTCTCTCTAATGATTAAACAAAACTAAATTAAACATTTTATGATTCATTCATTTTTTGCACATTTACTGCGGACCACCTTGTATAGCACGGGTTGCGCAGCACGGGCAGATAAAAATCAAAACCCCATAACCCTAACGAATTGAAAAATTAAACAAAGGTATAAAAAAACAGGGCTTCCCTTTTTGGCACTAATTCTAACCTAGAACTAACACAGACTGCTAAAACGATATGTCCAGATTATTTTTCTCAATATAACGTCGCCTGGCCACCGCAATGAGTAGTTCTTTCCGTTCCTGGAACGATTTCGTACGTTCCGACGCTGTTTTACCGAAGCTAGTGGCGGCGGTGCTTAACGGAACTACGTTCGAGACGTTTGAAAAATTTAAGGAGCCGGAGGATTTCGATGCGGACGCCCGATGGTGGCTCGAAGAAGGAGACGGTTGCGGAGATTCGGGAACGAATTGAATCCTTCCTTCCAGGATATTGGTGATCGTTGCGTCGACGCCTCTGGTGACGACTTGAACGGACCGGTATTAACGGGGTGGACAATTTAAAGGTGATATCGTAAGTTTTTCATAGAAGCTTCCACAGGCTATGGTAATACTATTTAAAAATCTTCTGGACTTATCAGTAATCCAACTAGCCTTTAATAAAAAACAGAAAATTAAGAGGATAGTCGACTGCAACTGGTAAGATTAACGACTTCCTTGTTAAGTCGCAGAGACCATCACGTTATTCCTAATTTTATTAAAATATCCTATCATATTAAAACGTCATCTGCTTACGAAATTCTTCGTAGACCTTAATTTGCTTTATTTTGAAAAGGAATCTTCAAACCCTTACAGATAAAGACCAAATCAATAAGACCCTTCCGTCTCAACATCTTGCAATTGCTCCCAAATTGTCCACATCACATTCAAAAATTTGAAAAACCAACCATAACTCCGAACCAAACTCCTTTCAACTACCAAACGCATCGTCAACATTCTGGGACTGAAAAATCACTTTTTATCCTTAAAAAAATTCAACCTGCAAAATCTAATTTCCCGACATTGTAATTTCAAAAGGCGATAAAGGAAATGGTCGTCATGAACACTGATTATCGCACAGCACATTGCTGATCACATATTAAAAGTTCCTGAGAAATATAATGTCAAAATCAGATTTACCGCTTGTCCAAAAATCACTCAACATCAATCCAAAGACGAAATTGAAATTCCTTTTTAGATACCAGTAGCATTCCATGCATATGCGCCAAAAAATACATTGGAAAAACAGAACAAAAAATATCGCCCGGGCTAAAAGAACGTGAAAAAGCCCTGAGACTGCGACAAATAACCTCATTAAACGAACATTATCACGAAACCGCAAATAACTTGCACTCGAGAAAAAAAAAATCCGAGAATCTATATTTAAAAATTATTATAAAAAAAAAAAATCCATATCTAAACAAGGAAACAATCTTAACCACGACCCGACCCAGGTTCCTGGGTGCCACTGACCGACCACATATCAAAAGTAATTAAGAAATATAAAGTCAAAACAGGATTTACCACAAATCCAAAAATGTCTCAACATCTTCGATCCGACAAAGACAAAATTTTATTTAATTCAGAAGTTTTGTATATAGCATTACAGTAGCCTGTGGAAGTTTCTTTGAAAAATAAACTATATTTCACGTTAACCTTGTTAATTTATGTAAAACGTATGCCAGTGGCGTAGCAATTTCAATTTTAGAATGTTATGTAATATTAATATTTTTAAAACAATAAATATGACATCAAAAAAAAAAATGTTTTTCTATTAGTTTGGTCCCTATAACTCACAACTCACAAAATCTTTGTTGGCCTGTGCTATCGTTGTCGAGCCGCTAAAAACGACAGAGTGGAAAATACATTGTATATTTTAATTTTTATTATTCAAATATTGAAGTAAAAAGACGAAAAAAAAAATAAAAATAAGCCGGGAGTGACAAAAAACAGTCCAAAGAAAAAATCAATTTCTAAGATTATGCGTTAATTTTAAAGCGCCGTTTTTTTTCCTGTTTCTTTAAACTATTTTGGATAATAGAGTTTTTTTTTTAATATCGAAAACTACATCTGCCTCTCACCTAAATCATTATAAATCACGTTAAGCGGTACGTGGGGCAAAACTTCTTTCACTTGGTTCGCCATCCTCAGCAGTTCGGGATTCGGCCTTCGACCATACGAATCATTCGCCCGATTTTGAGTTTGTCTTTGTCGCTCCGCTAGATAGCGTTTTTCCCACTCCGTTAAATCCGCGGCTGTGAAGTTGGACGTATCGATCTGCAAAATTTTCAAAATTTGGAAAGCAGTTCGCCACCGCGTCTCTAACCGGTTGCCAAAAGTCCAGTTATAACAATTGTCCAGTTACGTCATAGCTCGACATCTTTATCTAATTCATAACGGATGTCGTAAATTGACACAGAAATTTTGCTTGTCAGTTTTCAAATCCGTGTCAAAAACCGCGTCAAGATCAATTTTTTTAGCTAAGACATACGCCAGTTACGTCACTGTACGTGACTGCACAACTGCTCCGACTGGACTTTACCTTCAACTCCGACGCGATATTTTGCCTGGCGATTTCCGCGAACTCGTCGTCGGTAAAGCTTTTCTTCTCCAAAGACGGTAAAAATTTTAGTTTGTAGTTGGTAACGGGCGAATACATGAAATATAAAACGTTGCTCAAGTACGACGATCCGATCTTCGAAACCGATATATTCAAAAAAGGCCTTTCGACGGTAACACAAATAGGTTGCAGTTTAGTAAGAAACTGAAAATATTTCGAATTGAATTTCAGCAGGGCTCTTCCATTCGTGGGCTTTTCTTCTAAAAATCAGAATCATTTTAGCCGTAACGTACCGGATCGTAAACTAGAATCCCAGATAGCACACGACATTCATTGGATACGCCAAATTAGTCCATACATTAACCATGCAGAAAATTCTCCGATAGTTCAATGGACTATTATTTTCGTACAACTTCCGGATATCATTTAAATATTCACTATCAGATTAGATAACACATTCATATAAAATTCAGGAGCCATGTCTCAGAGATTAATTTTATTATTATGCTAGTTATAGAGCAAAGCATAACCAAAACCTAATTTTAAGGATTATATGAAGGTTTTATTTTAAATTATTTGTAGTGCTAATTGAAGACTAACCTCACGTCAAAATTTGTAAATTAAAATCAAAGTGATATAGTCACACTCTGTAATGTTACAGTGGATTTATTCGTACGAATTTATTACTAGTATGGTTTAAAAACTTCAAAATTTGCATATTTATTTGGTAAATGTTTCTTAAAAGAACAAATTTGTATTTCAAAAGAATTATATGTACGTAATCCAAACTTGGATTCCAAAACGACTTCCAGAAGTGTGACACTTGACATTTTTCGAGTTTAATGGATATCCACAAGCTGGCGCTATTGCGAATCCCGGATATCCCGTGGACTTGTCATTTGTTCAGAACACATCCTACCGCACCATAAATTGTGGCGTTTATTATTATTATCCGGTAAACACGAATGTTTGTATTTGAAAGTGTCAGAGTGAGACAGAGATGTTTTGAAATTTGACAGGAAAGTACGGCTTAATGTTGTATCAGAGGACGGAAGAGGAATCGAACTTCTCAACACAACCTTCAAAGTGACTTTCGATGGAACCATTGCACATGGCGGACGTTGCTCCTGCCCGGTTCCAAAATATTTATAGAAATCGGTCGAAATTAGTGTGGTTTAAAGAAAATATTGTTACGTATAGTCGTTATCTGACGTGATAGAGACGTAGTGCCTATAAGTTTGGGAAATAGTGTTCGTCTTACGTGGATGTACACGGATTTGTGATGTGTAATTCCGTGAGGTGTATGTAAATACGGTTTCCGAATGTCCTATATTCACGCTGGTAACCAGGCCGGATGGGATCGGATATCCCGTATAAGATGATTGCTGGAGCCGTTTGAAGAATCGGTCGTCATTTTATGACAATTTATTTAGAAGTTGTTTCCATTTTTGTATACATTAAATAGCCTGGAGGATGATAGATTGGTCCAGACCCTTTTCTTAAGAAGGCATTCTTTAGGATATCTGAATAATGTGAAAAATTGTGTAAGCTCGCCGAATGACCTTATGCAGTCGTGGCCATTAGAAGTAAAGAAGAACCTTCAAAGTACTTTAGAATATCTTAGTGGAAAAAACCAAACCATATACTGAAGAAACACTTGACGACTATCAATGTAGATTCAGAACTGGACGTTCAATATTGGAGAGATTTTTCACTAATAGACAGATAATGGAAAATTGCTGGGAATATGAGTTACATCAAATGTTAATAATAGACTTCAAACAGGCATTTGATAGAGTATGTTAGAACGAAACTGTCGCCAGCAATATGCAAGAACTTGAATTCTTCAAAAAACTGGTCAGTCTGATAGAATGGGTATGGAAAGCGCCCAATGCAAAATTACGATAGGACAACAATACTCACAGCTATACTCAAACAATGGTCTAAAGCAGGGAGATGTATTTTCTCCACAACTCTTAAATATAGCTCTTTAGCATATAAGGAGAGCGAGAATTGAGGTACCAACTTCAGTATTGCGTGGAAAAGGTCCCGATCTACTATTGTCTTGTGCAGACGATAGGAAATAGAAGAATAAAGACACAAGCCACAAGATCCAGAACAGAGATGGAATTGGTCAGAGTATAGAAGAGTTAAAGAATTCAAATATCTTGGAACAACCATCACTAAAGACAACATCGGATCGCACGAAATTAACAACAGAATACAAGCGGGACGCAGATGTCTCTATGCCCTTCAAGATTTTATAAGATGGAAACAACTTACCAGACTAACCAAGATCAATCTATATGTAACAGTGATAAAGAAAGTAGTAGAGACGATGACTGGCGCAAACAAAGAACAACTGAAGAGAAAAAAGAACTGGAAGAGCTTTTCACTATAATCTTATTCACTTTTTTTGTCCGGCAATATCACATTTACAACTGAACTACTTGCAAAAACATATTTTTAAATTTGGACAGAAGAAAATCGTATCAAGCCACTTACTATTTCATTATTTAACAACAAATTTGACAAAACAAGGCCACTCTTTATTTGGACCGTAACGACGAAACGCGCGCTTCGTTTGTCTTCCAATGGCTTAAAGTGTGCTATTTGGGATGTAATGTGTTTGGCCCATATCTCATATATTTACCAGAGGGATCAACCACTGCGCGTCAATACTGAAATCCGAAATTCTCAAACGTTATAAGACGGCGGCTGACGTCATCATTATGTTAACCATATTAAATAATATAGTGGTCCTATCACTACAAATCCCTACCTTATAATCTCTAATATACTTCAAAATATTGTTCCGGAATATTATTTAAAAAGGAATGCAGATAATGGAAATAACATATTCTTCAGACTTATTACTGGAACTGGAAATATGGAGAAGATGAGATGTCTACCACAATTTTACAAAAACCGGTTAATTTTATTGTATGCCAGCTTCGATTTTTGCTTAATATTTAACGCTAAAATTATTTCGCTACACAAGAAGGATGATAATAAAGTTGTGCTGAATTCTCGTCCTATTTCATTTTTATGTTCTAAAATCTTATAAAAATAATAACTCTGCAAATGATGGATTAAGAAATCTAAAATAACATTCTTACAAACTCCCAATATAATTTTAGACAAGGCAGAGACGCCTGTGATTGCCAACCTCTTCATGATTTACTTCGAAAAGAAAGCAATAGAGAAGGCAAATCTGAAGCCAAAATTATGGACAAGATATGTTGAGGAAGTATTTGTTGTATGGCCTTTTGGCAAGGAGAAGCTTTTGAAATTCCTAGAACATCTGAGTTCCATTCATCCAAGGATTGAATTCACTATAGAACTTGAAGATTATAACAGTCTGCCCTTTTTAGATGTGCACATCACAAGGACCGAAGATGGACACTTGGAACACACTGTCTATAGAAAACCAACACACACCAATAGATATCTGAACGCTAAGTCTCATCAAGTTTATTAAAATTTGGATTTGTCTTAACTTGAAAATAATACGCGCTGCGAATATGGTTAACATAATAAATTTTTGTATTAAAATTCAATATAACAAATCCTAATGGCCAATCTCAAATCACAAAACAAATTCTTTTCATGGGGGTATTTTAATAGGGAAAGGCATTAAGAAACTATTATCTTAAAATAAAAACGCCTTTGAATGATTTTCCCATTTAAATTTTTTGTCTTTTTTTATTTGGTTTTTGACCACTTTACATTAATTCATTTTTAAAAGATCAACGAGGACTACTAGAATAGCCCTTCTATAAGTAAATAAACACCAAATATATAACAAATGCTTCAGAAATTAAGGTATAGGATATTATGCTTTTATGTTTTAGCTGCTTAACTAGAAAAATATAAATATTTGTAGAAATATCAGTGGCGCACATTTTTTGTTAAAAATATTCGATGAAGTGCCTCATTCATCCTAAATGAACCTTTTATCACAACAATTTGATTGTTCCAATAAAATCGGTCAAAGTTCACATGGAAAAATTTCCATATTTTCATGTCACCTCTTGAATTATTCAAACGTTAAATATGTCAAGAAAATTCCGAGAAATTCAAAAATACCCTAAAGTACAGGGTGGTCTATTTAAAATATTTAACAATTTTTTAAAGAAGTTTTGTGATAAAAGTTTGCACTTTCCACGGATTTTTTTAGATATTTTTTTATTTCCACAATTTCTTTTAAATTTAAATAAAAACATTTTTTTAGTTACTTACCACTAGCTAAAGTTTTGGTGTTAAAAATAGAAAAATTGGAGTGATTTTTAATAAACTTGCCAGATTTTCGGTTAATGTTGATGTATATTACAAAGAGAGCTAATTTTTGCAGGCTATCACAGAAGTTTAATTTGAACAATCACTGATTTGAACAACACTATCACAATTTTTCATAAAGTGGTTAACCCCTCCGACTTACCTAAGTCAACCAATAAGTACCTGGGCAGAAGTGAACCGGTATGCGTTTTTTTGTAAACAAAACTTCTATGTTTTTCTTAAAACTCTCAACATTCGATAAACTGCCAAAATCCTTTGTTCCAAATCCCACCACACTTTGCAATGTAAATGATTTTGAGGGCTGCAACAGAGTATTTACATTTATTTACACAAATCGTATGAATCTTTACTCAAATAAGTGGCATAAATGACCTCTAATTCTAATGGAATAAAATTACAAAACAGAATGACAAAATAATCAGTGAAAATAACCTAGTCCTGACCACTAGCAGCAAAATAATTTTGAAAAAACTTTAAACTGGGATAAAAACTTACCGAAACTGATCCCGTAGTTATATGTACAACCAGCTGATCAAAAATCGATGTATGGTTGGTGATATAAAAATCCACTTTCTCCAACTGCTTAGGATTATCCACGGATATGGAAATTCCAAATGACAGAGAGGCCAATTTATTCAGCAACTTTTCGGTAAATGGAGAGTCGGGAAACGTTTGATTAACAATTATAAAACACAATACAAAAAAGCCTCTGATTATTAACAATATTAGACCAATTGGAAAATATAAAATTGAAAATATGGCTCTAGCACCAAAATCTTGAAACCTGCAAATATAAAAAATCATTAAAGTAAGTGAATACCTCAAATCCATTACCTGCTGAATTCAAACAGTTGTTTAATTTCCAAATTCGACATTTTTTCCAAAAATTGAACTTGAAGAAAGTCAATTTGTATTCATAATCCACCATAAAGGTTATACATCTACATAAACTCACTAAAAATATTAGTGAATTTAACCCTAAAAATATAAAGTGATATAAAGTCTTACATAAATAACCCAAAAAGAAGTTACAATACCCCTCATAAATGAATTTTATAAATAATACTTACACTTTTGTCTAAAGGCCAAAAAAACATTAAAAAAATATTATACCCATAGACAAGTTTGGAAATTCGGTGACATTTGATTTATTCATTTCACGGAATAGTACGGTAAACGCTTTGATTTGTAGTGGTTCAGATCACACCAGGTCGTAATTTTCAAAAATATGAGATACTTATTGAGGATTCACATACCGATAGAGTGCTCCATCCCAAAAAATATGGACATTGTCTCATATCTTATAATTAGTGTCATTCTGTGGGTGGCATTGCATTTCTACCTTCCTACAGAATTCGCTGTTTCTAGGCATAAACCGATTGATGATCAGTCTCTGTGGTGCTTCTTCAATTTAAAAGTGTGGAGAAAATATTTTTTTGTGAAATGCATGAGTTAGTCTGTAACCAACAGCAAAATCATTGAATATATGTGAAAAATTAAGAGCTGTTATGAAACAAACTATTATACACAATTTATTTAAAAAACTATGTCAATATATAACCTAAATTTGTCCTATGTGTAAGATAATTCCGCTAAAGTTAGTGTTAGAGAATACATAAATTAAAATAGTTAGTAAATATTGGATTTTATTTAGCACTTAAAACAAACATCCTCCTTTGAATGGATTCTGGTATTAGAATTATGGATTTCCCACAAGTTATTACATGCGTGGTAAAAACAATTTTGTTTAAAGTTTAAATTTAGAAATAACCTTTAAAAACACAATTTAATCAAAACGATTAAGCGCACTGCTCAAAAAAATTGCTTTGTATCTACTATCAAAGAATTACATGCATTTTTAAGAGCACAGATGGCATCGTGTGAACCAAGCTCCAGAATCCTCAACGGATGTCGGAAATGGGCGAATGTTCCAAGCAAATTTTTTAATTTTCGAAAGGAATTGAATAATTTGGAGTTATGCCAAACTTGTAACGATAGTTTATGCTGAGGTTTAATTTTCTTTAATAGAAATAAGCTTTGTATGCTGTTTATTCCTTGCTTTATTAAAATAACTTGTTTCTTGGATTTAGAAGAAGTTGTTCAATAGTTTGTGCATATTTTTTTGAAGAAACCTACAATGGAAAACTCGACAGCCCAAGATCCAAACTGCATTAATTATATGACAGACAGTGATCATGAAAAATCGGAATTAGAGTAATATCTTTTGTTGTGTTTTGTTTGCTTATTGTTACTGATTCTTTTCTGCTTTACAAATTATTGCCAAGTGTTAAAAATGTACCATTTTAATATTAGGTTGCCTCCAGACTTGGTAACTGAAGACAAGATGAGAAGAAGGTTACAGTTTTTTTTCATGAATCCAATAGAAAAGTGGCACGCAAAAAGACGTTTTCCCTACAAGTTTATCGTTCAAGTTGTGAAAATTGTTTTGGTAACCATGCAATTGTGTTTGTTCGCGTCAAGGTTTGTAAACATACTGCTTTTTTTTTTACATCTAGTAATATTTTTTTAGCCGATATAACCATGTAAGTTACACCTGGGATAATAGGATAACCTTTTCGCATTTATTTTTGAAAGGATGGGACACTACAAGAGAAGTGAATTCTTATCCTCCTTCCGTAGGTCCTCTTGCCATATATACAGAAAAGGATTTCTTTGATACAATTGATTATGCTTACAAAGGCTATTCTTCTTTGAGTACATCGGTGGGTAAGTTTTTGAATTTGGATTCTTAAGACCCAAATTAGTTTCAAAATAAATAGGTTAGTGTTAGTGCTTAAAAAATTAGCTTGCCCATTTTCTCTACATAAATAAAATGAAAGTAATATCTAATCTGCTAACAGTAGAGTTGATGGCCTAAAAAGAGTCCTTTTCAACAACTCAGGGTTTGATGAAACCTGTTCAGCCATTTTGCAATTATTGACAATTATTTCTAAAAATGTTTGAACACTCTCCACTCTCCTTCCCAATTTATCTTTATTTATTTATTTATAATGTACACCTATATCCAGCAGTTTTTGAAATATTTGATTGCCCCGAATTGCTTAGGAATGGTGATATAGGCGATGACTGTCAAAAAAAGCGATGCCAGTTCTGCAGTGAGAACAACCTTCTTATTTTAAATGAAACAGCCTGGATATTTTTCCTTTTCCAGATAATAGCTTTCTCAAATTTTGATACCTAAAAAAATGGAAATCCATTTGATGAAATTGAAAAAATTTGGACTTTGTAGTTTGTAAAAACTTTATAATAACGCGTGTTTACTGCCTCTCCAATACTTTTTCAGATATTTGCTATTTCAATTTAAAATGTAAACTAAAAAAAATGAACTCAAAGTGTGGGACAGCGAGTGAAAAGTACCTATTTAAAATGCCGCGGGGCATGACACTAATAAAAAATAAAATAAAAACAATTTCTCCTTATACATATGCAGGTATTTAACAATTTTAGTAAAATAAACATATTCAAGTGACATATTTTCAGTACGTATACTGATCAAATAACTTAAAACACATACTATATAGTACAATAAATACAAATAGTGTAAAATAAAGGTGATCTGATTGCTACCTTACCTGGTCATTAGCGCCTATCCAGTTTTCGCCTAAGTTTTCATCTAAGTGTTCACATAATATGCTGGAATTATGAGAAAATAAACATTACTAAATTTTTTTTTTCATATTGACACTTGAACCCTATTATCAAAACTATTAGAGCCATCTAAGAGCTACTCAATTGTAGTCATACTTTATTTATAAAAAATCTCTAAATTTGTGCTAGTAATTTGATTAACACTCTTAATACTAATTTAATCTTGTATCGTGTCCCATTTTACAACTTTTAAAAGTGTAACAATTTGTTATACCGATTTTTGTTGTTTATTTTGAGTTTTAGTCCAGTTAGTTAATAAAAAAAAGAAAATAAATTAAGTAATACATTTGCTATTGCCTTGCTTCCCGTCGCGCTGTCAGTCTATTTGTTTTAATTCCATTTTTTCTATTATTCTGTTATTTTTATGTTGGCTCCATTCCGTTTCCATTCAATCAATGTATATTTTCTATATTTGTACTAATCAACTATTTTGATTTTGTCATCGATTTTGAATTATAATTAGGAAAAATATGAGTTAGGGATTTTAATTTTTTCAATTTGGAAAGTTGCAGCAATTTTGTTTCAAAACTCATTCAAATCATATTTAATAATTTTTTCGCGTTACATTTCCATTAGATTAGCGTAGCGAAAAAATGACCAAAAGATAAAGCGAAATGGCAAGGACAAATTAAGTAATGTTATGTTATTTGTCTAAATGCATTCTAAAAGGTTTTCTTTAAATAATACTCGCATATCGTTCAAATAGTTATTATTCGTTTTATGTACAGACTAATTTTTGATAAACGAACTTGTTGATAATTTTCTAAATATAACCAAGCACGTGTGAACTAAGATTCCTTTACTGTTTTCGGAGTAAGTAAATCGGCGAAGACGCAATGATGGAAGCTATTTTCTAGTTTCCAAAAATGTTCACCAGGGGGTTTAATTGTTATCTTGAATTTCAAAACTACGTTTTTACCTACAAAAATTAATGCTAAGGGTGAGAAAGATTCAAATCTTGTTTGTTTAATGTTGTTTGCTCTATCTGGGCAAGAAAAGTTTAAAGATACGGAAATAAAATGTCCTAATTGTAGCCAACCTACATACCGGTGCGTTACTGAAGTCATCATTTGTAATGGAATTCACTTTTGAGAACTTTCATGAGAATTTATTATTCCGTTTTGTATTGCTTCCGTCCAGTTTACAGTTTAAAAAAATTTGGTTAGTTAAATGGCTTTTGCTACGTGATATTCGTTTTGATATATATTATATAATTATTAAAAATGTAATTTGATTTGGTTAGTTAAATGGCTTTTGCTACGTGATATTCGTTTTGATATATATTATATAATTATTAAAAATATAATTAGGTAGTCAAATTACCCAACAACACAGTAAAAACCGCATCTCATATCTTTATCCTAACCTAAAATATGATTTACAGAACTTAACGTTCAGAAGTCCAAAGAAAACGAGTCGGAAAGCAACCCCACAGTTACTACTATGGCCTTTCTTTACATTTTAAACATCACTGACCATATATCAGAAGTTCTTAAAAAAACATAACGTTAAAACTAGATTTACCACTGGCCCAAAAATCTCTCAACATCCACCAAATACATTATCGACTAGGCTAAGATAATATAAAAGAGTTATGCCTTTTTGGAGATATGGAAATTTATTTAAGAAAATATTTGGAAACCGCCCACCACTTTCCTTGAAGCGATAGAGCAAACAGCGTTCAACAAAAAAGATAAGTTACTCATAAAATTCTCATAATAGTTAATGGGAAAACATCATGCAATTTTTCACCCAACCCTTTCATTAAAAGTTTGTTAAGTTTCAATTTTTGCGTTTAAGATAACTGCCAGGTAGGTTTACTTAGTTCAACCGGAAGTTGGTGTCAACTTGTTTATTTCACCTCGTATAATGTATACCTATATCCAGCAGTTTTTGAAATATTTGATCTTGAATAAAAATTGTGCTTTCTGCTTAGTCAACTTTGAAAATAGATAAGATGTTGAAAACGAGTTTTAAGTTCACATTTTTGTAATTTTTGTTGTTTACTTTAGCTTTAAGGGTTATCAAATCCAGGACTTGACTGTAGAAAAACAGTTTTTGTGTTATATTGGTAAAGATGCTAAAAATAATAAGTAATAATTGTATGTGTTCTATTAGACATGGCAACATAGCATGTTAACGTTCCTGCCGTAGAAACTTTAGTAACCTTAATGCAGTTGAATAGAGAGGCAAGTCCAGACCTTGATAACACTCCAAGTTACAGGCCGCCTAATTTTAGACAGTCTGTATAAAAGTAGGCAACTCCTATAACAAAAATGTAAACTTAAGCCTCCTTTTTGCAATATTTCAAAAACATAATTATACATAAAATATGTTTAGAATTTCACACAGAATCTAAAATTGTACTAATATTCGGGGCGGTCCACTTGAAATAAGTAACTTGACACCAACTTCCGGCTTAAGCGAAACTGACAGGACGTTGAAAATATTTTAAAAAAGAAGTACACTTAACGCTTACCTTAATCCTAAAAATTGAAAGGCGTTTCTAAATTAGATCTCAATAAACTTCAGATCTTTTTACCAATTAATTATATTCAAGGAGAACTTAAAATTACATTTTTGTTTGACGTTCCTTTGTTCTGCAAAGCCGTGTATTGTTAATATTTAATTAATTTTAGGTTCTTATTCTTACGCTAACGAAGACAATACGCCCGTTGACATGGTCTTCTGCCTCTATCAGTATAAAGAAGGCATCATATACGGTTTCAACGAGTCCTACATATTTAACAATGAAATTATAGAGTCTTGCATGAATATTTCGAGGCACCAAGTGGGAGACGTTCTCGATTCCGAGACCTTTATGAAGGCGGAACCGGTGAACCTAAGTTTCTCGGCGTTGGTGCGGGCCGATCTGATGTTTTCTTTAAAAACCGTCAATTTTAGAGCCGCCAGCAAGTAAGTATATTTGTTTGTTTTTAATAATTATTTAAAAAAAATGTTTACCAGGACATACACTTACGGATTAACAACGAAAGGGGAATCCGACAGTGGGCCTAGCAAAAATCCCTGTGGCACTCCACAGTTATTTGTAACAATTTCACGTACTGTTTTCATAGACAAAATTGTAAAGAAAAAATACCAAATTTGTTTAAAACATGATTTTTTGAATAGTCCAAAAAGCCGTACTTTTTAAGTGAAGATATCCTGAAAATAGCTTTTAAAATGAACAATTCTTTAGGAAAATTGGTTCAATCACTTGCCATCCATAAATAATGATTTTTTATTTTGCAAGTAAATTTACAAAATTAACAAGTACAAAAATTTAACTCCTCTAAAAATGATACCTTAAATTGATTTTTAATTAAGTTACCTGTTTACCTTCTTTTACAAATTATCTATACTAAATTTATGGATTTAATATAAGAGGTTATCTAATTAGGCTTCAATGGTGAAATAGGCGACGTTGTCGTCTTTGTATTTGATTTTCTCAAGCAGTGGTTTTTATTAGTATTTGTTTACTATTTCCTCAGAATAATTAATTATTAATTATGTCGTTCAAAAATTAATTTCTAGTTTATTCATTAAATCATTAATTATTTAGGTTTTTGTCATTTCTGCAAAAACGGTTAAATTTGGGTATAGGGTGTGGTACTTATGGCAACGTTGCCTATGCCACCATTGGGTCCAGCCCAGTTAGAAGCTTCCAAAAATTCCAAAAATATATTTCCACTACGCGACTTTTGACTAACTGTATATTTACAAGCAGAGTCATTTAAGTTAACACCGTAACTTTTTCAAGCTAACAAGTCTTAAGTCTATGTAATATATAAAGGAAGGTACCCAACATCATAATTAAAACCAATATGTTACCATATTTAAAACGCTAAGTAATGAGACCCATGATATGTTTAATAGGGGCGGTGACTTGTAAAATTCTAAATGATTTAAAAACAAATTTGAATTTTTTAAATTGTTTATTTTCAAAGCTTTTAAACTTTTAAATTGTAAAATTTGAAAATCTTGATTGAATCTGTAAGGCACTATGAGACAATCGCCACATCCCTGATACCTTGATTTTGTTTATTGAACTTTCATTATTTTTCATTAATTTTCTTACAAAATTGATTATATTAAAAGCTATTTTTAGATAATTTTTTCCTAAGAAGTCGGACGCTTATTCACTGGAGTTTCTGAAATTCTGAACAGTTTTTTAAACAGTTATAGTAATCATTTGCAAAAGTCAAATATTGAGATTATTCACATCAACGAAGTTCATCTCATAAGTGAAACATCTCTAGTGATCTTCCAGCGGCGAAAAAGCCAAGTATCTTTAATCTCACTTTAAGGAAAACTAGAATTTTATCCCTACTAGTGTGACAACAGCAACTAGAGTTGTTGTTGTATTTTTTTTTGTTTCAGATCCGTTAAAAATTAGCATAAGAAAAAAAAAACATTGTTACTTTGCTAATCTAATCGACTGCTACTAACCTAAATAAATAACCAAAAAAAAAATTTCAAAAAATCCACTTTGTAATGCGACTTACTTTGTGCTTACACATAGAGTCGGCCAATTGTCACCTCTTTTCCAGGATCTCGGCACCGAATTGCTATAGATTCGATATAACAATTTCGTTTAGTAACGACAATCATGATGGGCAGATTACTCTCGATTTGGACGCGGACGCGACCAGGCTTATGTGTAAAGGTTAGTTTATTGATGGACTGAAGCTTATAAATATACTGGGTGTTATTAAAATATTGTAGTGAATCTGCATCTTGCGCTGATGCCGAAACGATATTTTCATTCTGTTAGGCACAAATTGGAGAATTGCTATGAGGCGATAATTTAACGAAACCAGGTTGGTAAAGGCAAATTTACGAAAGATAATTAAAATAGTATATGAGGCACCATATACCATATAATTATTTAGAAAAATATATAAAAGACTTCGAAAAACGAATTTTTGAGCATTTTCAAACAAATGACATTTCATAGTCTTTCAGTTTAATTTGATATTTAGTATTTTATAAATGTTGGCAGACGTTAAAGCAGAATTTTTTAATTTACAATTTTTTTTTGAACAACAAACTTGATCGCATATGAAAAAGCACCATTTTTACTAAAAAAAACTCTGCTTTGGTGGCATATTCTTGAGTTTTCTGCAAAAAAAGATCATGGAATATTAACTTTTACATTCATGATAGAAGTTTTTCAGATGTCCTAAGTAGTAATGAAAGAAATAATTTGGTATGACTTTTTTGAAATTCTTGTTTAGTGATTTTTTCAGTTCTTATTGTTTCGTTAGAAAGTAGAGCGGTATTATGCCCTGTATACGCTCTCAACTTGGTTAAATAGAAATAAACTATTAGATGTTAACAAATGATTTTCAAATCTCCTAAGATTTTTTCGTTTATAGGTATCAATCTGGCATAATCGATTGTTTGGGGTACTTCTTGTTGCTAATGAGTTCATTCTAAAAATTATCAACCTAGTTCTAATGATCGATTCAAATAGACAATTAAAAGTTATTAACAAGATAATTGCATCACTCAAAATTTTCATGGCACATGGGGCTTTTTGTGTTGGGGTTTGAAGTTGTTTTAATGTGTTCTGCTATTGTTCATTACATTTTAATAAACATCCATTTTAGTTTTTGAAAAAAACTTCCACCTGCTGCAATAATACTATTCACAGATCTTCTGGATTCCTCCTGCATCAGTTGTTGGTGGGTGGCACTTTCTGACCTACCACTCATTACTCGAAAATTCCGTTTACTTCATTTAACAATTATACACTGTTACTCGATATTCTGGTAAGTTTCGACGTAGTTTCCTTCTTTAATCCTGTTTCTATTCATGAAACTCTCAATAAATTTCATATATAAATAAAAATCCGAAAATCTGAAATATAATCTGCGTATTTTAATAAAAAAAAATTACTTGTAACGGTATTTATATACGCTTTTGAGAAGAAAACACCCGACACCATCTAAAACCCAAACTATGCAGGCGCTACGGCAATAATACTACATCGAATTAATATAATTTTAAAAAGAATTCAATTGTCTATCCGTTCCAATAAAGCAAGCAAAGATATCATCCACGTATCTATACCACCATAAAAAGCTTTTCTGTTTCTGTTCTAGTATGATATTTTCCAAATTATCCATAAAAATCTCGGCTAACAAAGGACTAAGTGGGTTTCCCATAATCAAACCTTTAGAGATATAAATCTGTCCATTAAATTCAAAATAATTTTGGTCTAAAGATACTATTAAGCAATCTAATAAATCTTTTTTCACCAATGGGTTAAGAGTTAGGGTAAAATCTACTAAATCTATCACATCCATAGGTGGAATACTGGGAAATAAGTTTTGTACATCAAAAGACAATAGTGTTGCGTTAGAAATGATTTTTATATCTTTAATTTTGTTGATTAATTCAAAAGAATTTTTTATTGCAAATTTTGGTTTAAAATCTGTGTGGAACTTTAAAATATTTACTAATTTTGTAGAGAGTTTAACTGCTGGAGCTGTTACATAAGACACCACTGGTCTAATGGACAAAAAGTACAAAATTAAATTTATTGGAAGCCATGGAGATTAACAAAATGAGACATTCAAATGTATTGCTTAACGATCAATTAGATTTAAATACCTCTCCTTTATTTAACTTAAATTCTCGTAACAACATTAATTAAGGTTTTATGGTCATTTTTCGGTATATATAGTAGCAGGTAGTTTGTAAATATTACATTTGATAAAGACACGGTGTTGTCGAAACAATTGTCATGCCAAAATATATAATTTCGTAAAAATCTGAACTTTTAGTTCTTATTTATTTTGATAAATGGATTTTCATCAAGTAAAAGCCTAATCAGTTCAATAATAACAATCCGAGATTCCATAAAAATCTCTAAACAACCAATCTAAACCGCGACTCGTGTCTTCGCTTTTAACCGATCAACCATCATTAACCATATTCATGTCCCTCCTTCCGCTTCGCCTCCCTCAAACAGGAGAGAATGCGTTCCAGTTTCAGTGAACCTGACGTCCGCAAGCCCGACTCATCAACAACCTGGCGCCGACGTTATCCAGACGATATGTAAATAGCCGTTTTAGTTTAGTTTTTTTTTATATAGTAAATATTTTTTTTATAAACCGATTCATTCCGACCACTTCATTATGTAGGTATTTTTAAGGTGCGCAACTTTTGTATGAAATCTTTCGAAAAAAACCGGTTTCAGTCAAATGAAACATTGGATACCAATTCATTCCTACCATGGTTCTCAAATTTACTGTTTAGTCTAATATCAGATGGCAGTTTCTGTCACCTCTATTAGACTCTAATTCGGCCGGCGCTTAGAAGTTTGATACGCTCCATTTCGTTTCAGGCGACACGAAATATATTACCGACAACGAAATAGCGAACTTCATGCGCAGTTTACTAAACTACCTGGTGATCACCACCTGCGTAATTTCGTTTATTTTGTGCGCCCGGGCAGTGTGGCGCGCCCAGCAACTAAAAAACGCAACCGTGCGCTTTTTCGCCGAGCATTTCGACAAAAAACTGACGATGCACGACAGACACAAGTTCCTAAATATGTGGTACATCATGATAATTGTGAACGACATCTTGATCGTGATGGGATCGGCCATAAAGGAACAGATCGAAAGCGTCGAGTTTACGAGCGACCAATGGAACATATGCAGTTTATTCCTCGGGATCGGTAACATGCTGGTGTGGTTCGGGGTGCTTCGCTATTTGGGTTTTTTCAAAACGTACAACGTCGTTATACTGACGTTGCAAAAGTCTGCGCCCCAGGTGAGCCCTCATAACATTGTATTTTAGAAAGATGTGGAATTTTGTTGGTTTTCATGTCTGCAAATTAAGTAATGCGACTTCTTCTCTGATAAGGATGTTCATCATTCTTCCCATCTCTTCTGGGGTCTTCCTCTGGATCTTGTTTCAACTGGTATATTGTTCTTTACCATTTTTGTTATGTATTTATTCAGAATTGTCTTCGTATTCTATCCCAGCTTGTCACGCCTTCATTTCGCCTTCAAGGTCTTCATTTCGGATACTCGATGTTAACCGATGGTTATGTCTGAATGTTTTCGACTTCCCGGTTTGTTTACTGAAATTGTAGTGTGACAAGGAACATTATCATAGGCCCTTTTTTCCGATAAAAGTGTTGATTGGCCGTTTGGTCTTGAGGTAGAGACTCTTTGTGGACGCGTCTTGGGCCCTGGAGAGATTTTTCTGGCGCTTGGTTTCTGGGTCCCAAACTCGACACCAGTAATGACACGTGTCATTTTCCCAACTGATATCCCTTTCTTCAATCCGAGCAACAGACGATGGAATATTAAAAGTATATGGAGAATTGGAAGAAGATTGGAATTTTTTTAACTTTGCAGCATTACCACATCTACTCTTATCAGACACCAACTTCTTTTTTCTTGAAATGGAATGTATATTATTACATTTTTTGATTCTATGGAATATTCTGAACGTTTCCATGTAACATATGTTGCAGCTCTCTTGAGGTATTTTGGAAACGTCGATTATGGAAATAATTAACTCGACCACATTTACCGTTACAAGCCCAATATTATATTTATATTGTCAATAAAATTAAACCTCAGATCTCTTGCTAAAATAGTTTGCCGTCGTTTTAACTTCCCCCAAAATTCTTTAAGTACTGCTGACTCACTAATCATCGTTCTCGCCCTTTTTTATCAAACTTCTGTTCATTCTTTCCGTCATGCAATTTTGTGCTGGGGTAAAGTCTGTTCATAGATATAAGAAAGTGACTAACTGATACGAATTAAGGAAAGACTCGGGCAAGCTTTATGAACGAAAATTTGGCTGAATAGGTCCTTACTTTGCTTAGAATTTAATTATTTGGGGTTTTGTTAGCAAAGATATCAAACAATATTTATTTATGTATGTATTTATGTTTAAATCTAAAATAAAATTATCAGTTTAGTCAACCCAACGCTTTTCCAGGGTATCATAAGTGTCGAACCAGGTTTCATCCAAGTAAATAATTGGCCTTTGTTGTTCTCTGTAAATCGTAATTTTTTCTAGATAATCCAGTCGCCATTTCCGAATTCTAAAAGATTCCATTAAATCTTGCCTTTTGTCAATTTTTTTAAATCTAAAACCCATGTGTTGTTCTGCCACATTTAACACCGGTTTCATCTTTCATCTTTTTCACGCCTCTTAATTCAGATATCTAATGTAGGCACCCTTTGTTCCTCGTACAACCGGTAAATTTTACGCCGTATTATATCTTGATCACTTCCATCTACACTCGAGAAAATGTCAGCATCGCTTCTTTTTTTTCCTCGCTGAAAGGGGATTATTCACAATGTGGCCGTTTCTTCTAAAGATGCTTGCTTGCTGGCACCACGTTCAATGAGAGTCAAATAAACATTGTTTATAACTTCCTTAGTCTCAATAGAATAGTGTTTTCTACATATTTTGCAGAATTTGCACACGATTCAACACACGCTGTATTACACACGAAATAAGAATTATTATTAATAAACTTAAACTAAGTAGTATACCAAACCAAAGAATATTAAACACAGGTAGGTATAAAATTATTTTCTATTACGGACCACAATTTTACATGAATTTAAATTCCGAAACCTTAGGTAATAATCTTGTTGCATTGTATGTTAATGACCACTCTTGGATAATCCCATTGAAAAGCAATTGGTCACTTTCTTATATCTATGAACAGACAATGTAAATTATTGTATGGTCGAGGATTGTCCCATTCACTCTGCAATACACACATCTAACTTTAGAAATTGTAACTAGACTCTCACAATTTGTAAACATCTCATATATTCCAATTTTATTTCTCATTATTAAGAAATATTTAAAATGTCGAGTGTTATTGGTCCACATATATCTGATTGTACTATTTCTAGCACTCTCTCGCTACATGGATGATGCTGTTGTTATTTGGCCTCATGGGCAACAATCCCTCCTAGATTATCTGAACCATTCCACTCTAACGTACCATTGAATTAGAAACTAATAGTATCCCCCTATTTTCCAGAAAGCATACAGATATACTTTATTATAACCTCCCACCCCTCACTTGCCACTGTGGTACTTCCTTACATTTAAAACATCACTTATCCACAATTGTGTTTGAGGCGGCAGGCATTCCATGCATATGCGGCAAAGAATATATTGTAACAACAGAACTAAAAATATCAACCGGGCTGGAAGAACATGAAATAACGTTAAGCAACAGGTGCCAAAGACAATCATAAAAGTAGGCATCAAATCTTATTTTACCACACTAAATTTTTTGCGCATAATCAATTCTTCTACCAAAAAAAAAATCCAAAGATCTATAGAAATCTCTAAACGACCAAACAATTTTAACCGCGCCTCAGGTCACCAATAAGGCAATCAGTCATCTGAGAAAATATTCATTAGCTCCGCCCCCTCAATCACTACATATACAGGTGCAGAGTAGAATGCAGTTAAGCTCTAAGTTTTTGTATATTTTTAATTCTTTTAAAGACTTATCTTTTTCTGCTCATGATAAAACCAACGCACAACTTTATGGTTTTAAAATATCAGCAACTATAAAGTCAACGCTTTTAGGTGGCTAGATTTTTAATCTGCGCCGTTTTGATATACGCCGGTTTTACATTCTGCGGTTGGCTGATCTTGGGACCGTACCACCTCAAATTTCGATCGCTGTCGACCACGTCCGAATGCCTGTTCTCGTTGATCAACGGCGACGACATGTTCGCGACGTTTTCGATCATGTCCAACAAGTCGCTGCTGCTGTGGTGGTTCTGCAGGATATACCTCTATTCCTTCATAAGTCTGTACATTTACGTTATCCTCAGCCTGTTCATAGCGGTTATTATGGACGCTTACGAAACCATCAAGCTGTACTACAGGTAAGAAATCGTTATATTCCTTTAGATTTTATTTTTCGTTGCCACTGAGTACGAACTACCCAAAAAAGCAATCTTTTCATATCAGAAATGATTCATTCCAATCCATTTCTTGACTTTACTACTATGTTTATAAACTTATTAATATTTCGGAAATCTTCATCCTGTGCGTCGAATAATCGAATAATAACTGAAGATACCTCAAAATGTGTTTTATAAGCATATACAAATATTATTACAGACACTTATTATTTTAATACTAAAAAAGCAAAAGGTAAGAAAATTATAAGCACAAAATATAAAATGAATTTAGTGTAGTTCTTGATGTGAAGTATTATCACTCTATTTTCTGGTGTCATCAAGTTGTTTGCGAAGCAGAAATTCTTAAAACTGATGAAAGGTGCTTATCTGCAATTCTGTTTGTTAAAGAAGTTTTCCTAAGCTTCATTGTTGAAAAGGCTTAAATTTTTATAAAATTCTAATAATGGTATTAACCCAAGTTGAAATTTTGCATCAACTTCTTCGTAATTAACATTGAATGGGGTCGCATTGCACTGGTTCCATTTTTCTAATGGCCTGAAATCTTTCAAATTCTGAAGATAGTTTTCTCAAATTAATTTCGTATTTTTTAATCTTATTGTTTGATATATAGTGAATTTGTTTGTTGCTTCAAATACTTTTCTGAAACTGAAAGAATCATGTTTACTAGTTTAACAACAATGTTAAGTATATGGTCAATATCTAAGGCCGATTTACATTCTCACGACGACACTCTTAAACGGGCCGGATTAAACAAAGAACACAAAACAAGAAACGAGTTTTCCTAAGTTTGTATCGTTTTTTAGGATTAAGATTATAATACTCCAAGTAAATTCTGTTTACACGTTGTTGTCGGTTTGAGTTGACACAATTCCGTAAACTGTTGGCTTTTTTTTTTGGAAATTTCAGCGAAGGGTTTCCGAAAAGCGACTTGGACATGTTCATCGGTAGTACAAACTGGGACGAACTTTCGAACGGCATGTTTCGCAGCGACTCGAACGACAGCCTCGGCGGCCGCATCAAAGACTTGTGCTGCTATTCCGGAATAAACGCCAAATATAGAACGCTGTCTGGGAAGAGGTTTAAACGAAACGCCTCCGTTTAGTCTTTTAAATGCACTTCGTAGGTAATATTTAACTCTTTTAGAACCCAAACATACAAAAAAAAAACGAGAGAGAGAGAGAGAGAGAGAGAATTTAAATATAAAAAAAATGGAACTTTGTAGTGGCGACAATATAATTTTCAATTTCAAGTTAAATTTTAAATTTTTTAAAGATCACGATAGTTTTGTAGGGTAAATCGAGGAAAGATGGACCGCCTTTTGAAAAACTCTGAATTGGAATTAGGCTCTGCAAAAAATTGTAACATAAACATAAGCTTTGGTTATTTATTTGGCGCCTTTTAAACGATAATCTAACACAGTGAATAATTATAAAAAATAAAATAATAAAAATTGAAATTGGCCCACCTCTGCTAGAACGCGAAGGAGAGATGGACGGTAAACTAAATTGCAACCGGTCCCTCCGAAGCAAGCATAGTTGCCCCGGTATGCGAAAAGTCGCGGGTAGCCTGTCTGTCCTATTGGTACATCTCTCCTCGATTTACCCTACGTATCAATTTTAGTTTATTCTGAGCAAATTTTGAATTAGAATATATTTCTTTACATATTGTTTTGTACAAAAATTATTTTTTACAATTTTTTGTGCCTTTAACTCTTTACGAAAGCTCGAATAATAATATAGGTTTTAATTTTGTCAGGAAAATTTTTGATAAACGTGTCAGAATTTACAAAAAGCCAGTCATAATAATATTTTATGAAGAATGCGCAATCCCTAAACTACTAAATACTAACATATTATGTTAAAAAAATTGCAGTTTTAGGCTTTTTGACATGAAAATTGCAATTTGAACTTTGCTCCTAGAGAAATCATTTTTTTATCTGTCGACTTCCGGTTGAAACATGATGGAATTCCGAAAAACACTTCCAGTTATTTTTGCAGTTTTTTTTTTTATAAATACGGAAAAGATGAAAAAGTGCGAAAAGGAATCAAAAAGCAGTACCTAACAAAAATAATTTTGGAAAACAATTTCAAATTAAATGTTATAATTTCGTAATATTTTGGTGTCTAGTAGCTCCAGGTTAGAGATTGCCTATTCTCTATAAATGATCTTTTTCGATTCGCAATATTCCTTACAAGAGATTTGGTCAGAAATTCTGTTTGTTTTTCAGAACATCCGACTTTTTTTTCACAAATTCTTTCAGAAAATTGGACGTGTTTCTCAAAAATTTGCTTTATTAAACTAAAACCAACCTACAAAAATGAAACAAAAATTTAAAAAGTTAATCTTAAAGAATATGTTCATTCATTTACTACAATTCTGTCATCGAGTTCGGGAAAACCCTGTATATTACATAGTTTTAATATTCAATATAAAGAATTTTCATATATAAGTTTCTGTTTCTTATAAACGTGGGTCTTAACTTTTTTCGTTTTCGAAATGCAGGGTGTCAACTTTTGACCGATTTTGATAAAACTTGGCGTAAAAGTATTTTTCTTTGTCTAATTAAAATAAAATCATTCCTTTCATTTTTTTTTACTTTTTTGGTTAAGAAAAAAACAGCATTTTCAGTAATTGTCATAAAGACTTGGAAGTGAAAATCCTTACTTAAGCAGTTTTCTAGGTTCACCGCCAATCCCGTTTTTTGAGAAATAACAATTTTAAAGTTCTTAGAATACTTTCTCCTCTATGTCTTAACAGAAAGTGGTGAGAGTGTTCGAACATAACAGCATCTTGTGAAACTTGGAGCCATTCAAAAAAGCCTCTTCTTAGCGGATTGCTTTCGATTACTTGCCGCTAGAGGGGTTGATCGATATCACTGCAAATAAAATTTATTATCTTAAAAAAAAAAAGGAAATAACTGGAACGATGTCACTTTTATTACAACACAAGATGGCCAAATATAACACGTAACGTGTAACACGTAAAGGAAAACCGCATTTCCTTTACCTATAGTATCAGTAAACGAAATAAAAACTCGAAATGTGCGAATAGTTGCAGTATACCCGCCATTATTACAGTCTAATATTCGTTCTATTAGGAGAAAGGATATAAATTTACTATTAAAAATAAATAAATGCAATCTTAATAATTATAATTTTCGCTATTTCGTTTTCCAAAGCTCACTTGCATTTTTAAAATTTCGTATTTTGTGTAGATAGACGGGCAATATTCAATTATGTTGAATTAAATACATTCTTAAATAAATGTTTTTTTATGTTTTTTGTTAAAAGAATATTTAATAATGGCAGGTATCCTGCACATTTTCAGTTTTTGCTTCTATTGATATTATAGATTAGGAAAAGGTATCGATATGCGGTTTTCACTAGCGTGTTAGACTCTGATTTCGCTTAATTTCTTGCAAGCAATCAAAATCAATCTGGTCATGGCAGCGTTGATGGCCTAAAAGCGCTTTTGAACAACCCCAATAAATTGTGGTCGTAAGTGTTGATCTCCCCTGCATCTTGTAGATATAACTCCTTACTTGTTCGGTTCTGTACGTTGTCTATCGCTCTCAGGAAAATTGGTTTAGTGATGTTTAAGATCTGTTCTGAGAACAGCTTCAAGTATTATTGTTCACTGTCAGACAACGTGTGACCTTCCTTCCTGGCCCACAAAATTGCGGTACAATAATAGTAAAGCATCTTTCTGTCTAAGTTGTGATCGTCTGCACGCATGTAGTGTGTGTTTCGTCGACTAAGTTTGGTAGCCTGACTTAAGAGGGCGTGGTGACCTCTTAAACCTTTAACACCCTCAAAAACAAGTCTATGCCGAAGGTTGAGTCTGCACATAATGGGCTGTTCTGCTGTGATGTTGGTGTTTTTATTGATATTTATTTCAGAAAATTGCTTGAACAGCCCCCACCACTTTCTCTTACGAGATAATTTATTTTTTATTAGATATTTATTTATTAATTTTTATTCTCTGCTACGAAGGTAGTTCGGAAAAAAAAAGAAAATAAAGAAGTTTGATTTTTAATTGCGCTATCTAAATAAATACTGAAGTCTTAAAAAATCATTAGCGCACCATAAATATCAATTGAACCCGAACAATTTTATTTTAATGAATTATTTAATTTTAATTAACTTTAATCGACTAGTTTCATTAAATTTTTGATTAATTAAATTTAATAATTTTGTTTGTTGTTTGTTAGTTTTTGTTTTTTTCTATAAATTTGACATCCCTTCTGTCGAAAAGGAAGTAGGCTCATATGAAGAAACAGATTGATCCTCTGTCAATAAATAGGCCTTTAAAATCTGTACCGATTTTTGAAACTGCCCTTATATCGTTATAGTATTATAATTGTTTATAAACAAAAACAATATTTTGATTCACTTTTAATTATATTTGATAGGTATACTACCAATGTGAAAAAGGGTATATAAGTAATTTTATTGTGTTAAATCTGTTTATAAGTGATAAGGTTATTCGTCGCGGATAATATATTGTATATAATTGTTTTTTTTTAATAAAGTAACGAACAACTTCTTCGACTTTTTTTCACCTTCGCCAAAACAATCGAATGTCAACAATGGCAACAAAGGTAAGACATAAATTGAGTTTTTTTTTTTTAAATGAATAAAACATTGTTTTCTCAATTAATCTGTTCTCTATATTGATGTGGGTGTGTTTTTTTTTTTAATCCATATCTGCAAAGGCTTAACGTATTATGACACAATCGCAAAAATATTTTCAGAAACAAGAATAAATACAACGATATTACCTTAGATAGTCAAATGATTTAGTGAAAAGTATATTTCAATACATTTATCCTAACGTAGAACATGATTAACTGACTTAACACTAAAAGAAAGTTGTATTTTAGGAACAAACTCCACTTCTCTGGTTGTATGCGTTTATTATTTAGCGCACTGGCAACGTTTGTTTTATTTAAATAAATATATTTCAGAACGTGGACATTTCGAATGGAAAACTATCAAAGCTAAATATGAATTGTCAAGCCTCTATTAACTTTAAAAAGAGACCGCATTCCATACACATAACTTAAATGTTGTTAAGTTAAACTGACTTTTAAAAAAATGTCGCGTTAAAAACACAATACCGGCATTTTAAAACCGAACTTCCAGTAAGGTTATTGTTATTTAGGTGCAATATATTCCTGTAGTTATCGTTCACTACATGTAAGTTCGTAGAACACAAAAATAACCGAGTATTGTAAAATATCACGGACCACATGTTGCTAAATTGCACATCCTATCATACATTTTTTTACAATACTTTTTAAAAACTTTGATAAATAACCAACAATGAAATAAAAATCAATTTTTGTTTTAACAATCTTGATTACAAATAAAATACTTCTGACGCAGAGATGTTTTACCATTTATTTCTATATTAACTTGCTTCGTACCGCTTTCGTGTATGCCTCTAATTATGACCAAGAATTCTAAAGTGAAGTGCTGTAATTCAGAACATCCACTTTACGTGTAGCTGTTCTACGCTTCGCTGTTGAAAAAGTTAATTGCTTGCTGGTATCGTTATCATGTATAGCAGAGTTCAGCCTAAATTATTTTTTAAAACTTTGTAAAATAAGAACAGACAAAATATTTACAGGAAAATTAAAAATGGACCTCCCTAATAGCATTCACCTTGGCAACCCCGTCGACTATTAAATAGCGAAGACGTAAAATTAATTCCCTTGAAAAACTCCATTCTTCCTATAAATTATGACCTTTTTAAATTACTTTACGCTAAACACACCTGCCTAAAAACTACCCATCGACTTGTCTTATCACGGTCTTGCAGAAAAATTATTATTAAGAACAGATTATTTAATAAATTTGGCACAAAATATATTAAAAAAATCTTCAATCTCATTACAGATCAAAAAGAGGACTGCTTAATGTAATAGATAAGAATTGCCAAATGCAATCACGAAACTGGACAGCAAATCTTATTAGATAACACTAAAATTCTTGCATGTAATTCTTCTACCAACAAAAAGTCCGCGATTCTATAGAAATTTTAAAGCAACCAAATAATCTTAATCGCGACATAGGTCATTTCCTTTCACCAAGGTAAGTATCAATCAATCAACCAGTTTCAGTTTAGCTCTGATGAAGTCAACAGGATCATTGGCGAAACGTCAGCAAGTTTACAGTCGATTCAAGAGGAATCCAGAAGATTTGTTTAATTCGTAACTCTCATATATTCTTCTATCTATCAAAGTGACTGATTGACAATTATAACTTAAAGGTTTCTACTCTACTCCGTAACGAAAACCAACTTGAGAAAGGGATGCATATATTAGAATGATCTATTGACAATACGACCTTTAGTTGTATATAACTTGTTAAAGTATTTTATTCCAAATTACATTGCACTGTAAAAACCTGGTAAATTTCTTGAATCATCTTTTTTGTACAAACTAATGGTTTGCATAAATCAATAGTCTCTGTTTCGGAAGTTCTAAAAATGAAAATTAAATAATACATTATTTTATTACCGATTTTTGGCAACCCGAGTAACGTTTACAGATAGTCACGTAGTTTTTGCTATTCACATCCCTATTTGAGGGGACTACTGGTCTGTGACCATGCATACGATTGATTTAGGTTAGACATGTTGTTTTGTTAATCTAACATATATTATTTGACGTTCCGAATTGTGACGTTTTCCGTCTCGACATACCAGTTATTTCATTTACTCCGTCATGGGACATAACCGTTGAAGTCACCATATTACACCTCTTGCGGAGCAAGTAACGCAAGAAGTACTTATTTTATCCGTAAAAAATACATTGGTACTTGAACCCAACACTTATTATTGAAAATTGGGCAAGAAAAGTGACCTTAACCTGTAAGATCAATTAAAGGATATATAGCAAATCAACTGCAACCACTTGCTATAACTAAACTATAAAACTATAAAAAAAATCCCGTTAAAATATGATATCGATTATAAACAAAAATTTATTGAAGTAGAAAACAAACAACGTTATATCGTAAATGCAGTTGCGTTTGATTTCCATCCGTCCAGCTAAGCTTTAACGACGGCCTTTCCGAAATTAGCGCCTTGCAGCATTTCCACGAACGCGTTGAACATATTTTCGAAACCTTCCGTGACGGTCTCCTTGTACTTGAGCTTTCCCTCGTTGATCCACGCCAAATTTTGCTGTATTCCTTCAGACCATCTGTCGTTCCATCGGCTCACTATGAATCCCTCCACCTTTAGCTGCTTCATCACTATCGCAAACTGGACGACGCTCGCTGAAAACGAACGAGGTTATTGTCGTATTGGAAGCTTTTTGTAATAAAAGAGAACTCCACTACAAGTCCTTTATTTAATTTAATTTAATTTAAGGGCGCGAGATGCCAGGCCGAGAATCCCATATTCTAACTTCTCAAGACTATAGAATAAGAACACCACAGACCACCGAACAACACTGATGCAACAGTTATTATTATAGTTACGCTGCTACAAATATTGGGTAAACGAATGAATCAAGACAAAATATTCTTAACTTCAAATATTTTTTTTGTGGACAAGGTTACAATTTAAAGGTCACACTCTTTTTGTTATAAATAATCTATTTTCACACAGCAGTAGAAAAAGTCGTCCTACCTTTACCAAAAATTGTAAATCCTACAACCCAATATTTTACCCACCTTTACCAGATTATCCCCGTTACTCAATCAGGATATAAAGCGGGACATAGCTGTACTACAGCTCTACTAACCGATAATATATTGAGGGCTATATATGAAAGCCAGCTAACAATATTAGTTCTTATAGAGTACTCGAAAGCTTTTGATACTCTTAATCATCAAATTTTTATTTCAATATGTTTATGTTAGGCGTAGTGAAAATGACATGGATTTTGGTCTTACGCATCTGTTAAAAAAGAAGCTGTTAGTAAATTACCCAAACGAATGTTCCTTGATGGAAAAGTTGCCGAAAATGTAACGCCTTTTGCACGACTTTCGAGTCAAAGGTAGCCAAAGACGATAAGAGAAGAAATTAAAAGAATATACAGGGCGCGACAATAAAAAAGACTCGAAAAACTGTGTTTCTAGAACTCCCCCACAAAATCTTATTTTTCAAACATAACAACAAAGTTTGCCCACCTTTACTGGTTCTGTCGTTGTATCCGGAAATGGAACCGCAAACGGACACCCTTCCGAACGTGTTCATGTTGTTCATGACGGTTGTACTGATCTCTCCACCAACCTGCTCAACACAATATTCTTTATTGTTTGAAAAATCACCCCACCACGACGCAAAAAAGGAAAATAGCGACATGGTACTATTTATAAATCTTCTGGATTCCTCCTGCGTTGCTTACGTCTCGCCAATCATCCTGTTGGCTTGTTCAGAACTTAACTAGTTTCAGTTAAGGGCTACTTTATTACAATAGGCTCAAAGAACTAGGAAATTGTTAAGTGAATCTCTCAATTTAACTGTTGGCCACTTTTCATATGGATTTGGATGACACAAATCGATAACAATATTATCAAAAAAAATGCACCTGGTATTGTTCAATCTATGGTATTAGAAAATTGAAACGTATAACACGTAAAATAAAAGATATATATATATATATATATATATATATATATATATATATATATATATATATATATATATATATATATATAAATTTAAATAAAAATTGAAAGAGTTTTCATTGACAATGGCAATGCTATTGTTTTTTGGGGCCTGCTTTATGTGCATTGTTAATTTTTACAGTTTAATTTTGTTGTAATGTATTTAAATAACAATAACGGAATTAGTTAGAATCTTTCAGCTATGTACAATCTCTAAGAAACATCCCTAGAATGTTTTTGCCAAAAAGGCAGTTTTTTCGCTATCAATAATATGTTTTAATTCGTTGGGTTTCTCACAATGGATTAAAGGTTGAGGTTTTTACAAATACTTTACTTAAAATGCGCAAAATATTGACGAAAGTCGATAATACCAATACAATTTTAAAAATAAAAATCCTTCAACCGGCGGGTCTAGTAAATAAGAAATTTGCAATAGCCTGCACGGATCTGTATTGTTTTTATCAAATATATTGATGGAGTCTCAAGAAAAGCGAAAGCGAAACAAGTTGAGCCAACGTTTTAAACGCCTTAAACAAAATGAGAACTATTGCTATTGAGTACCATTGCAGAAAAGTCGACAAAAAAAGGGATTCTATTTATATTCAAAATCTCACTCAAAGTAAAAAATCCGAAAACAAACCTTTGTTATTAAATCAAAACGAGCAAATATTTGAAGATTTACATTTAGGAATTTTTTTAGCCGACTGGAGTGTTAAAAATAAGCAATCACTCCCCATTTTCCGAATTTTTAAACATCCTAAGAAATAAGCTTCACTTCCCTAAAGATCCAAGGACTCTTTGAAAAACACCGATGCACGCAGGTTCTCGGACTAAAATTGTTGAGTCTAGTTTTTATTATCATTTTGGATTAGCACAATACCTCAAAAGTTTTTTCATGAAGTGAATAGAAATACTTAACACATGTGTTTGTAGACACAGTCCCGAACTATAATACTGATGATTTTATTAGTTATTGAATTTTATTTTTTAACTTTTACCCTAGGTAATTTCAGAATTGAATATAGAATAAAAAATAAAAAATAGTAGATCTTGGTAGATATTAATCTTAATGAAATATTTTGATGGAATTTATTAATGCCTTCGTTTATACAGTAAAGGAGAAATTTGCATTGAAAAAATAAAATTGCTGAAGTAATTGCTTAGTTTATTTTTTATTTAACGTAACCAGGAAATCTAATTAATAAGCTTAAAAAGATGGATGTTATTTAAAATTCTTCTGGATCCCTTCTACGTCGGTTTTTTATAAATCGGACTTGCTGACGTTTCGCCAATCATCTTGTTGACTTTTTCAGAGCTAACTGGAACTCGATTGTAGGGATATTCCGATACTAGTAAATACGAGTAGGTTCTCGATACTTTTGATTCGATACCAAGTATTTATAACATCGAATCAATCTTGCCGGTATCGAAACAAAAGTACTTGGTATCAAATCGAATCAGCCTCACCATTAAAAAAAAAACCGAACGCATCAGACAAAGATCTGATCTGAGGTGACAAGTCGAATAAAAAAGTTATATGGGAAATTATTGCACAAGTCAAAACGACTCACGTTGTCGAAATAACAGTCGATTCCCTCGGGAGCGAGCTCTTTCAACGCCTTGTCCACGTCCTGCGTCTTGTAATTGATGAAGTGGTCGAACTTTAGGTCGTCCACGAGCCACTTGCCCTTGTCGTCGGACCCAGCGATCCCGATGACCTTGCATCCTTTTATTTTGGCAATTTGACCGACGTGGTTTCCCACAGCGCCCGCTGCCCCCGACACGACCACAGTCTCTCCGGCTTTCGGTTTGCAAATTTCCAGGAAGCCGAAGTAAGCTGTGTTCCTAAAACAGGTTTATAATTATGGGACGATACCTTAGCCCAGATTGTATTAAAATTATGAAGAAAAAGTTGTTTCGTGGATGAGTAACAACTCCTATAACACAGGCCAAGAATTTTTAAACTTGAACGTTGATTTTGATCCGATATTTGATTTTGTAGAACTGCGAACTCCTAAATTTAAATCTGATAAGCATTTTGCTCTAAGAACGAAACTCGAATTAAAAAGTCTAAATTAATAACAAGGTCTCAAAAATAGTTAAGGCCATTTATGTTTCGAAGATAAATAACAATAATAAATTTAGTACTTCCATAAACCTCAATCACAGTTCTGTATCATTCTCATAACCCTATTTTGTTGGAAATATAACTTATGTAAACCTTGTCTTGTACACATATTGATATGTCGGCGGACTGGGTTTTTGAAAGAAAACAGTAAAGTTAATTACTTCCACTTTAATATCACAAAAATAAAGGTTCTTTATTTGACCACGGTACCGCACGTGAAAAATGTTGTTGCCTCTTGGACACACCGGCTGAGACTAACTTTTTGGTGGGCCCGCGGTGTTGCCAAATACACTACACATATAAAACATATGAAACAATGAAAAATGAAAAACATGTGAAAAATTATAAACTGATATCTTAGTCCACTTTCATAAAAACCGTAATATACGGTTCCTCACCAATCTTTTTGCATACATATTCAACATGATTACTGAAGAAACCTAATTGTGGATCTAAGGTCTCTCCGAAATATTTAATTTCCGAAAGAAACTCAGGATTCTGTGGTGGAGCATTGCACGCGGCGGTTTAACCTCCGTTCGCTCCCGACAGAATCCCTTGTATTCGTCCTCAAAAGTTTGATATCGGTTTCCACTGTGTGGACTTAGTGTTTTTAGTGTTCAGTGCATGTTTTAAAGTGATAATCGTCGTCGGCCCCGTTGTTTTTCCCTGTTCACGCCGGTATGGAGGCCGGATGGGCCCGGATGGTCCGCGGTGGAAGCGGGGGGAAGCCGATTTTTTTGGTATCGGTCAGAATTGTTTTTTGCTAGCTGAGCAAATTATTGGTTATTCTTCTTCTTTGTACGTGGTGGTCATTGACCAGAAGCGAAAATCCTCGACGGAACTCGGCAATGGGCGAATGATCCTAGCAGTCGAGCCCAACATTTTTTTGTGAAACGCATAATTGAATTGAATTGAAAGAAACTCAAATTTATTACTCTGTATATCCCGAGTCGTAGACTTTCGAACCGATAACCACGCATTTGGTTTTGCAGCCATTTAATTTTGGTTTATTTTGGTTCCGCCATTCGGTATTCAGTTGGCTAGTTAGTGTTGCTTTGTAATCGTTTCCAGAGACTGAGATAAGCGTGCCATCAGAAAATAAATTAACATTTTTTTTAAAACCTGATACATATCATGGGTACAACTTATGTGCTGTCCCCATGGATAAAAACATTATTATTAATTTTGGTCTGGTCAGATCTCTCAGACGTAAAGTTTTTTATCCATTCTAGCCGAGTCTTTAATACAATATAAACTTAATTTTGTAATAAGAATGTCCCAGTCAATAGCCTTAAATGCACATTCTAAATCTACAAAAACACGCACAGTTAGTTTTAATTTACTCATCGTCATATTGAAAAAATAACTAGACTAAGATCTCTTCAAGAGTTAAGTGAAAAAAACAGTATATGAATGCAGAAGAATAGCCCCAGAAATGTTGGAAAATATCAGAAAGGGCCTTGGAACAAAGGCTCTGACTGCATGGAAGAAGATGGTGGTCACTTCGGGCATTTGATTTAATTTGTTTGGTACTTATTTCGGTACAAAAGTAAAAATACATTATTTTTAACTTATTGGAGTAAACCAAGATTTTTGAATCTAGTCCTATTTAAACTAAGAAAGTTATCCACGAAAGTACAAACATCCGGTATATAAAACAGTATAACAATTTAAAAGTATAGGGAAATCCAAACAACCCTCGTGTTTAAGTGAAATATTCCGGCATTTTTCTTGTAAATCAATTGCTTACCCGGGCATTCCAAGTACGCCAAGACCAAGCGATGTGGACAATTTTCCAAAATCTGGTAAGATGTAGGTAGGCAGGGACGCCCAGTTATTGCTTTCCCCATTGGCCACTGAGTGACTCCTCCAGCCAAACATACCAACTACGTATTTGCCTACCGGAAACTTGGGATTTTTGCTTTCCTTTATTCTGAACAAAAAAAATGTTCTAGCGGATCACCCACAAGTCAAAATACCTGTACTTACATCCCAACTTGAGATCCGATGAACGGGATTCCCAAGGGCAGATTTGGGGCATAGGCGCGCATGTAGGGGTCAACGCTTAGGTAGACGGCTTCGACTAAAAATTCTGTGGAATCAAAGATGTATAAGATTGGAAATTCTGTACCAACCTACAATCAAATGTACTGAAACAGTTTCAGTCAAGCTCTGAAGAAGCCAACAGGGTGATTGGCGAAACGTTGGCAAATTCGACTTTCGAAATTCGACGAAGTTTGGTAAAAAGGAAATAAGCAGGTATAGAGTAGAATGTAATCAACAAGTTAAGTTTAAGGGCTTATTCCTCTTGAGACATTAACGTTAATGTTAGTATATTATTTTTTTCTTAATAAATTTTTGTCTATTCTACAGATAAACCTTAAATGTAATAAACTTATTGCCAACATTTTTGTACAATTTCTTCTGCAAATTCTATGAGCTCGCAATTAAAGACCATGTAAAATGCTTTAGAACACGCACGCATTAAGTTTTTTGTGTTAATTGTGTCCCTAGACACCGGCATCGGTTTTCGTCTATCTCAGAGAAGTGTGTTCCTGAGGGATAAACCGCAGAGCTACTTCTTGTAATGGCAATCCTTTTGACGTTTACAATTACTCTTAAATCAACTCGAAGTTTCTTCTTGCAGATCCAATAGTAGCTTTTTCTTGTGGATTTTCATGAAATTATAATCGAAATCGGTTTCTTGTCATTTACCGCGCCGAAAACTACATAAAAGCTGCAAATATCAATTTAAAACCACACCTTTTTGTTATGAAAACCTAGTGTTGGGACAAGTCAATTGAAAATAAAATTTTATAGTAAATTATTATGCGTTTGTGATGTTCAATTTACCGAGAATCCCAATAATAATATCCACTTTATATTTAAATAAATAAACAAATATAAATTTAATGGTATTTTTAAAATTATCTCGGTCAATTGATTGGTCAATTGTCGTCAGCATAAAGATGATAATTAAGGTAATTTGGCGACATGTGAAACAGAAGCGTAAATAGTCAACAACAGACTTAATTTCGTTGATCTAAACTGCAGCTTGCTTTATAATTATAATTATCTCTCTCAGTATTGACACACCTCATATAGTTGATAAATAAGCACCGAGTTCAAAAGTGCAAAAACCAATGATCGCTTCTCGAATAATTTTTGCGTTATTAGTGAGTCCGAATTGGTAAACAATTTTTTTCCGCTTCATTTCCGTCGTCATTAAAACAGTAATTTTTTTATACCACAGTGCTAGGAAACAGATTGGAGTAATTAAATTTTGCACATCTCCTTTTTGGAATAACATCTAAATTATTTGAAATAACTGCGAGCGGTTTGCAGAATGTTTTTCCATATTCCCTGGCCGTAATATCATTTTTTTTTATTATATTAATATACAAGACGTAATTTAAAGCCCTTAAAAATTTTTTTCCGAAACTTCCCACGTTCCTTCTTTTATTTCAATCATATGCTCCACTTTTGATAATTTACTATCTTTGTTACCTCTGAAAATGATTTTTTTTCAATAAAGACGTGGAAGTATAAAAAAAACTGATAACAGAAAATATTCTAGTATATTACTCGGTGCATGAGTTTCATTTTCAGGTCTCATTTTTAGAATATGATTTATTTCTTATGGGGAACTTAAGTCAACTTCGACTATATGGGTTGAGGATAGCCCTAACTGATAGAGTAGGGTTCGAAATTCATAGAAGATAAGCTTAATATTTCCAATATTAAAGAATTGATACAGATTTACTGTCAGAATTTTTGGAAAATACACATTTTCAAGACAGTACAGATTTCATTAATCAAAAAGTTCTAATAAAAATATTTATTATAAAAATTTAAGGATTATAAAAACAAAAAGGCAAAGACCAGCATTTTTAGCAGGTACTGTGGAAGTTATAATTAAACTGAAAGATAAAGTTTCTAAAAAGTACAAAAGTACAAAAATAGAAGTTATTGTCATAGCATTTAAAAATGAAAAGAAAAGATATATGGACTCTGTCTCTAATAAAAGTTATAGTAAGATTCTTTGGAAAAGTTAAGTAATTTAAATATAACATCTAAAACTACAAATTTGTTCTTTCCTGATTGATTAAATAGACCTTCAGATATTGATAAGTTAATAGTATATTATGCAACAAGTGCGGTAAACGGCATTTGACTCACGAATTTATCAACGAGTGACTTGTGTTGCATACTATACTTTTTCTACGACCTTTAGTTTTCACAAAACAACACGAATACATTCACTGACATGACCGTCAGAATTCTAAGCGTGGGAAATATCTCCGAAAACATCCGATTGCTCCCAAACCTGTGCGATAAAATCCCGGAAATGTCCGAAGTGGCTCGGATCCGCGGGAAATGAAACTGACGTGGTAAAGTGACGCTCCCTGTACGCTGGATCGGTATGTAACTAGCTATTTTGCAGACGGGAGTAGAAAAACAGTATTACCAAAATAATTTTAAAATAAAGTTCTATTTAAAAAAGTGGACTTTGTATATTTTCTGTTTATTGCAAAAAAAGTGCAAGAAAAAATTATGATTGACGAGCATTTTTTTTTTCAATCTGATACCTGATTGCGTGCAAATAATAAACAAATATATATTTGCATTTATCTGCTTTTTTGTAATTCATGTGGTTTTATGGTAAATATTGTATCGTTAAATATTGCGGAAAAAATGTATTATTATTATTATTCTCTACCCAATAATAACCATTGAATATATCGGTTCTGTTTATTTCTTTATTACTGTATGAGTTTCACTTTTACTTACTGTAAATGTGATTCTCAAAATTATCTTAACGCGATAAAGAAATTAAGCCGGTGAGTGGTTATCTTCCACTTCGCGATAATCTATTTTTTGCTCTCATACGGATCTCACTAACATCAGCGATATGTATACTTATTCAGATACCGAACTCGTTTTTGTCATAAATATAATTCCTTACCTCCGTCTTTCAAAGGCGGCAGTTCTTCTTCGACCAATTTTAAATCGCCGGGCTTGGGTAGACCCTCGAATTGCTTTTGGAGAATGAACACTTTTGACTTGACCATTTCGGAAAATTATGAGAAAAAATGAAAAGAAATAATGGTTCCGGCTTAGAGATTTCGAAACTGACGAGCGGAGCTGCGGGCGATATATGGTGCTCGATCGCAGCGGTTTAAACAATTATGCCGAGGAGCGGACGGACGAAAATACATTTGTTTATCGACGGGACAGGACCGGAGCAGCGAAAATTTAAAGTCAAAACTAATTAAAAAATAAATAAATATAATGTGATGGATTTAAAATAATGTATATTTTATTGGTCATGCTTTTTTTAGCTGCCCTGTATACTTAAAACTTACGCCTGTCGTCATAAATTACTGACGGGAATTCAAAACAAACCTGGCGTAACCTATCACATGAGTTAGCTGTAACGTCATGAGTTAATCCGTTAGAAAATCCCCATTTGCACATGAATTTCTACATGTACCTTTTCATGTAAATGGTGAAACGTGTCTACTACTAAATTTGACACATAAAATTACCAGCCATCATTTTCCCCGATTTTTTTTTATAAGCTTGGAAGGAAGAAAGTTTCGCCTTTTAAATATATGATTATAAAAAGTAAGAATGGACAATTTGTTTAAAAAACTGTAGGTATTGCAAAATGCCTAACCCAGATAATTAAAAACTATAATAAAACAAGTAAATAACTAATTCATCAAAATTTGAAAAATAACCTTTAAAAACAAAATGCCACCAAAATAATTAAGCCCATTTTGCTCGAAAACATTGCAATTGAAATTGAAACGTGTCAACTGGACTTTAGTTATTTCTTCGACAGTCTCGGTAAAGGGCTAGTGTCCAGAGAAAACACGCCAAATGATTGTAAGAAGAAAAATATTCTTTGGTCATAGCTCTTCCCCCCAAACAGCAGGGTATAAATGTAAAGATTTTTTGAGATTCTTTGTAAATATGAGGTTTTTGTGCTAGGAAAATGCTAGAATTTAGTAGCTTTTTAGATAACGAAGGCGATATGAGCAAGACCAGCTTCTCCGTATTTGTCGCCATTTTATACATAAAAGTTTTATATATTTTAGCTGTTACTTTATATGTGTTGTCAGATTATAACGATTTCTCCGATTCAGCCTAAATCAAAACTACCGGGCATGTTTTGCATTAAAGATGTGAGTTGGATCTCGTAAACACAGTCGCGAAAGTCCCCACGGTTAAGTTGTTTTCTAGTTGTCTTCATTGAATGAGGATTGGGTACCATATCCTGGGGATGGAGCCGAAGCGGCCAGAATTTCCAACGAAAATTTGAGGCAGTTGAAATCGCACGACGTTCTCGCAGTTGGCTTTTTGTACCAAGCCTATAAGAACGAGGTAATTTCGAATTTGATTGTCTATGAAATTGAAAATTTGTGGTAATTTTAGCTGCAAGGAGTGGTCCTTAATGAAGATACTGGTATTAATACAAAGCTCCAAACCGCCGTTTTCCTTAAGTCTCTGGCTAGTTCCATGGATGAAGTATTTTGGGCATTGGTCATATCGCCTGAGAAATTCCTCCCGTATTGGCACTACCACTTGACAGTGCAAGGCAAATTTAAAGTTAAAGTTTTTACTCCACAAAGTAAGTGTTAAACTCAACATTGGTTATTTGTATACTCTGTGTATAAGCTTTTATTCAGGACTTTTTCGAAGAATCAAATTTGGTTATTTTGGCGAGCTTCAGCAACTTGAAATTGATAGAGCACTTGAAAGAGTATTGCTTTTCGGTCGTCATCGTGGACGAGTTGGATACAGTCATTACCAAATTGATCGTCAAGAAATTGAGAGGCAATTTTAACATCGGACTGACCAGGAGAAATTTTTATGTAAGTTTCTGCTATTTTTCGTCAGTTTGGCAAAAAATTTTATACAACACTCCAAAAAAAAGAAAAAATCTTTAAACGAGGGTTAAAGTTCATTGATCGCGCGGGATGTCTCAGGAATTCGCGGGTTTTCTCATGATTTCTGCTGATTTCGTATGTTTGCGCCAGATTTCTCATGATTTCGTATGATTCCGCGACATTTCCCATGACTTAGCGGGATTTGTTATGATTGCATAGGTAAATACTTTTTATCACAGCTAAATAAGACTCACAAATTAAACTTCTGTGGTGGCCATACGAGTGAGAAAGGAGCTTTGCTATTATTACTGCTAATAATCATTTTTATTGTAATTATGCCTGAAAAATCAAACCATTTCCATTAGGCCGGTCGGTACGACAAAAAACAGTCTTAGAAAATCTGTTATACATGGTGGAATTTTATTTTATATTGCTTTAAAATAAGTAAAATTTTAATTATGGTGTTTTCAAGAATTTTTGTATGTAAAGACTCAATTTATCCCATTTTGATGAGTTTTTGGATTTTTTAAAAATTGGTATTGTGTAATTTTCAACATGTTTGTTAAACTGGTGCTTAAAATTTCAATCAGAGGACAGATAGAGAAAAATAGAAAACTTTGCTTGCTTGCTGGGATAGGATTTGTCAAAATTAGCTCCGAATTTCTTAGTCTCACATTCATGTCCATACATTTTTGGTTTTGATATGAGGGTACGAATTTTAGCCGGTAGTGTATAAAATTAGTCCTTATGAAGAAGTAAAAAAAAAAATCATTTATTAACACTCAAAAAATGTCAAATAACATGTACAAACACATTTAAAAACTGTCATCTTTTCTTGATTAAAATTAAAATTTTTATACATTCTGGACCATGTTCAGGATACAAAAACATTTTTTTTTACTGATCAATGTCAAATTTTTCATATCTCTCTCTCGTTTTCAAATAATTTAAACTGACCAAAAATTTTCTAAGACTACCGAACCGTTCATAGATCTACCCGGACCAAAAGCTACACTGGAACCTTCTCAATTGGTCGAATCCGGGCTGCGTCGGCAAGCTGTCCGAGTTCTATAGGTAAAGTGAGCCTCAAACTATATCATCTTGACTTTTGACGGATAGTCCACCAAAAATTAATTAATTAATCAGGTTATAAGAAAGGACAAATTTGAAAGCGGTAAATGCTATCATTATTAACATATTCAGATATATCTATAATTTTATCTATTTATTTTTTTATTATCCAGACCTTAGTTACATTAAATGGGACAGGCAAATAACGTTCAAGAAAAATATCTGTAGTATAATTAAAATATGAAATATTAGATATTAAGTGCCACATTCATTATACATCACACTATTATACTAAGACTGTGGTTCATATCATGTATATATAAAACGTTATTATTATTATTTTATACAACAGGTATTCACAATCACGGCCTGAAGAGCGTTTACTAATAATCTAAAAACAATACAGAAAATTGCAATCACTTAGCAAGCCTCACATTCAAATATATTCATCACAAAGCATACACCTTTCGTAAAAATTTTTGTTTTCAGTGATTTTCTTTTATTGCGTGGATTTCATCGAAGAGACCCTCACTGTCATGTATAGATATTGAGAGATTGACGATATTTGTCTCTTAACGTTTTGTAATGATATTTTAGTGACTCCAGTGAAAAGAGTCAAGCTCATTGGACCAGTAAGGGATTTTATGTCATTTTTATGTTTTATTGATAAAGGCTTATTCGATTGTTTCTGAAACAGGTATAGACCACTAAGGTAAGCTCCTCCCACACACTAGTAGCTAATGATGCTGCGGAAGAATGCATAGTAAAGCAGTAGTACTGTTTCTGTTTTCATTATTTTAGAGAGCTCAAGATTTATAAAAAGTAAATATTTAGTTTAGTTTAATTTAGAATGTATTGGATGCGCTCGTCCCATCTGAGCCTGCTGCTGTCAATAACAATAGCGGGGTATCTACAAGATTCGACTCACTTAACAATTTTGTCACTTATTTTCACGTTACTTTCACGTTGCGCGCAATAATAGTAGGATAATCTCCAAATGTTATATATACAGTTTTCTCAAGGTTTAAGGACAGTTTGATTTCCACCTCCAACTATGATTTCCCTGTGGAGATCACTGCTGTCTCACCCGCAAAAGACAATATTTTGTCATCAGGCTCTTTTGCAAATCTCCACTCCAGTTTTAACATGGCAGGATTCACTAACCACATTATTAATTTTAACTAGTCGACTTCTATCTTGCAAATATGAAGTTATTTAGTTAGATTAAGGATATAGGTCATGTCATGCTTATCTTATATCAGCACACTTAAAAGCGTCTGGCCAAAATGATGTCTTAATGCTCTTATTTCGACAATTGCCGTCAAAAGCCGAGACGATATACTTCGAGGTGCACCGTACGTGGGTAACTTCGTCGTTTTCCAGCGCGGACAATGACAACTTTGCGAACTTCGGCAATCGCTACCGGCGTTGGTGGTTTCGTCTCACCTGGAACTTTTGCGACCCGTTGGTGCCCGATACACCGGACGAAATCGAGACTTACAGAAAAACGGTAAAAGATTGGGCCCTCTCGAACGGTATATCGGGCGATGTTCAACGCGTAAAGTCGAAGAAAAAGGTTCGGAAGCCCGGACAAAATCGAAGCGGCGGCGAGCAAGACGGCACATCGACGACCGAAGGAGTTCGCGATATGGAGGCTCGAATATGTGACGCACGTCGCCAAGGTGGTGAAATTCAGGAAGACAGTGGCGATTCTAGCGATACCACCGTAATATACGAGGCGGACAAGGACTGGAAGTTCGGAAATACTGCGGGAACGATGTCCGACGCTCGGGGTAAGAATTCGCTAATCAAATTGATGAAATTTTATCGAATAACAAAACTAAATTATAATTCAGTTGTGCAGTTACGTCACGTATAGTGACGTAATAAAAAATGATTGATCTTGACGCAACTTTTGACACCGACTCCGGAACTGACAAACAAAATACCTGTGTTAATTTACGACATCCTAGATTAAGATGTTATGCTATGATGTAACTGCACAACTGCTCTGAATGGACTTTGCAAAATATGGAGGCGGTTATTAATGGCTCGAATATTTATTTATTTACCAATGTTACACCATTTTTAGAATTTTAAACATATATGCATGGTGGCGATAATGCAATGAATGAATACGTAAAAAACAATTACATAATTGTATAGAAATGTAAAACAATAAATAATAACAATTCTTCTACTTTGAAATACATATAATCTCTTAGTTCTTGGGTTGACGTTGTTCAGTAATAACACTGTTTTTTAGTTTTATTCAACGTTTTACTCAAAATGTGAGTTTAAAGAATCTAAAATACATACAAATATTATAAAACTTAAATATTTTATATAATGAATTAGGAAAGTACAAATATGAAATAACTGACATGAATTTAAAGTTTGACATGACTTTGAAGTGTATGCCTATTTTAAACAGTGTTATTATAAGACAGTTTATTTCGACAGACGAATACAGAATATTTGTAAATAATAATTTAGATTTTGTTATTTAATACTTCAATTACATTTTTTTCCCAATTTATTCCCAATTTTTTTTATGATTAAATTTACAGTTTGTACGATTTTGTAAAAGTGGGCTTGTCAGTCCAATACATTTTGTTGAGCAATTTAGTATTTGATTTTAACTGGAAATGGATCTGAAATTGGTTTTTTTAGACTGGGTGGGATATCATATTTGGAAAGCGTATGTTTAATTTTTTCAGATACATTATTTATTTATGCAACATATTTCTCATTAATTGTATTATTTTTGTTAGATTTTTATTATAAAACATGAAGCATCAGATTCGCTGTTTAAAAATTTTTGTAATGTTGTTTTCAGAAAAATAATTTTTAATTAAAACTTGTGCGAAATTTGATAAAATTTCCACCCTATATCGGCTGTCCAAATAGTTTGACTAATACATGTCGCTTTTGTTTTAGAGAAAAATGTTAAATACAAAAGTTATAGATAAGACTCAAATAAATAATTATGTTGGGTGGTTATTTTTTGAATCAAGAATCGAACCTGACTTTGTTCAGGTTCCCTATTAACTACATTTTGTCGTTATCAAAATAAAAAATAATTTCACATATTTTTGAGCAATTTGGACCCTGGAAGAACAGGTAGGATTTTGTACAATAGTTCGATAAACACGTTTTTTTTATCATAAATTTTGATGTGTTTTTTCTAACCTAATTTTGATCAAAATTAGTTTTCATGTTTTTTACATAACACTGAACACCTAGTCTAGTTAATGAGTTCAAAATGACGTTAATTGAACATACTGTTACTAAAATTATAGCACATTTGATTCGGAATTATGTGTAGATTGATGTGCAAAAAAAGTGGATTGGTACATTGAAAATTTCAAAAGTTATAAACAATTAAAAATAGTAAAAAGTTGTGTTTAGTTTTTTGCTTATAGTTCGTAAACAAATATATTTTTTTTTGTTTTTGAAAAAAAAAAATTAAATATTAAATAATTTTAATTTAACGTTGCAAATTGCCGTCATATTGAGGTTGCACAACAAAAAAATTTTTGGAAGTATATAAAGTAGATTGAAAAATTAAAACAAAAAATATGATTTAATCTAAACCCTTCAAAAAACTGATTCCCGTTTGAATTTTTCATTGAAGTTAATTTTCCAATAAACTAGAACTTTTTCCGAGACTTCCTTCATCTTTACAAATGAAAAATAGTAGATGTATAATAAAAACTAATGGTCGTAGAAATGAAATTATTTCTCAACCCATCTTTTTCCCCACCCGACACTTTGTGCCTGACTCTCCGCCTTCGTTACTACTGGCGCAATGTGTGAGACGAAACCGCCTGCGCCGTCAAAATAGATGCCGAAATATACAATAACTTTCTGGAATCGTATCGCCCTCCCTCTGACCTTGTCCTCTTTTCTTCCATCCATGTCTTCGCTGCACCACAGCCTGACTTTTATCCGGCGCTAATTCCAGACCATTTGCTCTCAGCCAGTCATTAATGTTATCCATTGCAGAATTCCACAAATCCTACGCAATTGTTGAGTTGATTTTTTGAGTTTTGAAAAAATTCACCTTCCGTAGCATCAGAGTCGAGCAAAGCAGGAAGAGTCGAGGCCGTTACACTAGAAACTGAAGAAGACTCTGACGATATATTGAAAACTTTTGCTAATAGTCGCGGCAGAGCTAACGCAACAAGAGACCGTTCAGTGGAACGGACCTGTGATGTGGTGGTGACCGAAGCGGATGATTTCATTAATTCCTTGGTATGCGGTAAATCGAGTGCATCGACGAAATCGGCAAAACTCGATTATGAAAACGCGGATAGAATTCTAATGGAGGCGGACAAACTACTCCATAGTTGAAGGTAACGTTTATATGGGGGTAGGGCAAACATTGGTACATCAGATTTCACCGATTTTGAAAAGTGACTTTTAGGTTACTTTGGGTTAGGTTAGGTTAAAGCAAAAAAAAAAAACACTTAAAACCTGTTTTAATAAAACCTGTTTTAAAAATAGTAAAAAAAAAGTGTTGAGACTTAAAAGTTTGGTTATGAATGGTAGAATGCCGTAAAACACAGTTTTACAAGTAAATCGTTTTGTTCGCTAGTTTTATGTATTTATGTGTAAGAATATTTAAATAGTATACGTATTTCGATATAATACATATAAGGCAAAACTTGATTGCAATAGTATTATTTTTACCCTACCTGAGAACCTACCCTACGCTACTTCCCAATGATTATTAAATAAGTACTAAAACGATTTAATGTTGACATTAAATTGAAAATAACGAGTGATTATCCAAACAAAATGCTATATTAGCTACTCAAAATACTCAAAGTCCATCAAAACTCGGGTAAGTTTCAGATTATTTCCAGCCAGCGAGCGAAAAATTACACTATAATATATATATATATATATATATATATATATATATATATATATATATATATATATATATATATATATATATATATATATATATATATATATATTCGAGTGTTCGAAGTGTTTTCGGAGCGCGAGCATTGAAGATGCCAAGTGAGATTTTGGCGAAACGTCTGCAGGATTCCAGTCGGAGTTCAACGAGCGAACGGATGATATCCCGGAGTATAGTGTCATCACATTTTTCCATTCGTGAATCAATACGTGAGAATATATATATATATATATATATATATATATATATATATATATATATATATATATATATATATATATATATATATATATATATATATATATATATATATATATATATATATATATATATAAGTTTTTTTCGACCGCGATCATTTCTGTACCGTTGAAGAGAATGGCCACCATTCTCTTCAACGTGAATTTCAAATATTGATGTATTGATGCATACTATTTTTGCATACTCATATATATATATATATATATATATATATATATATATATATATATATATATATATATATATATATATATATATATATATATATATATATATATATATATATATATATATACTATATACTAAAAACTAAATTAACGTAATATGGCGCCGGTTGCGGTCTTAATGGTTACAACCCTCACCACGCCATTGGGACCGGGTGTGTTTGGATTATACGTCCACTTAAGTGGGGGTAATTTAACTAGTACAAGAGTAGTGTTTTCCATTGGAACAACCGGATCGAACCACTTACTTTGCATTAAAGTATGTAATTACTCTGTATACCAAAGCCGCCAGAAATCTTTGTGCACGCGCTGCGTTAACTGCCCCCGAGAAAGTCTATTTCATTTAATAATAAGAAACTTGAGCTTTTACTTGATGAAAATCTATTTATCAAAATTAATAACAACTAAAAGTTCAGATTTTCACGAAATTATGTTTATGTATTTTTATATGACAATTGTTTGGACAATACCGTTTTTGTATCAAATGTAATATTTACAAATTACTTGCTACTATGTATACCGAAAAATGGCCATAAAACCTTAATTAAAATAATGAGTATGGTTTTGTTTATACTCCTCAAATAATAAATGTTATGGTGGGAATTTGCTGGTATCGTATTATTGGGCCATTTTCTATGGTCTATAACCTCACGGCAGGAACCTATTTAGATTTATTACAAATTCAAATTGAACGCGCACTAGAAGAAGTTGTTTGCGAAGATCAGGAGATCTGGTACCAGATAACTCCCATATGTTTAGGGAGTATTTGGGAAGGACTTTAACGGGAATATTATCGACCCAAGTTGCCGAACCCTTTGGCCACCCTGGTCATTTCACCAATCGTACGACGTCTTTCTGTGAGGTCCATTGAAAAGTGTTTTTTATAAAAACAGTTCAAAACGGTATTTGTTTAACATTTAATGAAGGGGTGTTTGAGCATTTACTTAAAAAATAATGTTTCTTTATAGCAATATCTCGTAGTCGTTATTTTATTATAATTAAAATTCAAGCTTCCTTGTTGCCTAAACCGTCCTTTAAATGAAATTCATTCCAAGAGCGCTTTAAGGGACAAGGAGGGCTTCAGAACCGAGCATGAGTTTGATCATAAGAAAAACCATGATATACCTACATACTTAGTGTATTTGTAATTTATTTGATATGTCCCGCTTGACGTTTGCAAGTTTTGGAAGTAGCGTCATGGAAAATATTTGCTGGGGTTTCTTGTATTGATCTTTGCAATTTTACCATCATAGTTAATTCAGTTACTGATGATTGGCTTATTAACATTTATTCAAACTGGGCATATCATACCAGATCCTTAAAAAAGATATATTACGATTACACGGGAGCCAATATTTGGGCACCTAAAATACATGGAATGCAGAGTTTTCGACTACATTTTAACACTCACATAAAGGGTTTGTTCTTTGATCTTTTGTTCAATTAAATAATTAGGAGAAATGAATAAAGCCCACAACTTTTCTGTCTACTATTTTTTCATATAACCCATAACAAAATTTGTAAGGTAGGTGTTAAAATATTGTCTGGTATTTTGTGCTGTCTGTAAAAAATAAGTATACCATTTATTGAAGTACGAATTTCGTTTTTTGTACACATTAATATAATTTTTTTTAATTTTTTTTCTATTGTATTATTTCCACGTTTCTAGTCTAAAAGAGAAATGTGTTGTTCTGTTGGTGATTTATGAACATTAGAGTATATTATATTTATTATATTATAGTATATTATTTATAAAGAGAACGTTTTCCTCATTTTTTTTCTAAACTCTACCCTTGTTTTTCTGTTTTCACTATCGTAATCAGTGGAGAAAATGTACTAGTTTGCCAATTTAACCGACTTCGTGTATCTACTCATAACAAAGTTACCAATGATGAGCACCTAATTTAGATCAGCTTTGTATATTTGAACATACTTGGGTAACTCAAAGTCACGTCTGACATTACAAACGGACGTCATATGGATGCCCAACAAATAAATGCTAGAAATCGACAAGAGACCCGCAAGAATAATAATGTAATAAGCTAACCTATCAGAGGAGGTAGGTTGTAGCTGCGAAGCCATTGTCCACACAGCTATGTGTAGGAGCAAAATTTTTGTCCAAACAATGGATATTTCAGACCGAAGATTTATCAAATGCCTGTCCATTAAATGAAATTAAGGCAAACCGGATACAGAATAAGAACTTAATTTTTTGTAGCAAAGTTGGATAATAAATTCAACTTGATTGATACAACATTAATGTTACATCAAACTGGTATCTGGGTATACCATGAAGCTTAAATGTTTCTAAGTGTAATGTGCTTACTTTCTCTAGAAAGCCGAGCATAATCATCTTTAATTAGGTAATAAATGGGAACTGTATTGATTCGATTAAGTGAGGTTAAAGACTTAACTTAGGTTGTCTTCTTCTATACCTCATATTGAGCAATTAGTATCCTCGGCGTCGAGAGCGTCTGGTTTTGTAATAAGAAGAAAATACTCATTTTTTTAAGGCAGATAATATATATCCTCGCAGAGGATTTGATTTGAAAATTTCTGAATGGGCTCGTACATGGTAGGATGAACTCTTTTCAGTAAAGTAAAATTTTATTTCCCCAGAATTGAAGGCGAGATCTAGGCCTACGTTTCATCTCCCTGCACTTACGACAAATGTTTATATCAGCCGCCAATTTTGTTTATCTGTGGTAACCTTAATTTTATTTCAGACGGGCAGCGCCAAAATTTGGAATTTGAATATGGAAGAAACAAAGTAGAGTAGCAATTTTTTATTATTTTTCAATGTAATCCCCCTTAACTTCAATACACTTATTACATCTCTGTATTAACAACTCAATCCCTTTAAAAAAATATTCTTTTGATTTGTCTGCAAAATGAGTTATTCAAAAATAGTATGCATCAATACATCAATATTTGAAATTCACGTTGAAGAGAATGGTGGCCATTCTCTTCAACGGTACAGAAATGATCGCGGTCGAAAAAAGCTTTTTTTTTGTCTGGCCGTTCGCCGTTCTCGTCTTTTGGTTAACTTTCGAACCGTTGGAGCTACAAGATTGAAATTTTGCTTCTTTTTAACCCTCCATGAGGCACACAAGCTTATGCTCTGATCCGACTTTTTTTTGGACCTCGCTATGAAACACGATAAGTGTCCGAATTTTGAAGCAATCGACTTCATATTTGGCACATATATGCAGCCTTGCCCCGTGGCGGAACCTATTAAAAATGGGGGGGGGGGGGGGCAGAGAGGTCGGGAAGTATTCAAGAAAAATAAAAAATCGCGCGTGTAAGTGTCGACAAAAAACACTATTTTTCAAAAACTCTTTACGAGACCAAAAAAATTCTTGAACCAGAAGAAGCAAAAGACACGGCTCTATAAACTTTTACTACGTGACAATTTTTCAAAAATATACAGGGTGCGCCGCAAATTCAACAAAACTGAAAAATGGGTCCCCCCATTATTGAAAATTGGTTTTAACCGAAAGGCTATGATTCAGATCTCACATTCTTTTATATTGCGGTATAGTCCGCATAGACAGGAAAAACTTCTGTATTTAAGGTTTGCCACTATTGTACAGGGTGTTCCCGATATTCCGCGCTAAATGAGAAATGCGCTAAGTGTCCTAAAAAAGTCGGTGTCCACATTTAAACTGTAAAATGACATTTTACCAAGTATTTTTTAAAAATAATTGATTTTTTTTTGGTAATTTTAGCTTCCAGAAAAATATAGTTTCGCAAATCAAAAATCGTAAAATATGGTTAATTGGTTCAAACGGTGTCATAGGCCGTATCAAGACCTACAATTTTTGTTATTTCGGTTGCTGTCAAGACGCGATGAAATCATGCCAGTTTTGGATAAGATTTTAGTAACTTGAAATAAGTTTTAGAAATAATTGATAATTGAAAATTTCAATATTATTTTTAATTTGTGCGTTCTTTTATTAATTAATGTTTATTAATCTGTTTTTCGTTTCGTTGGTGATAATGTTGTACGCAGATGTTTAGCCGAAAATGTTAATAAACCATTAACAAGAAAACAATTGTTAATATGTCAACGGAATATGTTTTCAGCAGCACTAAATGTTACTGTAACACAAAAAAAAATTACTTTTTGCACTTGCCACATGTCACCCAGTAAGTTATTAGTCTAATGAGTTTACTTATATTTATTACCTATAGTCTCGTTGTTATTACAAAGCAAATTGTTCATAATTTTCGTAATATATAGTGGTGCGTCACATTTAATTAAGTTGCTTAATAGTGTTCATTTACATTTGTACTAATAAACATAGTAAGTGCTGAGAATTGCTCGTTAAACTGCCGTGCATTTTATTATTTTTATCACTATTTTTAACTTATGGGCAGCGTTTAAGGAAAAGTTAAAAAAATATGATCAGTGCAATGTTCGCTACGTATAGGTAAGTCATGTGGAAAATATTATTTTAAAAAATGATATAAACCGGGGTCCACCTAAGATGAACCACCCTCCGATCTAAGTAATGGCAAGCGCATCAAAACAAGGTTTTTTTTTCTGGAAGCCAAAATATATCGTGTTTAATAGCGATGTTCAAGAAACAGTCGAAAATTGAAAAAAAAAACAAGATGGCCGCCGATGTTTGACACCGAGCATTTTCACATATCTTGCGCGTTCCATAGACCTTTAAAAAGCAGCAAAATTTGAACCGTGTAGCTGAAACCGTTCCGAAGTTATTGTCACAAATGTCCTGGAACAGAAACGGAGAACGGACAGACAACAAAAATTTTTTTTTCGACGCTGATCAACTCGGTGCCAACGACGATCTCTTAGGACTTACCGTTACCGAGATATAAAATATAATCGTGTCTTGCCTCACAATATTTTTATTATTTTATTATAAAATATTTTGCCTTTTTGCCAAGTGAGATTTTGGAGAAGTGAGTGTTGGAAGTGTTTTCGGAGCGCGAGCATTGAAGATGGCCAGTGAGATTTTGGTGAAACGTCTGCAGGATTCCAGTCGGATGCAAGACTCGAGTCGGAGTTCAACAAGCGAACGGATGATATCCCGGAATATAGTGTCATCATATGTATATATATATATATATATATATATATATATATATATATATATATATATATATATATATATATATATATATATATATATATATACATATACATATAGATATTATGAATTAAGTTTTTGGGATAATTATGTTCTAGAAGTGCGCGTTTTGCTTTTTTAATTAGGTATGGTGTAAATTCTGTATCGAATAACATTATTGCTCTGTCTGCGAGACCTATTATGATGGATTTTTTTTGGGTTTCATGATGGTCTTCAGCAACTACTGATGAGTTTGTAGCTCGTTGTGTCTCAACATAATTTTGTCTTTGGTTTGAACATCATATTTCTGAAGAACTTTTAAAATGTGGTGAGTGGTGTTTTATATGTAGGAAGGGAGCGTAGTAGCAAGTATGGGATTGGTTTCGGGCTCATTTTCTTTGGGAGGTTGCGGTGAATTGTATTTTGTGATGAAACGCTTAATATCTCTAATGTGTAAATTATTACAGAGGAGAGTAGATGTTAGACGTTTTAATTCAGTTTGCGACTTGATAACTGACGATTTTTGGTCTCAATAGTGGTGTGACAATCCCTTAAGGTATCGATCTGTGTGCGTAGGTTTTCAATGTTAGTTTTGGTTAGTTTAGTTAAGAAAATCTTATTTGCATAAGTTTGGTTTTAGATGGAAGATGCCGAGGGCTTTCTCTTTAAAAAGATCGGTAAATGTATAGCTGATGACTGATCGTTACAAAAAAAAATTGTCAGGCGCGTAAGTCAAGGCAGGTAAAACACTGTCACACCTTCTCTCTTGGTTTTATGAGCGACTATGTTATCGCAAATCGTACTACACAAAAGTCTTGTGGGTTTCAATGTGTTAAACAACAATTTATATATTTCATCTTATACATAAAGTAATTAAAGAAAATTGCAGAGTCATATAATAACAGGGGCGTAAAGTAACCATTTCGGAATTGTATAATTTATATGAATTTGTAACATGCACGACTTCAGTAAATCCCTAAATGCTTTATCGAATCGGAGAAACCTTGATGTAATACGAAACGCGTATCTCTATAAAACTACGTAAACATAAACATTATAGGACACACTAAACTTGACCTAGATTTGTTACGCATACAAAGTTTGCGCAAATAAATTATTCAAAATGCACAATATTAATTGTTTCATTAATTGCTCTTGGAATCGGATATTCAAATATTTAGGAACTTTATCACGAGATTAACGTCATATATAAACCATTCCCCAAAATTTTTGTTTGGTATTTTTTTATACCATTTTTTCAGTTTTCTTCCACGGAAATGTGTACGACGACCGTGTGCACTATTTTAATAGCATTTCTGGCGTTTGCCAGTTCGGACTACACAAACTTTAACGATTTTTCCGAAATGGTGAAGAAAAGTATTTCCGAATCCAAGCGCTACAGGCTGCCACTCGATAACAGAAAAATCGCTTATACTGCTGATTCATCGACCAACGGTAAGGCTTGTCTTGTTTATTGTTAACATTTCCAAAAGGTTTTCCAATTATGAGCGTTTCTGACGAAACACTTTTTCATTACTGATAAAGATAGCGAATTTATTATATCGAGACCCAGTAAAACTATTATACTTCTCCAATTTTTATTGTTCTCGAGAAAATATTATTCTTACAAGGTGTCTTAGCAAGAACTTTGATGATCTGTAGAGGTACATGATTTCCTTAGCTTATTATATAGTGTGATAATCTGTGATGAGAATAAATTAACTTCCCAGTTTTTAAGATACCTAATATTGGCTGTACAAGTGTCATTACATTATTTCTCTGACCTCTCTGATCAAAGGAGCTGCAAAAATCGAATAAAAAATAAAATTGTTGATGGTTTGATAAAGACGGAACGATGAAGCTCAAAAATACAAGAACAATAAATAAATAATATAAAATAAAATAAATTGATAAAGTCAAAGCCGGAAATTTGAGATTCCGGACATACATCCAGAAGTGGCAAAGATTACTTCTATTATCGCGCTTATCGATACGCAACTATGCCCTAGTTTGATCTATTCTCTATCTCTGACGATTTCCGATATTCAAAAGATTTTATTTATCGATAAACTTAACTCAAGAGTTTAAGGCAAATTATAATATGCTGATACTATCTAGTATCTATCTATAAACATCAGACAAGAATCTGAAAGCAACTGTAAAGAACGACAATCATTTATACGATAAAATTAAATTGTTTCCCTAATTGGCTTTTGAAAACGATAAAGTTTTTTTATAGGAGACTGACAAGCATAATTAGTGCGATTTCGTCTCAAATTTCGTAAAGTCACATTAATTGACAGTGATAAAGGTAACATCCACAATTCTCAAATTTAATTTAACTAGGCAAAATCTAATAATCTGAAACTGCTCATGTAGAAAGGAGGCCATATATTAAACAATGTTAAACGAGGTTATCGCATCATAAGGCATCCATGACACACAGTCTTGCCTTCGAACCCCTGTCAAAATGTGGGAAATGTTCAATATATTTGACCATATTTTTTCAAAACCACTACTTCACTGCTTCCACTACTTGCTACTGCAATACTATTTACAAATCTTCTGGATTCCTCCTGCGTCGTCTGGGATGACTGATTCCCATATTAGTGACAGGTAAAGACCTGAGTCGCGGTTAAGATTGTTTGGTTGCTTATAGATTTCTATAGGTTCTCGGATTTATCGTCGGTAGAATACTTGATTATGTGCAAGAATTTTAGTTCTATCGAATATTTAATGTCCGGTTCTGCTGATGAGTTTATTTATCGTAGTCTTAAGGCTCTTTCATATTCTATGAGCCTCGTTGATATTTTTCGTCCTGGCTCTCGAATGTATTCTTTGCCGCGTATGAATGGAATGCTGTAAACTCCTGGTATTTCAAAAAGGAATTTTGTCTTTGACGGATCAAAGATGTTGAGATATTTTTGGACAAGTTGTAAATCTGGTTTCGAAGTTATATTTCCTGAGATCTTTTGATATGTGGTCAGTGATACTTTGAATGTAAGGAAGGATAACAGTGGCAAGTATGGGGTTGCCTTGAGACTCCGTGTCTTTGGAAGATTGTGGTGAAGGGTATTTTGCGATGGGATGCTTAATGGAAATTACAAGAGAGACGAGCAGATGTGAGGTGTTTTAATTCTTGTTATTTGCTCTCATGATTATTATCATCAATAGAAAATCAGAACTAACATTGGGTCATTGGATTTACAGGAAACCAGTGCACACCGTACAACTCAACCTGAGTCACTGAGCCCAGAATTAAAATACCTTACATTCTCTTCTCTCTAATAATTTCCATATTAGAGATATTAAGCGTTCCATCATACACATTTCACTATAATCTTCTAAAGACCATGAGCCCGAATGCAACCTAACACTTGCCACTGTTGTCCTTGTTCACATTCAAAACATCACTGATCTCATATCAAAAGTACTTAAGGAATATAGAAAACTAGAATTACCACCAGATTTATAAATAGTAAATTTGACCATAATTTCCGTTATAGTGGTCAAACTGGATTTTAGAACTTTTTTGATATTTCTTTTTGCTTTTCTCAGAATCACTAGTTTCAAAATTTTTCTATTCTTGCTTGTTTGCTGCTGTTTCTTGTCCTACTTCTTTAACATTTACCCCATCTAATGGCCAAATGTTCTTCCATACCCCTTTTTGTGTTTGTTTATGTGTCTATGGCATTATTGTTTATCCAAAACTCTGTTATTGTTTGTTTCTTTTCTCAAACATCTATCTAAATTTGGAATGTTGGGCACAAGTAATAAGTTGGTTTAATTAAAGCAGAAAAATTCGTTTGAATGGCTTGGAGAATTATCAGTTAAAAGTGGTGCTCATGGTTCAAGTATTTTAATTTCGCTCTTGGGTTTTTGAAAACAGATGCTGCTAGCGGTATCAAAATCGAATCATAAACAAAGATTTTACAATGATACACTGTATGCATGTTAATAGTCAGTTTCTCATTCAACCAGGTCTCAAGATCTTTAACCATTTCACAATGCTTACATTATGCGTTCTAAGATAAATTCAGCCTCTTATTTATTTTGTAAATATTCAGTCTATTCAGGTCTTCCTGCAGTAAATTTTCGACATAAAACAAAAATTAGTGTTTCTAATTAGCAATATTGTTAAAATAAATAATCAAGATTAAAGGCGAAGTTGACCACCCTGAGGAACACCAGATGATACCCCAATATAATTTGATCTGGCTGTGTGTTCATGAAGTGATGAAAATGTTATCCATTTCAGAATTTGGGGAGTTTGATTTTATAGTGGTCGGTGCCGGATCTGCGGGTGCCGTCCTCGCCAACAGATTATCCGAGATTCGCCACTGGAAGATCTTGCTTCTAGAAGCTGGCGGAAATGACAACGACTTCAGCGACATTGTCGGATTGGCAGCTCATTTATTTTATTCAGATATGAATTGGGGTTACAATACCACCGCACAAAAGAACATGTGTTTCGGTAAGAAACGATGAAACTAAAAGAGTATTCTTCTGGCAATTACTCTGAAATGGAAGAAAATATTAACGTTATAATTGCGAATTGCGCCCTCTAGCAATTTTATTTTAAACTATCGAGTACTAATGGTGTTTCAAAACACTCGAATATACCGTCTTATTAAAATCGGTACGAATTTCTCGCGTTTCATAGAAATCTTGAAAAACGAAGCTCAGTGTGCATTTCCAGAAAGTAGTGCGTAAACAGATTTTTTCTAATCCCGTCTGTAAAATACCTAATTACTCACCGATCTAGCGTGCGGGAGGCGTCACTTTACCACGACAGTTTCGTTTCCCACGGATCCGAGCCACTTCGCACATTTCCGGGATTTTACCGCACGGATTTGGGAGCAATCGGATGTTTTTGGATATATTTCCAACGCGTTGAATGTTGACGTTTGTCAATTCTGACAGTCGTGTCAGTGAATGTATTCGTGTTGTTTTGTGAAAATGTACCAAAAAACTAACGGTCGTAGAAAAAGTATAGTATTCATTATTTAAGAATTAATTTGGAGGTTTACTACTTTTGACCGTTTTTCTTTTTTCTCAAGCAAAATTCATATTTTTTAAAATAGGCCACAATCGTTTTCTAGATATTAACTGAATACTGTAATCCTGACAGTGCGAATAATATCGCGGTGTTGTTTTTTACTCTATTATATTGGTGTTTCTATTTTTTTAATATTTTTATTATAATTACATTTTCTCCTTGTACTTCCAATTTCAACTTAATATTTGTTAGCATTAACTTCACACTTCAATTGAAGTTTTTATGTGAATGTTTCAATGACATGATAATATGCAAGTTTTTAACGAATACGAATAGCGCCAAGTGGTTAGACCACCAGTTACACATGCATTCTGTGTTGCGCATGACACAACAAACAAAAATATGACAGATCGCCGTTTTAGATTCTTCCGGCGAGTGCATGACGTCACGCGGAGCTAAAAATTTGAATTTGATGCCGGGTACTAATGGATATGATACTTGTTTACATTGCTATTGCTAAAATTTGCACGCAAATTGCTGTTGTATTTCTAGAAACCAAATATGTAGAAACATTGAAAAGTCGTTACATAGATTTTTAAGTTAATGAAAAAATAGGCGCCAATATTTAAAACGAAGTTTTGATATTACAATAACGGATTTGGATACCATTTCATTAACTATAAAAAAAAATCTAGGTGCTGATCTGTTTTTTAAAATTTTTTTTTTTAAATAATTTTAGTATAAATCACTGTATTTTTCTATAATATTCTATGGATTAATTATAAATGAACAGTTTTAAAAGCGAATAAAATGGGAATTATGAACAAGAGTCTTGAAAGTAAACACATTTGTCTTTCTAGCATAGAGAGTTTACGGGTTGAAGTGAATCTTAGTAGTCATTGCAAAGAGAAAAGGCAGCTGTTTGCAATATACCATGATATATTAATATAAATAAAACATGTATCGTGGCAGAAATCAAACGACTTTTATGCCATTTAATTGCAGTAATCTCATAACAAAGCAATAGCAAAACATTCTCGAAATTAAAAAATATTAATAATGAAGAATAATTTTTCATAACTCAGAAATAAATTTTGAGTTAGATGTAGTTAACTTATATTGTTTTTGAAATACGTTAAAACTTAAAAATGGAGGTGACAAGTAATCCTGAAAATCAAGTACAAGTAAAAAGTTCAAATGTCAAATGTTCAATATCAAGATTTTTTTATGCTGGAGCCCTCTAAAGCACTAAAGGGCACATCAAAAAAAAGGAACTTCCCTGCTTTCTAAAAGAGTCTCAAGTAAATCACTTCTATTTTTTATATCAATTCGACTGTTTAGAGCCTGATAGCCCTCTATTTTTGCAGTGGCGTAGCCCAAAAGTTCAAAACGCACATTACTTTGGTAAGGAGTTTCATCAAAATGTCTAGAATAGACTCTGGCAGTTTTTACAATTATTGCCCATTTGCAAGCTGTCACCTAACTTTTTTGAATGTTTTCGTCATGAGGGAACTGGATAAAAAATTTAAATCAAATAAAAGTGTTTGTAAGAATCGCAACTTTTTCCAGCGATGCCCAATAATCAGTGCATTATGCCAAGGGGGAAAGCCAGAGGCGGCTCTAGCACAATCAATTTAGGTATCTACTCCAGAGGTCATCCTGAGGATTACAACAGGTGGGAACAACTTGGCAACGAGGGGTGGTCGTTTGATGACGTCCTGCACTACTTCAAAAAGTCGGAAAATGCTGTCTTCGAGGGCCGAGATGAGGGTTACCACGGAAATGGAGGGTATATGCACGTAGATGTTCTACGACCTACAGCCGGATTCGTAAGTTTGACACAACCTTTAGTTATTTATTTCCAGTTTGGGTCACATATAGTACAAAAGTACCAAAAAAGCGTCTATGTGTTGGAAGGGCTCAGGTTAGCTTAACAATAAAAATTAAATTTAATTAGTACTCTTATATAAATAAATTAAAAAGAAAATTTAACTTTTAAACAATTTAACGATCTCCGGCTTTTTTTTGTAAGCAATAAATATTTTTTACAATTTATTTGAATGTTGATAGCAATGGTTTACAAGAAACGTTCAAAAGAGTGCCCAGCCCAACCCGACATTGTATTGCAAAACGTTTTATTATTTTTTATAATTTTATTATCGTGTTTTTGGTATATTAAGTTTCAACTCATTATTTTAAAAATTCACACCATAAAACACAAAAAATCCTAAAACTTTCATAATTCATAAGTTTTCGTATTTCACATTAAGTTATATTTTTATCTTTAACTTGACCGTGTGGAATGATGCGAAGGTTAAGATTTTTTCTCTATCCTCTTTCAATTCACGTAAATCGAGCATAACTATATGATGGACTGTAATTACGGCAGCAATCTGCGATATTTGGGGCGTTCCAAGATTTGGGCTACAGCAATGTGGATCACAACGGACCAAATCCGATAGGAGTCAGTCGGATGCAGTTTTCCCTGAATTATAACAAGAGAGCGAGCACTTCGCGGGCATTTTTAGATTTTTTCGAGAAACGGCCAAACCTCGACTTGAGCCTGCGGAGTTTCGTCACTGCAATACTGATCGACGAGTCGAAACGAGCCTACGGGGTAGAGTTCATCAAAGACGGGAGACGATACGTCGCGCGATCGAAGAAAGAAGTTATTTTATCAGCCGGCGCGGTCAATACACCCCAATTGCTAATGCTGTCCGGTATCGGACCTAAGCAACACTTAGGCGAGCTAGGAATCGACGTTATCCAAGACTTGCCGGTAGGAGAACATTTAGCGGACCACGTTTATTATCCTGCTCTATTTTACAGGTAAATACGAAGTTGTTATTACCATGTGTAAAGATCATCTTTCATATATTTTATCTTTTGCATTGTAAGTTTTATCATACAAACAGCACATGAATCACACAGATAAAGAGAGTAAAAAATGGGTTGTGGTCGTAGGAGGTTGTGGTCGAACCAGACACCAGCTTAATTTTTTTTAAAAGGAATGCCCTGTATATTATTAGATTTTTTGATTCTAGGAAAAAATCGAAAAAAATCTATCTATTTATAATCTAGTCCCTTTTTACCCGTATTGTGTAATGGTAAAATTTTGACATAAAATCTAGCTAATTATCTACAAAAAGTGTCCAGCCTTTTCTATTTAGTGCTAAATTTCCAGCTTCTACCCATGTTCTTCCACTCTTTTTCACAATCTTTCCCACAGTTATGTCCTAAATTTCTCTGGGTCTTCCTCTTTTCCCTGCATTTTAATCTGTCAAACTCTTTTAACCGGTACAATGCTGCCTAATCTCTGGAAATCGCCCCGCCAATGAAATTGTTTCTTTTCCATGCATTCCACATTTAACCTTTTCTCTTATATCTGCATTTCTAATTATGTCCTTCCTGGGTATTCCTTTAACTCTCCTCAAGCATCTCTCCAATTTTGCTCTTGAAAATCGCTATGACTCGGAGCCATATGTAAGAATTGATTTGTAAACTTCCTTGAATATATCCTTTTTATGTATGAGCCCCTTACTCCATGCATAAGTACAACTTATTTCCCTTTCTTATTTAATTCTGTATCCTGTTCTACTGTTTCTTCAGACATAATTCCTAACTACTTGTTCTATTAGTTTTCCACCCATTTTGATTTTCAACTTCTCTTTTTCCATAACCATTTAGATAAAACGCTGAAATTTTGTTTACAACAGGGTGTTTAGAAAATTACGCATATTTTGCGTAAGTTTTAAATTTAACTTTCTGTTTTATTGTGGCAATGAAAAGAGCGATTCATTCTTGATCTGAAACTGTTATAACATAACCGTATCTATTTTGAATCGTTTTGGAGTTAAAAGCAAAAAACTAGAAAAGCGATATATTTTGACAGTTCAATTAGATTGTATTTATTTATATTTATTATATTAATGTTATATTTAAAAAAAGATTTAATAATATAATATATAATTTCTTTTTAAAAACTTTAGATTTCGTTGATATTTTATCAAATCCTGAGTAGGCTCTTTGTGCTGAAGAAAATGCGTGAGGCAAGGACGAAGTTGCAACTTTTGCAAGAACAATTTTTCCTTCTCACAAAGGTGGTGCTACGATACATTTACCACAGTGTTTGATAGTTGGGAACAGTTTGATCGTTTCACTAGTATTGGCGTTAGTTTTTCAAAAATTTGAATGTGATTCTGGGTAGAAGAGAAACGAAGATTCTCAGCTTTGTCATGTATCATGTTGCAAGATGTAGAGGCAAAAGAGATTGATTGATTGATTTTTTCTATGTCTTTATGAGTATAATCAATTCTTTCTCGAAGTAAACCACAACTAGATTTACGAAGAGTGTTATAAGCAGAAGAGGTTTTGACGTGATGAGATATTTTATAAGAATTAGGGATAACTTCATGGTATCTAAAACGTAACATTGTCACATCACCACTTCGTCCAAAAATCATCGGTTTTCAACTCTTTTGTTTACAGAGCGGCAAAACTATCTCATTGTTTGAAAGGGTATCGAAGTCGGATGGGAATAAGATGGAAGCAATTTCAAAATCTAGAGGCACAAGAGTCTTATTGATTTGGTATATCTCTTTACGGGTATGATGAATTCTTTCTCGAAGTAAAGCAAAAGTAGATTTATGAAGAGTTTTGTAAGTATATGAGTTTTGATATGGTGGGATACCTCAAGAAAATTAGGAATAACGTTATGGTGTCTACAGTGTAACAAAATAGACAGTGTCCTATTTCTGAAACTCTCAACCATATTTTACAGAATTTGGAACCAAACCTTCTTCTTTTCATTGAAAAATGCTTGTCTGGAATATAGATATTCATATAGCCTGTTTCTATTCTTTCTAAAATTAAGTCCTTAGAATAAAATCCTGATAAAAATGGTATGCCACGTAAAGCAAAATTTCTAAAAATAAAAATTCTAGAAATAAAAGGTATTTAATTAATCAATTTTCCCATATAACAAATATCTTGGCACCCCCCACAATTAAGAATAATAATTCCCACACATATAAATATTAAAACGAAAAAAAGCTAAATCAGCTCTGCCAAAAATAAAATTCTTATTATAAAACCTAATTGTCTTAATGTCGATAAAGCAATAATCTTTTTTAAATCATTTTCAAAATCAGGAGCAATTCCATATAAGGGTCAAATTTTTCAACAAACGTCGGGAACAGCTATGGGTTCTTCACTATCACCAGTCATCGCGAATATATTTATATTTATATTATATTTGAGAAGAAAACTTTGTCCAAAAATGCACCAACATGTTCGATCTTCAAGGAGAAAATTCCGTTTGAGCATTCCATACACTGAGCTCAAAAATCATGAAAGAGAGTTAAAAATAAATAAATTCATCAGCAATTGCATAATTCTTTAGCTCCGGCCCATCAAACAATGTAGAGTAGAATGTGTGCCAGTTTCAGTTAGGTTCTGAAGAAGACAACAGAATGATCGACGAAACGTCGGCATCAACAACCGATTAAAAATTATAAAATAGTCCGAGAGAGCTACAACATAGAACATAGAAAGTTGGACCAGATAATTACAGTGGTTTCCAGGGTCGCATTTTTCAAAAAACTTCTACCGAAAATGGAAAGACCGTTTTTAATTATTATGGATAATGCACGATATCATTCTAGACTTAGTGAAGGTGTACCAAATGCATCGACAAAGAACGAAGAAATTATTAATTGGCTACGCAGTAAGCGGATTAATTACCCAGAAAAGGGTCTAAAATGTGAGTTGTTAAAAATTGTCAATTATTACAAAACAAACTTTCCGTATGCTACAGACGAAATTTTGCTAAAATGCGTCGTCAAATTTTTAGATTGCCTCCTTACCACTGTATATTTAATGCCATAGAATTGGTGTGGGCTCAGTGCAAAACATTTACAGCAACAACCAAAGAAAATCGGATCAGTTGCATAACACATACAGACAATATAATAAAAGAATACTGTGAAGAAGAGAATACACTTGATATAACGGTACCACCACTAACATAGACGAAGCATAAGGCAGTAGCAGTTCCAATTTTAGGATGGTAAATTATATTTTATACGGTTCGATATATATTTTCTTAATTTTCAGATTTTTCTGGTATTGTTTTAATTTTAATTTCCTGGGCAGAGCTTTCGTACAATAGTTTTTTTAACAAATTTTGATCTTTAAAGGCGGCTGTCTTGCATTGATCAGATAGGCGTTTATGGCAGAACCACATCTGTTGATGTATAAGTGAAAGCAAGATGAACAATCTGGTTTATTTTGTGTGGCATTTTATACTTTGCTATGCCAATCGTGCCGACTAAGTTTAAAATAACTTTTTTTTGTCACTGCGAATCGAACCTTCTCAAGTCTTGTTTCAGATCGAACCAAACGTTTTATAACCAAACTGTGGACGACAATATTGAAGACTACACCTACAACCTGAGACCTTTGACCTCTGCTCTCGAAATGGTCAGCTTCGTCAATCTCAGCGGTTCGAAGGTGGATCGACCAGACGTCGAATATATGATTACAGTCCCGACTACCACGGATAACCTTCGATTACTAAATCCGTTTGTTATTAATTATCTCTGGGATCGCAGCGCAGATAACGGCTCAAATTTGCAGAATGAAGGAGGAGTTTATCATGGACGTAGATGCCTTGCACGACATCTGGTTTCCCCTGGTCCTCTTACATCCGAAGTCGGTCGGCAAAGTAACGCTGCAGTCCAGCAGCATCTTCGATTTCCCACTGATAGATCCGAATTATTTGTCGGACGAAGCTGACTTACAGACTTTATATAGGGGCGTTCAGTTTATAATGCGTTTGAACGAGACGGACACGTTCAAAACGTATAAGGCGACCTTTAGACATCCACCGGTACCGGTCTGTGACGATAACCACGAGAGATTTTCGAAGGAATGGTGGTTCTGTTCTTTTAAGACCTACAGCGTCAGCGTAAGTACAACGCAAGCCAGCCGTGTCTGACTGCGAAAGAACGGTAATGTCATGTATCAAATTAAAAGGGCATGCTGTAGTCCTTGGGACTAAAATTTTTGCACCTCACTTTGGTTCGACGTTGGTATCTAAATAAAATGGAATAATTATTACTAACCACGTTAATTATCGTTTTTACTGTATAATTAGTTTATAGACATGGATGGACACTATAAAATACATAAAATACAATTTTTTTATGAAACTGGAATATTTCAAAAACTGTTAATAGATTTAACATCTATGCATTTTTCTTTGAAAGTTTCATTAGAATTATTGACATGTATTTTTGTGAAAAAATAATTCAGCACTTAGCTTTCTACGTATATGAACAAAACTGCACTGAAATTAATCCAAAATCCTTTGTTAAGTTAAATAAAAAATTTGAAAATGAAATTGATGATTTAACACCCCGTAATTTTTTGCCAGTCAACTTTTAAACTAGGCTCCAATTTTAAAAATTTGCAAATCAAATTTTCAGTTTAATACTTTGTAACATTTTACCTGTCAACTTTTGAACTAAGGTATGTGTGGCTTCAATTTTGATTTTTGGTTTTTATAAACCCAGTGAAAATCTGACCTATTTTTTTCAAGTGCAGAAGATCTCTCCAGAATGAGGTGTTATAATTTTGATTTTAATACTAGACTTTTAATGTTTTTTATGTATATTATTCATATATTTTACTGCAAAAGTAAAAATCTGAACGAGAAATAAATTTGAAATTTTGCGTTCCACTTTGCACTAGTTGATCAACTCCACGTTTGTAAACAGTACTCAGATAATTTAGTTTCACCATGATGGTAGGTGGCGCTCGCGTCGTATAAATTCAAATTCTACAATTCGTTGAATTTTAAAGATAAAAGTTATTGAACCAGAATTCAATGATAAAAGAAAGTGCCAATGATTTTCAATTGTTTATATTTATAGATAAACGTATATTTATAGATAAATATATATTTAGAGATAAATTTCAGAAATGGATATGACACGGTTGGCTGATATACTGTAGGTTCTCTCTGAATGACAAAATTAATTATATATAAAAAAAGATTAAATATTTTTATGATCATCTAATTAAACAAAAATTTCATTAGCTATTAAATTATGAATTAATCACCAGTGGGAACAAACAAGAAAAGACGTAAAAAGTCACAGTTAAAACAGAATCACACCTAAATGTTTCGGTTTACCCCCAAACCAACAAATTTTGTCAAAAAAATCAGGTTCTTATTTATAATGGAATATCGTTAAAATTATTGGAAAAATTTTTAAAATTCCCGTTCGTCCAACTTTGAGCAGCAATATCTCGGACTACAACCATTTTTTTTTTTAGAAATTGTTCGACCATACCATTTTGGTAAGAAAAGTGAGTGATTCTTTTTGTTTCTTGTTTGATAGTAGTTTTAGTAGATAGTTTTCACCGGAGATGGAGCATCAGTCGCTTTTGTTGTAGGCAATAACGACAAATTTCTTTTCCCATCCGGTGTGCCTGAATTATCCTCATTTGGGCCTTCTGTTTTTCAACTTATTCATTAACCACACTTGCTTAAAGTTACTTATGGAAATTTATTTTTTTATTGCACAGCAGGAACCTTGTCATGTTTAACGGTATGGAAGACCAGAGTTTTCAGTTGTCCATTGGAGTGTGCAATGTGGACTTCAGAGGCTTTTATATTTTGTTAAGATCCCAATATGAATTTCACCCCATATTGATATCATAATTTGCAAATCACTCAAGGCCCACCCATAAGTTCAGATATAATCTTATACACAGGCGGATCAGAAAGCAAGGAAGGAATACTAGAGGCACTAGAAGCTGTGCGGTCCAGCACAATAATGCGTCACACCTAAAATTGGAAAAAAATGCCAGCAATGGTAGAGAGACAAGGAAGGACAAAGACAAGCCAAGAAACTAACAAAATAATCGCAGTAAAGAATAATGGTAGGCCTACTGACGGGCAACTGCCGGCATAAGACTAATAGCAGTGGAAGAAAACATGCAGATTCTGTCCAGAAGAGGACGAAACAGCCATACACATATTATGTCAGTGTGAAGGCCTATCGAGAGTGAATTTTTCCATCTAACCAAACCAGAGGCAATGGTCTACACCAAGCAGCTATTATCGAAGTTAGGTAGTCTCTCGTCAGAGAAACGAACCTGGTAACTCTCCATAGCTATGGAGAGAGTCACTACAGATCATCTGGCTCGCAGTGACGGACAGATTGCTGGCTCCTATAATCTGAATATAATCTAATGTAATCTAGCAAAGTAAAACGTACCACAAAAGATTTTGGAAAGTGACTAGCGTACATTTTGCACATGTACCACTCTGCAGACGGAATAAACTCTACAATTGATTGTCCATGTAATTTCATAGTAACGAGCTAAGTCAGATGGACTTCTTCGGACTCTTTAGAACATTTGTGAGAGCTGTCACAATTTCAGTCATAACTTCAAATAATAGTTTTGCATATTTTTTCATTAAAGTTATTATATTGTAGATTTTGTATGTTTATCTTTAGATTATGTAGATGTTGTCTTCCCTAAATGTATAGCTGCTAGCTGCTCAATATTTTTTACTTGTTAAACTTAAATTCAGTCACGTTGATTTTGTCACAATTTCTTCACCTTTTCAGGCTATTAAAAGTAACAAAGAACCATCGACGTTGTACCATATGGTTTATAATTGGTGCTTAATTGTTATTGTATTTATTCTGATATAATTGATAATTGCGAATTGCCTGATAAGTATGACGCTCGATGTTGCAGATACTCCATCCAGTTTCTACTACTCGCATGGGCAACAATCCTCTGACGTCGGTCGTTAATTCGAGATTACAGGTTCACGGGATGAAGGACTTAAGGGTCATCGATGCTGGCGTTTTGCCCGAACTAAATTCCGGCCACACCAACGCCCCCACGATCATGGTGGCCGAAAAAGCGGGCGATATTATTAAATCGGCTTACAACGAGATTTGTTTCCAATAAACGATAAACAAAATTACAATTTTAATTGTTTTTTTGAGTATACTGAACATACGAGTATAATCGGTGAACCAGATTGCCACTTAGCTTCTTGCCATAGATGTATTTTGATAATGGCAGCTTGGAGGGTATTGAGAGTATTTTAAATTTAAAGAGGTTTTCGAAAAACCCTGTCCACGTTTTTATCTTTTTATTGTTCCAAAACTTGGGTTGTTATTAATCTCTAATTTACAAAATAAAACGGAAATTTAACATCTGGGCTGACAGGTGTTGTAAATTGAAATAAAATGTTATTCATTATTCTTACAATAACTTCGATGGGCATAAAATTATCCCTGGACTTGCCTTTTTTACCTATTTTGTCATGCCATCGGGTGGTCTTCCTTATAGGGCCTAAGAAACGCCCTTTTGAACAATTGCATGGACGATTTGCTCAATAATTTTTTTTCAAATTTTTCGGACTGTCTTAGGTAGGACCAATATATATAAAAAAATGTTTACGCGGAGACTGTATATGAATATTTATTTCGAATGACCTACATTTTTGTTTAAAAAATTTTAAATACTCAAACGAAGCATTTCATTTTGTCGAATAAACTTAAGATAGCGAGAATTTGCCATTATAATTTTAAGCCAGCTTAGTCTCGAGTATGTGCAAAGCTTACTTATCCTCAAATCGAACTTAACATATGTGAACCATTTTGTTTTTCGCGTGTAGAGCTTCGTTGAGGTATACTTCGAACAAATCACCGTACGCACTTATGTAGCAAAACATATTATCAAAAAAATGTACTACAAAAATCAGATTAAAAAGGAAATTCGTGGTTTTCCAAATTATAATGCCCACACGCGTACGTAATCTATCTGAAAGTGGGAATCGTCGGATTCCGGATTCCAAGTCGGCAACCATTGACTTCTGGCGTTCCAGAAGTCCGCGCTGGCATTGGGCGAGTTATTTTGCCAAGGTTTACCTCCTGCGTTGACACTGTTATCTGAAAAATAGGACGTACCTCCCACCGCCAGGTTGATAATTAGGAAAAATTTCTGATCGAACGGAGCTAGGTTTGTGCCATTAATCCATGGATTTGCGAAACCTAAAATCAAAAAAGCGTTTATTTTTGATTTTTTTCATTATACTAAGCTAGAGTTCGACAAAAAAAAGTGAACTTGAAAACCAAAAAAATATTTGAAAACCGTTTTTCTCGATCTTGTGTGGCTCCAAAGAGTGCGCAAGCATCGAGATTTGTCCAATCCCTTATGATTTTTAGCCATATGTGTTTTAAAAATTGGTACTGGAATTTCGAATTATATGACCCAGATAGGCAGTTTTTCTGCTTTTTATTATTGGCAACAATTTCCATTCTCTGTCCATTCGATTTAACACTTCAACATTTGTTGAGTGATCTGTCCAGGGAATTTTGAGTAGTCTTCAAAATTCCCACATTTCAAAGGCCTCCAGTCGGCCTTTGGCCTTTATGGCCCACGTTTCTACGCCATATAGCAGTAAATTTATAATGTTAATTTCCATGTCATGTTTTTTGAGAATGTAAATAAACGTGACAACCTCGCATGCCGAATAAACCCGGGTGCAACTCGCCTGCCGCCATTGCTCGAGGGGTTTTCACATAAGCAGCTTGAGTATTTTTCTACGTACAATCCAATCACGAAATACAGCCCACGACATTACCAACCATAAATGTAACATTTTATAAAGCGTTAAGTCCACCTTTGCTTAGCAAGGTTCTCTTATTAATGAATGCTATTCTGGCTTGCTCCTTCCTGCTACGTATCTCTAAGTCTGGATCTAGATCTTCAGCTATCAAACTACCGAGATATCTAAACTTGGTGACCTTCTGGATGTTCTTGTTTTTACTCTTATATTTAAAAAAACCGTTAGCACCGATTAATTAGCAATATATTAAAAATATTGTAACGTCACTGCGTTAAAAAAACATCAAGTCCAATTGGTGTTTCGTTGCGTAAGCCTCAGATGAAGGAAGGCTACAGAATCACCACGTGGTGGTTTATTTTTTATATTTAATTATCCACCCACAGTGATTAACGGAAATCACCGAGAACACTTTCAATACAAAAGTTGTATAATTTTTGCATTATTATCTTTTTTTTAATAATAAAAATATCAACAATCTATATATTTTTGAAATCAGGAGAAAGTTATCTTTGCGATGCGCATATGTGTTCGTTTACAAGTCTAGAAGATAATGCTGCAAATATTGTACAACTTTTGTATTAAAAGATTTCCTCGGTGGCTTCCGTTAACCCCTGTAGGTGGGTACGCAAATATAGAAAATAACCCCTGACTCGTCTAGTTTGTTTCCCAAAACCAGAGTGAGTGAGTCTAAACCTAACAGATACACAAATTGTTTAATTTTTCACCTGCCTCCAGCTACAGCTATTATCTATGAGCCATGCAATTCAAGCAATTATTTGAAACTGTGCATTTCTTGTTATAGACATGTCATAATATCCAAATTTAGTTATAGTTTATAGAGGCCTTAACTATAATTATAATAATACAAGCCATTTTGAAACCAACATCAACCGGTAAAATCAACATGACCGCTGACAGTTGGTCAAATCGACATTTTTCAGCGTCTTTAGGTCATTATTTTAAAATTATGCCCAGATACCGTTAAATATTCATTGAAAAAATGAGTTAATAGTGTAGAGGTAGATATGATTGTCCAGAAAGTTAAAGGAAACATTGACAATGTATTCTAATTAATAAGAATTATGAAACCGAAGTTAGTTTATTGAATAAATCACTCCATGTTGATAATTTCACGTATGTAACTTTGATATTGTCTGGCGTAACCAAAATCATGGAAAACTATATTCCATGATATATAATATACCGGCTGATCTAAGTTAAGTTAACTTTTAGCAAGTTAGCATTTTCTCCACTGATTACGATGGTGGAAACAGACAAACAATTGAATTTTTCTACTGCCGTCTGTAAAATAGCTAATTACGCACCGATTTAGCGTGCGGGAAGCGTCACTTTACCACGTCAGTTTCGTTTGCCACGAATCCGAGCCACTTCGAACATTTCCGGGCTTTTGGGAGCAATCGGATGTTTTCGGAGATATTTCCCACGCTTTTAATTTTGACTTTTGTCAATTCTGACGGTCATGTCGGTGATGCATCTGTGTTGTTCTGCGAAAATGTACCCAAAAACTAACGGTCGTAGAAAAAGTATAGTATGCAACACGTTCGGTAAACTTTTTAAAACCCTCGTTTATTAAAAACTCGCTCCGCTGCGTTCCGCTGCGCTCCGCTCGTGTGAAATAAACTGGTTAGTCAAATGCCGTTTACCGCACTTGTTGCATAATATACTATTATGGTTTAGGAAAAAATGAGGAAAATGTACTCTATCTAGATTGAACTTTTACTCTAACGTTTATCATGAAATCTTTTCGTCTCCTTTTTATAAAATCGGTTTGGTTATTTGTAAAAGTGCGGAGAAAATTGTTCAAAGAAGGCTGTGCTAAATGACAGCCCTGCCAAATAGAAAATTAGTTGACAAAAATTTAGTTTTAATGTGTTAATTATTAGTGGGCTATCAATTATGTAATTTAATTTTACTGCGACATTCTAGAATGCTATTGGGCATGTAGTAAATCGTCTGTAAGGGGGTCCATAAACCTATATCCACAGCGCGTTCCACCACATGGACAACACCGTGTCTTTATCAAATCATTCGATAAAGACACGATGTTGTCGAAACAATTATCATGTAAAAATATATAATTTCGTGAAAATCTGAACTTTTAGTTCTTATTTATTTTTGTTAAATGGATTTTCATCAAGTAAAAGCCACCTCAGTTCAATTTTTAAAAAATATAAAGAGGTTTCCTACTAATCTCTACTACTAATCTACTAATCGACTTTGTATCTCCGCTCATAACAAAAGTTTTAATGATGAACACTTAATTTAGATCGGCCTGTGTATAAAATGTATTTCCATCAATATACAGACTAAACTGCTGTACACTCAAAAGAGGAAGACATATAAAAAAGAATAAATTCTAACATAATTAAAAACCAATATTTCGCACCACTTTTCCAACCCAAGAAATTTCCAAAATTGTCATAGGACGGTAAAAATAACTTATGTGAAAATAATTTTCCAAAATTTCAACCAATTTTACAATACATGCAAAATTGGTGTTCTGTGTTCAACCCTGCAGATATCCCAAGTTAACTTTTATATGAAACGTGCTAAATAAGTTTCACGACAAGTAAATCTTTCAATAATGATTGCACCTAAACCCCATCATGAGGACTGCATTTAATTAATTTGAGGATGATATACATGGTCAGTTAAAATTTGCTGTCATCCGTGTCAAATGATTTGACTGGATAAAATGAACATGACGAGATTGAAACCCGTTTTTTACAGGGCCAAATATAACTTTACTGAGATTGTAATTGCCATAAACACCTAGATCGATTGGAGAGGTATAGTCAAACGCAACCGAAAACAGCTCCTTTTTGTGAGCATCAATATAAAGTTTATTTTCATCACTTTAACGTCAAAAAGAATATACCCACCAGTTCCATTAAAATTTCCCAAATTCCAAAATCCGCCATCGGGGGTGCTTATGGTGCCGCTTTCCTCTCCGTCAACGAAAAACGTCAGACCCTGGGGGCTCCATTGGAGCTGGTACTTGCGGAAAGTCGAACTGTAAAATGTCACGTACACACCCACTTTTTATTAAACAACTCGAGCTGTTTACCTAAAGGAGGACGGATCGTTTTTGGTGATAAAGGTTAACCTCCATCTGTCGAGAGCTCTGCTGGGCCCCCAGTGCAGGGTACTGCTGACCCGTTGCTGACCTATCGGTTCTTGCTGGGAATTGGTTAAGTTCTTATTGCCGGCCGCTTCCATGATGTCGATTTCGCCGCATAACGGCCATACCTTGGTGTAAGTCCCTTCGGAAGGCATCATCCACAACGCTTAAATGCCCAGTTATAATGCTAGTACAATAGTTTATATTTCTGTTCACCTGGAAACAGCCAATCGCCTGAGGGGATTTTCGCATTGATCTCGACGAAGCCATATTTGAAAGCAAACAAGTCCTCTGTGCTTATTCGAGCGCTTCGAATGGGGTAAAAGTTTGGTTCACTGGAAAATAGGCAACTTCAGAATGGCATTCGCATTGATTACATTGCAAAATTGTTTCTTTTTACCAAGTGCTAGTAGTAGGTAGTTTTGCTTACTATTCTTCATGTAGCAACAACGAAAATGATCGAGGACGTCTCAGTAGATACTCATATAAATTGCATTTTTGTTTTAACAACAAAACAAAATCGAATAGATACTACTGGTGAAGATGCCTTTACGAGAAGGAACGACATTAGAAGTGTGCGATAATTATAGAAGAAGAATATATAAGAACTCATTACTGCTAAAGATATTTCCATTGTTTGTTGCTGTGTTCTTTGGGTCCATACGTGTTCATTCATGACCTTAAGACAATGGAAGTGCCACAATAACTTAGTATTTCTAATACACACAAGGCTGTCGAACTGAGGAATAGCAGCAGCAGCAGAACATAATTTGTATCATGCCTAAGCCGAATCTTAACCCTTACCAGACTGATGATCATAACAAAACTGCTGCCTTGGTCTTACTTGATTTTAACAAAGCCTTTCACATGATAAATTATTGAATCCTCACTTCAATGCTTCGTCACAGAGGAGTCAGAGAACTCGTATCGTAATTTTGAATGACAAAACACAAAAAGTAATGCTTAACTAACGAACCTCTAGGCCTTTGACTGTCAACAAGGGAGTACCCCGGGGTAGTATTTTGAGTCCACTACGGTTTGTGATTTTTACATCTAGGATTACAATATAATTAAATTTGTGTTCATTCAACTGTACTTCTATTTTCCTAACAAATGCCTCAACTAAGCGAGGTTCTATCAGTAAAAATATGCTTGTACAAAATAAATAATCATGATGATATTTGGATATGAAAATCGACTTGTCCGAAGATAATGTTAAAAGAAACCCAAAATTCTGTACTCTTGCCTGTTAGGACAGTTACAAAAGTAAAGTTAAATTATATTTTTTTCCACACTGTACCACAATAAAAAATCATTAATAAATAAATCTCCTTCATTTCTCCTTACTATTGCTTCTGAAAAATAAACTTAAAAATTGCCTTTTGGGTTTTTTTAATTTAATTCCCTCCCAATCAATTTTGGACTGTAAAAGATTTTTGACTTCATTAGCCATTTGCCACCAAATTTAAAATCACAAAGCTAGAGAGAGAAGGTATACCTACTAAAAAACATAGATCATCAGCCAAAAATAATTTTGTTTGTAGGCCAGTTAGTGTACAAGTGATTCGAGAAGTTTCCTACTCTCCCAAATTTTGAATATTTTTAATATACGGAGTGTTTTCTAATTGAATGTCAATAATTAAAAAAGCGATTTTTGGTTCCATTTTAAAAATGTCCTAAACGTCTTAACTTTTGAGATACAGGGTGAAGTTTACAAAAATAGAAAATATATTTTGTAATGCCTGTAATACCGTTACAAAGAAATTAGTTTTTATTTTTAAGGCAAAATGTGCAACGGACTAAAAAACGTTAATAAATGAATGCAAATGTCATTATTTTTTTAAGGTAATCAGTGGACTGCTATAACAAATAAAGTTTTTTTGTGAAAAATAAAATGTCTATCAAAAACATCATTCTTCGGCGCCGGGGTTTGACAAAATTGCATCTTCTCTATTGAAAAAAATTCATATACATATCATAAAGCCGTTCTGCCAAATTATTAACCTAATATTTACAACTGGTAAGTGCCTCTCTCATTTCAAAATTGCCGTAATAAAATCCATATATAAAAAAGGAGAAAAAACTAATTTTCGAAAAGCCTTAAAAGTTCGGCTAGTTTCCTTTTTTACTAAAAATCATGTAATATCTAATTGCCAGTTTGGTTTTACTGATAACAAGTCAACTAATGATGCCATTGCTATACTTTTGTTAAATATATATAGATGCCTAGAGAATACAAGACCATGTGCTACAGTGTTCATTGACTTAGCAAAAGCACTTGCGGCTTTTGACTAAACAATATTCAGTTGATATAAGAAGACCTGCTCACTTACTAAGTTACCTGAAATATCGACAACAAATGGTAGAGATTAATAACTGTAGTCAGAGAACTGTACTCTATGGAATTCCACAGGGTACAGTCCTAGGACCCATATTTTTCCTTTTATACATAAATCAACTACTCACTATTGATGTTTCCGGTAAAATCATCTCTTTTACTGATGTTACAGTTTTGTTTGTTGCAACTTATATCATGGCTTGATAATAATTTACTAACAATCAACTTAGATAAAACACAATACTTGCCCTTTTCAAACTGTAATGATCGACTGCGTATAAATAATAAACTAACTATAAAACTATTGTTTAGAAACAGTTGCCGGTCTTTACGTAGAGCTGAGCTACATAGGAATTCATATTGACTCAAATCTAAAGTGGAACTTCCATTTCGAACAGTTAGTGATAAAGTTGCGATAGTTTATATATTTATTCCGGCAACTTACTAAAATATCTGATAAGCAATTACTTGTTTCTATTTATTTTTCACTGGTTCATCACTATCACACGACTCTTCAGCCCCTTTACGTAATACGAAAAGGAATTTTGAAAATTATATTAAGTTGAATCTGACTTAATTTTTACTCAATTTCAAATACTTCACATAAAAAATTTATATTTTCGTTCTTAATAAAAAATAGCATTTAAAAAAAATGCATTTATCTGTTGGACAAAAAAATGCTTTTATACTGGTCAAAAAATCTATAACGCACTACCACTAGAACGGACAAATGACAATCATTAAAAAAAATTAACTAAGTTTCTAAGTGGCTATTTATTATAAGTCAAATTCACAGATTCATTAATGTATTGTATAAAGGTAATAGGATATTATTGAAACACTAATACGGTCAGTCAAAAAAGTCCAATCTTTGATCCATTTGCTTCCTTGAACCAACCGTTGCTTTTTTTGCTTTTTCTTTATTGCACAGGCAAGCCCAATGCGTGTCTCGAAAAGCCATTTTCTTTCAAAGTGCCAAAATTAGTGAGTGTGAATTTACCCAGTTGGCTGTATAGAAAGAACTGTGCTACAAAACTGCGTGTGTGTGGGACAGGCAATAGTACAGTTAAACTGCACAAATTGGCCTGCACAGTTGGCCTGTGCTAAAAACTGAGCGTCTGTGGGGGCCTTTATAGACACAGCCTACTACATTGATAAGAAATAATTATAAAGACTTCAAAAATACATCTCTACGTGCTTCGAGTTGGTTGAAGTATTTTAATAAAACAGATAGACGATGACTCATGTAAGAAATAATAATGATAATTTTCCTCATGCTGCGATATTGACGATATTGTTATCACCGTGCAAAGAAGAGATTATTTTTTCAAGCAAAAAAAGAATCAACAAATTAAATTTCTTTAAAAATGATTGAAGATTGTTAGAATAATTTTTATTTTAAATCAGTGGCGTACCATCAATGTCTGCCAAACTTCATTAATTTATCTAAAGTGATATTACATATATTAAGAAATATATTTTATTTTTGGAAACTTTACGAAAGTTACGACGTTTAGGACATATGTTCAAATTAAGTTTTCTTTTTAAAATGGACCAAAAAACAGGCCCATTAATTGTTGACGTTCAATTAGAAAATAATAGATAATCTTCGGTTTGACTATTCCGTTCCAATTTATTATCTTTTAATTTATTTATTATCTTAAATTTTACTTTTGCTTTATGGACATACTCACTTAATAGGATCTGTCCCAGTTTCGTTGTAAAGGGTTGGTTTGATGTGCAAAATTCCGTTTTCTACGTAAGAATTACGGGAACTGTTGGTGTACCACTGGAACTCTTTCAGGTGCTGTCAAACGAACAAATGAAAAATTTCAAACACAAATTAGCGTTAAGGGCAAATTAAAAACTTCATTTTCTCAATGCGATAAGAGAAGAAAGGTCCCACCGGAGACAACAAAAAGTCTAAAATCGTGTCAGAAAACCTCCAGGCATTCGAAAAATGAAATTAAATTTATGTAGCTATCAACTATTGTTGAAATTATGGCCAAATGCGCATGTATATGTGAATTATAGTCAGAATAAAATAAATTGTTCATCATGCTTCTAGTTTTACTGTTGACAGCCGTCACTGACGATCACGATTACATTAGTTGAGAGTAAGAGAGACGAGATCGCTCTAGTACGCTCATACTCAGGGATGGATTCATGTATTTTCTATGTAATAATAGATCAGAGCGTTCCTTGGTGATAAGCGAATACTTACGTAGGTGAATCTACATGAAAAAAATATGATATTTTTTTAAATAAACCTTCGTCCAAAAACTTTATTCACGCATTAAAATAAGATAAAAAATGGGAAAATAAAAAAAAATATATCAAACATCTTCGTCGTCAGAGTCAAAATTGGAACTGCCACTACCTGAAAATGTTTCTTCGTCTAGAGTATTCTTTTATTATATTTTCTTTTGTGACTACTACTCTAGTATCATCATGCCTCACAATATTTTCATTAATATGTTTTTTGCACTAAACCCACATCAATTCTGTGGCATTAAATATACAATGGCTGACCCATTTCAGCAGTATATCTTCTGTGGCGTACGGCAGGTTTTTGTAATTTTTGACTAGTTTTTACAACGCACATTTTTGAGCATTTTCTGATTGATAATTTCTTCTTTGCTTGTCGACGCATTTGATATACTTTCACTGAATCTAGAATGATATCGTGAATTATCCATAATAATTAAATACTCTCGAGTTTCGGCAGCAGTTTTTCAGAAAAGCGATCCTGTTTTGCAATCTAATCTACTGTAATTATCTCCGTCGAGTGTAAGACCCTGCACTGAGGCGTAATAGACAAAGGTAGATAAATGGGAGCGGGGTTAGGCACCTTCTCTCTTGGTTTTATGGCCGACTATGCCATCTCAAATCGTACCGACTATATCAATTTCGCGTTCTATAATTTACCTCAACAGCACATGAAGCATCATCCAAATGAAACGATTATTCCAGTAATTGTATAGGACAAAAGCTCCTTCAAAAAAGGGAAAATGATTTACATGCAGCCTTGTGGCTTTCTACAAAATGGCTCATGCTCATTCACATGCAACTGCAAAACTTTATGATAAATACTTCAAGAATTGTTTTCCATTCGTCCAAGCATATATTTAGAAAAAAAGCGCTTAGTTCCAACTATAGCAATGAAATGCTTTAGCTTTGTTGCATAAACTATGACAATAGTTGGAATAATAACTATCGTCACTAATTTTCCTAAATCCTTAATTCCCCTTATCTTCTCACACAAGAAAAATGGAATAGGTTCGCAATTCCTATTTTAGGTTTTATGTTGAAAACAAAGGCGGATAAATAAACTTTAGTATATTTTTTTAGAGAAATTATTCATCAGACCCAAAAAGTAAACATACTATTTGGAAGACTTTAGTATGAGTTTAAATTTGTCAACACATATTTCAAAGTAGTTTCTGTGATATCTGACAGTTTGTTCTGTTTATGTCAAAATTTGTAATAATGCAAGAGTTTTCTTGGTCCAAAAATCCATAACCCATATATTCACAACGGTTTGTAGTGTTGTTAGAATATTTTTCGCAGAAAGGAGGCCATTTCAGTCTAGTATTTTCAGAATGAACCTCATCTATCAGGCTTTTATGGCTAAGGATCTAAGGTTATTTTTATTTGCTATTAAAAAAACCAAGGAAACTTCCTTAAACCGATATTACGCATACTTACCGAGTTTCCGTTGGGTTCGTGTTGCCATTTATATGAATCGAATACGTCGAAGTTATCTTCGAATATTAACTGTCCAGATTTCAACTTTCGTTTCGTCGTTAAGCTGCCGGAGACTTCGGTTACGCTAAGACCAGCCTCGCTAAAACCGCAAAAAAAATTAAACAGGAGGATATTCAATATCACCACCATCGTTGCCGAATATTCGATCTGAAATATTACGCACAATCGAAATCGTTAAATAATCGATGAGGCGTCAAGTGCCATTTGTTAATTGTTTGATCGTTTCCGCACGATGAAGATCGATCGGTATTTGCCTGCTTTGAGTTTTAAATATTTTCTTCTGTTTTAATCGACATTTACACCCTTTCATTTCTTGATGAAAATGTGTCCACTAGAGTTGGCTTTCGTTTCCAGTAAAAACATTCTCTTGCACTCCCGTACGGGATTCGCTATAGGGTGAAACCAAAAAGTTTTAAATATTTAATATTTTTTTTGTTTCACCCTATAGAAACTTCCGTACGGGAGTGCAAGAGAGTATTTTAACTGGAAACGAGAGCTCACCTTTAGCAGAAAGTAGAAAAAAAATATTTAAAACTTTTTTGTTTCACTCTATAGCAACTCCGGTACGGGAGTACGAGAGAATATGTTTACTGGAAATGAAAGCTAACCTTTGTGGACATAATTTCATCTCGGAAATGAAAGTGAGTAGATTCGGATAAAATTAGAAAGAATATATATTTATAATTTTTTAGTTTCACCGTATAGCAACCCTTGTATGGGGCTGCAATCGAATATTTTCTCTGGAAACGAAAGCGAGAGATCTATTTAATTTAAATCAGTTGTTTCCCAAACTGGCTGCTAACTTCACACCGGCTTTTGGGTATGGGTATCCTTTAATTATGCGTTATTACCAATGGCAAATAAATCTCATAGAAAGTTATTTTATTTTCATTCCTTAACGAGCACTTTGTAAAGTAATTTAATTCTCTCAACTAAGATTGTAAATTTGACTGTGTCATTTTGATGACATGGTAATATATATTATCTACCCCCACTACTACCCACAGAAATTCAAAAAGAAAACTTAAAACTTTTTCGTTTTCATTTGTTTCAAAAGTTATGAGAAAATTGTAAAGATTTTTTTGTCTCAAAATAGCGAATATACTAACCTAATCAAAATAATTTTTGAAGAAAAAAACTATTTTTCACACGCTTTTCACAAAACTTCAGTTTCAGTCAAGCTCTGAAGAAGCCAACAGGATGATTGGCGAAACGTCAGCAATTTCGGCTAAGCAAAAACAGACGCAGGAGGAATCCAGAAGTTTTCCAAAAAGCATTACAGTATCCTGTGGAAGTTTTTTTTAAAAATTATTTTCCATACATAAAAAAGTGACGATAGCGCCATTTTTTGAAAGGCAGATCACTCATAGTTGATATTAACTATGTCAGACATACATTTTTAATACATTGCTAAGACTATTGCTATAACATTAGTTGGCAATGACAAAATAACATTGTCAAATTTTTTGTCCACTAAGTAAATCAATTCCTAAAATTTATTGCCGTATCAGTAAATTAAAAAAAAAACAAATATGAATATTCCTATAGCTGTATTAATGCTACTAATTTTAAGCCTGCTTGATATAAGTTCCTAACTGTTCTCAAGTTACCCCTTAAAGATTCAACCCTGAAGACGATTTTGCTTAAAAGATGTTGAAGTGGCAAAACATGCTTTTTTACGACTGAAGATAATAGACGTCTCTTGAAAAGTATATCTAGAGTAAATATTGCCGATTTTATTCGGTAAAATTCTTAAAATTGATGCATATCTAATCGAAATTAATCTCGAACACAAACTGGCAAACAGATTACTTGCGGCCTTTCAGCGCTTACGAAATATGTTGCAACATATTGTTAAATTGTTTTAATTCCAAGTTTATTTATGGTTTCATCTGAGATTTGCAGTAACAGAAATACAGCTACTATTGTAACTACTATTTATAAATATTTAACCATAATATTAATTATAAATTTAGTAATAAAAAATTAAATATTTTTATTTATTTATTTGTTTATCAAAGGGCCAACCGACCAATATAAAATAAGATTCACATGAATGTACCAACATAGTGTTATAATACAGTACTATTCAGAAGTCAGAAAACGGAACAGTTTTACTGACAGTCTTTAAGCTCTTTCTTATATATTCTTGCACTCTGAAAGCAGTCAAGTTGGTCCGAAAAGCGATTTGCTAGTAAGAAAAGAATTCTCCCCATAGTTAGTACGATGGAAGTCTACCTGGAAGAACTGGTTTATTCTGGTCTGGCGGGAGGGAACGCGAAGCCCAATCTTACATAACAGCTCAGATCCATGAGAATTTGAGTGCAGTAGATTATAAACAATGGTGGGATACCTATGCATGCGACGAATCTGGAGAGTTAGAAGTTGGAGAGAGTCCTTGGTGCTCCTTAAATGCTATATACCGTACGCACCTGTCCTGCATTCTTTCTATGTACGTGGACGTTATACGAAGGTGACCACACAGAGGCAAAATAATCCAGGCGTGGACGTACTAGGGAGCAGACAGTAATCTGCGAGACGGAACACTCTGGAAGTCCACTGTACAACGCTTAATAAAGTCCAAAATCTGAAGTCATTTAGACACAATAAATGAAAGATGGTGTGTGTAAGTCAATTTAATATCGAGTAACACTCCAAGATCCCTTATTAATATTTAGTTCAATTTCATTCAAATCGCACCATAGCGATAGGTGATCTAAATCGGATTAGAGTTTTATACAGTCAAATAATACGCAAAATGCATGAAGAAAACATTTGTGTTTCTAGTATCCCTGTTTTTAACGCTTTGGGGTGGTTATTATATATTTTTGGAGCTGAATATAGGTTACTCCGTTGGACATCAAGTTTGTGGATTACGCTGTCCAGTTGAAATTTACTTCTGTTGATGCTCATCAATGTATTATTAAGACAAAACTGCCATTTTGTATGTATTGTATTGTTTCTTCTCACCGGTGATTAATTAAAAATAATATTAAATAATTTTTTTTATTTTTATTATTTTTTATAAAATTAAGTTTATCATTCAGAGAGAACATACGACATATCAGCTAAATGTCAGTACGGTGTCATATAATTTATATACAAATTCTTGTTTCTTGGCCGCAATAAATGATTTAAACCAATTTCCTTATAAATCATCATTTCTCTGATCAAACTAAAAAAAATTGACACCTTTTGATGTTTTAAGTAAATACTGGATTCCGGTTCAATAAGTTTTTTCTTTAAAATATAACGGATTTTTAAATTTGAATTTATATGACTTGAGCGCCATCTACCTTGAGATTTATGAAACGTCCCGTGAATCATGTTGAAACTACGTCATCTGAGTAATTTATGTCATTACCAACGATAAATTTGAAATTTGTGTCTCATACCTGACGCTTTGGAGTTGTAGTAGAGTCATATCAGGCTTTTATTTTTGCAGTAAAACAAATGAATAATATGCATAAAAAAGAAATAAAATTCTAGTTTTATAATCTTTGAAATCTTTAGTATAAAAGTAACAGTTAGAGCGGAGTCACCCAGTATTTTCCTAAGTGTCCATTTTCGTATTACATTCGAGTGCTTCAAATAGCAAGAACTAGTACAGTTAATACTACCCTATGGCAATTGAGATTGCCGTACAATATCTTGTTTTCATATCGTATTTGCCCAAAAATTCATTAACATCCGTTTAACATCCAGTCCAGTTATTTTTTTTAAATTGTACCACCGCGTAGATTGTGCTTCTGCAATTAATGTTCTCAAACCGAAATGGAAATATTTAGGTTATTGTATCCAAATCAGTTATGTTGAAGTCGACTTTTATTCCCAACTTAAGAATGATATTATATTTTTATTTTTTAATTCCAAGTATTCCCCTTTATTGCCCCTATATTTTGCTTTAAAAGCAGGAAACGACAGATTTTTTTATCTACGTATAAAATTTACTTACGATGAAAACATTTGATGATTGAACATTTCAGACGGTGACGCCGCAATTATTACATTTTGGTGAACATCACGTGCGCGTGCAGTCTAAACGAGTACAGAGTGTCCTTGAGAATGGCGGAGTCGCACATGTTTATCATGCGCACATGTTTTCATATTAGAGCACACCCAGTCTCTCAAATAAAAAGTTACGATAGTGTGACTGTTCAAAACGAGGTTCGAAATAGTTAGGTTTAATTTGATAATGATCAATTTGAAGTTCCATATAGCTATTAGATAATATAGATAAAACTGATGCACCTCCGCAGGCCTTAACATTAACACGGTTTAAAGCATTTCATAGTTGAGCCGAAAACCATGTAATTAAGAAAACTCCAGTTGCCATGTTGAACAGAGCGAGGTCTTATTTGTTGCTGCAATTTGACGCGGCGACTTGCTGCAATATATGAAAACAAATCAAAGCGGGGGTATATATATTCGATGTCACCATAAACAAAATCCGAATAACGATCATATGTTGTTCACATTTTTTTAAAACAATATAATGATGGGTAAACTTTACAAAAATTGTAAATGCTTCTTATATCAAATTATATATTATTGATGTGAAAACTACTTAAATACAACTTAAATGAACAAAAAATATTTTTTTAATTCAATGAAGAAAGGTGATGGATTTTTTTAGCAACTTACAGGAAGTTTTAGAAAAGTATAAGATATCGCCATAAAGAATCCACGATTTGGTTGAAACAGGCGTTTTGGATGCTCCGAAAGTTATTGGAAACTGCTACAAAACAAATGGGTCGGAAATGCAATTCCTCCTGTCTATGTCTTTCCAAGAACAAAACTTAAGGATATTTTTATGAAAGGTGCGCCTAACGGGCACTCTTGAATTAACAATCAAGTCAGGGTCAAGATGGATGACATACATATTATTCTTGGGTCTAATTAAACACATACGCAAGCATACAAAATATATGAACCTATATTGAACCATCCTGGCGTTCATGAAATGGCAGCACTGACAAAAAAAGACGTATTGTGTATATTGATAGCAAAGCAAAAGAACAAGCAGAGCTGTTTGATGTTGTAGATCAACAAGCGAATGATTCAGATGTGAGCTACGCTCATGATTAATCTGACTGTTTAAGTGAAATGGACCGTATGAATTCATACAAGAAGTAGAAGCTATCGAAGGTCCTACCGGCGACTTCTACAGGTAAAGTATTGTGTTAGAGAAGTGGAAGATATATTCCACTGAAATTTTTTTGAAATATCTACCTTATCTACCCCTACACTGTCTCGGATAACTGATTCCCATATTGGTGGAAGGTAAAGATTTGAATAGCTGTTAAACAACAAAGTAGAGAAAAGTAGAGAATTTCAAACGCAATATCCGTCTGATCTGATGATGAATATTTTCTTATTTATGCCTATTTAAATACAGTGTAGAAAAAGAACTGAGTTATAAATATTTCGATTTCAGCTAATTTTTCAGTGCCTCTGTGTAGGGATACAGCAGAGCCGGTTACGCTAAAGTAATCTGGGGTATTACGATATCTTGATAATATCTTACACGTAGTATTTAGTTGGTCCGGAAAATATGTACAACTCGTTTGAAGATATGCGTTGTCTGATGATTGTTTTTTTAATATAATTAACAATTATTAATAAAATCGCTCCAATATATACTTAAATTGGTTGTAGCTAAGTAAAGTAATGTACGTAGCAAATGAGCTTTATTTCTTACATACATTACATACATACATACCTACGTACATACAATAAACGTGTGCGATCTTGTTCGATTCGAACCCCCTTAGAAACTGACAGTTTCTAGCGGTGACATAACCTTTAAAAATGACCACATGGCGCCATTGATATAACCATATAGCTACTAGACATATAGAGGCCCTGCCTATGCTAATAGTACAGGAACTTGTGAAGCAACTATGCAACAAAATTTTGAGAAGATCTGGTCAATGTGCGCTTGGCCGAGATTTGAAATTTCGTTTTTAACCAGTGGCAGTTCTAATTGTATTTTCTGACGTTCTACCCATAAGGCCTTGCGGCTTCCAACAACCAACATGGCCGCTGACAGGTTGTCAATGTTTGGATGCAGTAATTTTCTTAAAATATGTCGAAATCTCTTTAAATTTTCAGGCAAAAATGGAATTGAGGTGTAGAAATTGTTGCGCTATAAACACGATACCAGCTAATTTTTCCCGAATTTGTGCCCGTAAATCGGAGCAAACAGTGTGTTTTTATAAATTTATTGGTTTAACTTCTATTGAAAATGTAAATAAAGTCGAATTCACGAAATATGGCTATAGAACACCTTTTAAATTTTTTAAATCAACTTGTATATAAGGCAACACTTGCCCGTATATAGGCACATTCTTTTCCTTACAGTTTTGACCACAAACACAACAAGTTTTTAGCAAAAACACGAAAAAGGTAATCATAACCACCAAAAATGTAAACAGCAATGCCACAGACTATTAGTAGTCTCTGGCTGGTTCCTAGTTCGGCTAATTGTATTCAGATTTCAGAGACTGATTTTGTGTTCTTATGAAATTTAGTCAATTGTTTCAGAAAAATTACGGAAATGTGGCAACTCAGTTAGTTGTGGCGTGACGCATGCGCAAAATGCGAAAATATCATAGCCACCCGCGGCGCATCACTTTTTACCGTAGTAGGGCCACTATATTATCTTATAGCTATATGGATACAACAGATAGAGCAAAATCGATTTACATATCAAGGGCTCCATTTTTGAGAAAAATTTCATTCCTACGCTTGGCGATATGCAAATAATGCAAATGCAGTCTCGTATGAAGATTTTTTTCTACGCTTTTTCGCTTTCTGATAAATAAATACAAGTCGAGCCCTTTTCAGCCATATAGACGTGTTGTTATCTGTTATAAAGGCAGGAAATATAGGGCATTTTTGGTAGACCGTGCATATAGCTGTCAATGTCAGTTAAGAACATAAATTTTAATTTATTGAATTTTTTGTTCTGTCAGACATAATTTTAGTATCCAAACGTGGAAAAATAATTAAACCAATTACGAAAGTTTCAAAAAGCCAAGGCAAAATCACAACTACTCAAATGAAAAACATGAAATACTGAAATTGAATATAATTGGAAAAGTATTTGAAAAAAAAAAAAGACGTTTTAACGACTTCAAAATACATATATTCAAGCCATATCGCAAAAGAAAAGTCCACCGATAACATGAAGGGGATGCCGGTGTAAAAATAAAATTTCGCAACTGGTTTGTTGGAAAATGCAATAAGAATATTAATTTTCCATTGTCTATTGTTTGTAGTAATGAAGCGAGAATTGACTGTTCCGGAACAGAAACAATTCCTATCGCACAGAAAACCCTCATGCCGTAGTGTATCAAAATCGGCAAGGTCGCTTTGGATTCAATTTTTAAGTAAGAATTTCCCGAGGTAGATATGTGGGACCTTATTTTTTAATGAAAATCTGACAGCGGATGGTTATAAAAATATTTGTTGTGTTGTTCCATTTTTGGAAGATTTACATTAGCTCTTGGAAGAAGTATTTATTATCAGCAAGATGTGATTATGTGATCTAACTCCTCTAGATTTCTCTTATGAATTATTATTATAAAATATAAAATGATATAATAATAAAAAAATGCAAAATTAAAATTAGAGACAGAGTTTTCCAAACCAGAGCAGACTTAAAGGAAGTCACTACACTACAATAGTTGCCATTCAGGACGAAAAAGGTTTGTTCAGTGTATTGAAGAGTTTGGTTCCCAATTTCAACATTTATTTTAACATTTCGATATAATTAATGTAAAAGGTTAAATTTTAATATTTTTGATTTTAAAATTTATTGTGTTGTTTATTGGGTTAAAATATCTATAATTTTGTTTTCTAAATAATCTAAAATATTAAAAATAATATCTAAAATTAAAATGGTTCTTAGGTTCCTAGTTATTTTAAGTTGGCCTTATTTTTTTTTAAGTTCCAGTGCACTACTAATACAAAAATAAAAAACGCCCTATGTTTTCGCTTTTTTTCATCACAAATAACAAAAAATATTTAAAATATATTTTTAAAAATATTAACATTTACATTTTTTTAAGACCATAGCTAACTATTACCATATAAAATAAGAAAATTGTATTCATTTATGAGGAAAGAAAGAACTTTAGATAAAATTCGAGCACGACACTGCATTTGGCTTAAAAAATGCCCTAATAATGTTTCTCTCAGAATCCAAAATTTTCATAAGCACCCTATATCTCAGTTGATAGTGAAGATATCGCCAAGCGGTTTTGACCATGTCAGTCGATTTTGTTATATCTAGTTCAGAAATAGAGTTTTCCTTTCCAATTACGACCATCCTGTACATCATCACCATCACCCACGTCCGCAGAATATACACTCAAGAGAAGTGGTCCTAGGATACTACCCTGGGGCACACCACTATAATCTATAGTACATCAATACAAGGCAGGTATTTATCATGATATATATCATCAGACATATGTAATAATGCTGTTTTATTACGCCCGTGGACTAGACAAAAAGAATATTAGAAGAAATAATTATCAAGGTTTTTTTTTTTTAATAACAACACACGGAATATTCATAATATGTCGGTTAATTTTACAGCTAAATTATTTTATCTTCCGCGCTCGTCTTCTTTTTAAAAGGAGCGGCGCGCCAGTCAAGGCCACCCGGCCAAAACAATAGTTTATATATAGGTAATGTGAGCAGCTACATAAGTTATTATCTTCACTATACCATTGAAAGGTGTGTTCATCCGCTTGTGAGGGAGGCACACTGTTGATAAATAATAACTACATCATTACCCGCCAGGCCTGGAAAACAAGATGGCTTAGAATTAGAGTTAAGCCATTTGATTTTATTTATATTCATATATAACAGAATTTCCACACGGTTTGTAATTTTGCTCGGTTTTGAACGCTTGTATATAGATAAAATTAAGTTAAATTTGGTATTATTTGCGATCCAAGCCTCAGTTGCCTGGTAAATTCGAAAGTTTGGATTGAATTATTCAAAAAATTTGCCATTTGCCATCTTAAAGAAAAGGGTCATACTTAAAATTTCTGTAATCGCGTTAGGTCTTAAATTTAATTCTTGTAAATCGGATTTTTGGTTCTTTAGTATCGCAAAATATCAACCTACGTTCAGTTTTGTCACCCGTAAGACTAACTAGAGTATTGCATAAAAAATTCAGGTCGCTGGTGACTAATAAGTCTACTTTTTATAAAATTCCTGCATCCCTCCTGCGTCGGTTTTTGTTGACTTCTTCAGAGCTTGACCGAAACTGGCTCGCATTTTACTCTGTACCTGCTTATATATTGTTTGAGGGAGCCGGAGCTAAATGAGGGGCATTGGTGACAGGTAGGAACCTGAGTCGCGGTTAAAATTGTTAGGTTACTTATAGATTTCTATAAATTCTCGGGTTTTTCGTTAGTAGAAGAATTGATTACATGCAAGAATTTTAGATTTATCGAGTGAAATTTTATGACCGTTTTTGTGATTATGTTTAGCAACTGCTGATGGGTTTATTTGTCTTAATCTTAAGGCTCTTTCATGTTGTTTGAGTATAGTTGATATTTTTCGTCCGGTCTCTCCAAAGTATTGCTTGCATCTCAAATGGAATTTTGTTTTTAACAGGTCGAAGATTTTTGGACAAGCGCCCCTCATTTAGCTTCATCTCCCTCAAACAATATAAACGCAGGTACAGAGTAAAATGCGAACCAGTTTCAGTCAAGCTCTGAAGAATCCTAGCAGGATGATTGGCGAAACCTTAGCTAGTTCGACTCAACAAAAACCGACGCATGAGGAATCCAGAACTTTTATACGTATTACAGTAGCCTGTGGAAGTTTCTTTGAAAAAAAAGTCTATTAGTTTTGATGTTATCGAGGTTACTCGTGTACTTATCAATGAAAATCAATATTAATAACCGTAGGACTTATGCCATTAAGAAAGTTTCGATTTTCCAGCTTTTTGTTGTTAAGAATGATTTGTTTAATTATCTTATATTTAATATGATTTTTTTTTGGTATATAAGAATGAATACACAGTCTCAGTGGTAGTACTTCTGCACAGGATTTATTTTCACTTTCTTAACTGCGCCGTCACTCACAAGAAATAATACCCAAAGAGCTTAGACACACAATTATAGAGAAAATTTAATTATATAATTATTTTATTTCAGTAAATACAACTTATTAACTTATATATATTTTATTAATCCTCAATTATTTTTCTTTGCTTCGACGCTTCCTGCGGCATTCCTAGGTCACTTAGGGCTTCGGTAATAGTTCTGAAAAACAAGGTATGTTAACAACCATACATGCATCGCATTCATTTTTTTATCAGTGTATTTTGGGTTGCATACGGTATCATAAAAAATCACAATTTTACCAGTGACAGTAAATTCCTGATCTTCTTTCACGTAGCCGAGCTTGTTCTCCCCGTCATAGTAATCGGCAAAAGTCCAATAATACAAAGTGTCACCCACGCTTAGTTTGGCGTTTGGATCGTAGAACGTCCAACTTCCATCTTTCGCTCTTGTTACGTCGCTCGAAAACGTCCCTGCTTCCCTGCCCTCCATTTCCTCGTTGACTTTGCCGTGGAATGCAAAAAGTTTGATTCCGTCGACATCTGAATACAAGAAATCTGGTATCATATGTTCAAACATAAATTTAATTTAAAAGCGGGTGACATGTTTCTCCTCGAAAAGGCATCTTCAGAGACATCTATTCAGAAATGGAAAAATTAACGAAATCACTTATAGATAACATACAATTTTATTTTTTATCAGTTTAAAATAAAATTGTATTTGTTATCAGTTTTATTTACCTCGGTATAAATATTTGAATTTATTATTTATCATTGACTTTAAAATCATTTTAAATGATATTAATAACAAGATCCGAATGTTTTTCTATCGTGTTCCTGCGGACCACCATCGAATGTTCTCAAAATGAGGAGAATTGCATTGTGCATGCATCTTGTATAAAGTGCTTTTCAAGGTCTTGTAGATCTTTTGAAGATAACCGACATACCCTGTACATAATCCAAAAAGTGACTGATATACAAGTTATAGTCCCGTGTATGATTTTTTCCAATAGAGTAAATGGTTTTGAAGAAAATACGCCTGAATATTTAGTGACCTCATTGATTGAGACCGAGAAATCGAGATTTTCATATGGATTTCTTTAAATATCTCGAACAAGAATTGTAACTCTTGATGCGGCGTGTAGTACTGTTTGAACCAATTAGCCACATTTTTATGCGAATTTTAATTTACAGCTAATAATTTACCCTCGAAAGCAAGAATTTTCGGTGTCTTTAAGATTTTTGTATATAATTGAAAATCCCCGTATTTAAAAAAAAAGTGGTTGAAATAGAAGTTATGGTCCCTGATATTGGTTAAAGAATCTTTGCCGATCGGGTAAATAGTTTTCAAAAAACCAAAATAACCTGAAAAGAATTTTGAAAAATTTTTACAAAGTACTTTGCAATATTCAATTGTGCGCAACTACTTCACTGCCAGATCTGAAGTCGATAGATGCAAATTTAAGATACATGTGAAGGAAACCGACAACTTTAACTCAGTATTTTAGTTTTTTTCAATTTTTATTAAAAGAGGAACCCAATTTTCAGTTTTTGCAGTTGCCGACATATAAGTTTCATTGCCGTTTAATCGATGTAATCGATTTTTCGTATAATCAAAATATATTAAACATAATATTAATGATTAGGGACTACATTCAACATCGTTGCGCTTATACAATCCCAAAGGAACCAAGTAATCCCAGATATACTCTTTTGATTACATTGATTGAAATGCATTCAGTTACAAAAAGTCCATGTAAATCGAAAAAAGTAGAATAAAAGAACACAACTAAAAAAAAACAACTAGCAGGAATAAGTTTATAAACAGGACACCAAAATCATAAATAAAGATTCGAAATAGAAAGACAACATTATTTTCAGTTTAGTTTCAGGTCGGTTTCTGCTGAGAAAAGTGTGTTGCCTAAGCATATTTAATAGTTTACTTATTAGTGGATGTATTAACTTCATGCAGCTTTTTTAGACGTAGGTGCGGCATTTAAAGTTATTTTATTTACCTTTTTAAGTAATTTATTATTTTTTTTATTAAATAATAGGATTGAAACTCCGGTTACATTTCTTTCGGAAGAAGTCAAGTCCGTTATTGAATGACAAGAGCGAACATTACACATCTTATATTGACAAAGCGCAGGATTATGTTACTTGCCTCTTTTTTTATATCACTGTATTAACTTATGTTAGTATTAAATCCTAAATGATTACCTTCATTTTTTTTATTTTATATTTTTCATATTTATTTTGTGAAAAATGTGAAATCAGTGGCTTTATTTCAAATTGCGTTATCGAAAAAGGGCCTTAGTTTCATTTGCATTCCTCACAAAAAGTGAAAAAATAATAGATATAGGATTAACTAAGCTGTTCAAACAAGTGGTCAAACTGATCTGATGGCAGTTTGTTTAAAAAGTAACCTTAAAAAAACACATCCTGTCTCCCATTTCTAACCAATCAATGATTGATTTTTACAGTATTAAACATTTTGAAATGAAGTAAACTGCCAAAATTTAGTTGTCACATAAAAAGGTCTCATGTAAATTTTGATCGATTTGATTACCTTGCAGTTGGTTGGTGCTGTTCACTTAATGAATAAACTTTTTTTAGAGAGGTGTTCTTGATATTAAGTTAAAAAATAAATCCCGCAGTTTGGTTGGTTGGTGCCGTCCATTTTAGTAAATTTGTGTTATATTTTTAGTAAGGAAATTAATTTAAAAATGGGTTACCTGGAATGGAAACTTTTAATCCCTCGGGACTGTAAGCTTCAATCGTCGCGTCCGGAACTTCGAATTCGGCAACAGCGGACGCGCAAACAAGAGCAAACAAGTGCAAGCTGACCTTCCACATGTTTCAGATCGAGAGTTGTTGTTCTTCGGTGAGTTTTCAAGAATTGTTACGTTGTTTACTCAGAAAAGGTACTTTTATAGCGAATCGCTTTAAATATCTTACGGGAAAACCACAAGCAATACATAATTTTATAATTAACTCGGACGATAACGAAATTTGATGCAATTTGCATGATCGCTTAAGATGTTAGTCACCGCGATTTTATATTTGACTCGAACAATGGAGCAACTATAAAATTGTGACAATGAAATGAAACACTCAAAAACCAAAGCATAATACGTTACAATATATACAAGGTGATACTTGGTTCGTGGCACTTTTTGAAAATTTGGTCGTCGCACTGTTGCCAGATGAAAGAAAAATCTAATTTTATGCTACTTTTTCGAAAAGCTATGATCATGATATTTGAAGTGAAAAGGCACCCTACATAGTATTCAATTTTTAGTTAGTTGTGGTTTTCTTGCCTACGGGTAGACTACGGAGAATTCAAAACCCATGCATACATTTTATCTTGAAATGCGAGATCATATCCTGCAAGTTTGATATTAGGGGGTGGGAAAAAATTGTATTTCAATATACAACTCATTACCAGCTATTCAATAACCTGTCACAATAACCAACGTAATATAACAGCGGCTTTCCTCGGATGTGACTACTCAAATAGTCAAATCTGAGATATAGAATCAGTGCTTCGATGTAAAACCTTATTTGTCATGTAAATATTAGTTTAAGATGATGATACTGCTGCGGCAATGTCATCTAGGAGTCTGGAAAATCTCACGTCCTTGTCTACTAGGGCTGTAAGTGGTATGACCCGATATTGTGAGCGTAACGGCATTCGTTTGAACCGGGAGAAAGACTGAGATGATGTTGTTTTCGCTTAATCGATTAATCAGTCTAACGTTGGGGAGGTCTCGTGGTCACTCTTGTAGAACCCTGTTCCCAAAATTAAATATTTTAACGTTTCCCCTCTCTCTTGTACATAAAGGGTAATCATTATTGCCTGGCCAGAATCGATGGAGACAACAATTTTGGAGCCAATCTTAATTTGCAGGTGCCAAGTCATAACTGGCCTGTCCATTTATTTAAGCAAAAATTAAAAATTAAAATTATTCTATCGATGAATACTTTGATTGATATATACTCATTGATTAATATACTGATATATTTTGTGCGTTTTTTTGTAGGTATTTGTTTTTAAAATTTGTATTTTAGTATTCTAATGTTTTTTCTTTACTTGTTGACATTATCCGATACTTTTGTTAAAACTCAACGGGAAAAAAAGCCGTATGCAAACATCGAGCAGGTTTCGATCCACCCTGTATGTAAGGCGTAGCCACAAAATTTCCAATATTTATCTATTTACTAGTATACGTTGTCGCCGATATTAACATTTTTTTAATTAATATTAATTTCTGACTAATCGATGGTTTTGCGGTTTGTTTTAATGGCTCTAATTGTCTTCTTCAACTGAATAAGGAGTGCCACAAGGAATTCAAAACCGACGTCAGATCTCTTAAAAATAAATACTGATAATGTTAGATTTGGATTCAGATTTGCAAATAATTCAGTAACCGGTTCGTTTCTTAACTGACTGAAGGGGAATACGTTCCGCTGACGAGGAAAACATGGAAATGCTACCAGGGAACTCCCCCCACCGCCCTTTTAGTAAAAAAACCTTGATATTCAGAAAAGTTCGTCTGCTAAGGATGTTAAGTCGTAAATTTTGTTTGTTATCGCTTCTGTTGTAAATTTTAGTGTGGTGCTTAAGAGATTTATGCCTCTGTAGTTTGGAGGCAGTTTTTATCTTCTCAGTATAGCGCTGCTTGCTCACCATTCATCGGGTATCTTGTGTTGATAAAGAATTTTTTTTATTAGGGATTTTAACTGTGTGAGTTATTGACGCCATATTTAAGTAGTTGATTTGGAATGTCATCTTCCTGTTATTTAGCTTTCTGAGAGCTGTATTTATATCGGATGTCTCAACCTGTACTTTGTTGTTTGTAACTATTTCAGGTGTGTTTAGTTCAGCCTCAGTTTCCTCTGATTTGTGTAGTTCTGATAAATAATTTTTCGGTATATATAGTAGCAGGTAGTTTGTAAATATTACATTTGATAGAGACACGGTGTTGTCGAATCAATTGTCATGTAAAAATATATAATTTCGTGAAATTCTGAACTTTTAGTACTTATTTATTTTGATAAATCGATTTTCATCAATTAAAAGCCACCAAGTGTTTCAACTGACCTTCACCCTTCTTTTTGGTCACTTGCAGGCCACATACATCGATTTTATTATCTTTCAGGGTTTCTTGATCTTTGTTATTGAAAGATTATCCTTTTTTGTTATCAATGAATCAGTCCTTTTCCGTCGGAAGAAGAAAAAGAAGATCGATCTCAGGCTGGCTTTTCTCTCGAGCTCCTTTGATTCAATAAAGAAAAATTGCTGCCTACCGAGCGGGCAAATATTGTTGTTCTAACGTTATTTTTTATATGAATTAGATAAAATAACCGGCAACCAATATTCCTCGAGTGTTTATATTATTGTTGAGTACATCGTGCGATGCAAAAATGCGATAATATAAGCAAGTAAATTCCCATGTTTATTTATTTACCAGCAATTAATATGCTTTAGATTAATCTAAATTTCTGACCTAAGGATAGTTTTGCGGTTGGTGTCGCGAAAAGACCGGGACATTTGAAATAACTATGTATCTTTGATGTTGACCTTTGATTGGTCTAATTGTTTCCTGTAGTTGAACAACTATTGTCCCAGGGAATTTAAAAATAACGAGATGTAGTAAAATTAGGAAAGTATCATTTGATATCCTTGTGAAATGTCGTATTACTGTTTCGTCGACCATAACGAATTAGAATTAATATCGTAATCGATTTGTTACTTGACAAGGTTGCACCTAAGGAAGCCTTGATTTATTCTGAAGATAAAACGCACAGAGCCACATTACGATGTTGTGTTTAAAGCAAATCTTCTTATTAATTTTTGCCCAGTGCGTACGAGAGATAGGTTAGTTTATTTTATTTATCGAACTGGGAAGTTGCAGGACTGTAATGTAAAAAATGAACTTTTCTCAAATAGGACACTATATAAAAACGAAAATGAAAAATAGAAAAATATATGAATTTGCTTCCACTGTCATTGCATATATTTTTTTGAAACAAATCTTGTTGTTGGTGTTGGTGTTTTAAAATATATAAATACGTGTATGTATGTAAAATGTATACTAATAATATAGTTTTTAACAAAGAACTTCAATTGATTTGCAGGCTTTACACCTCCTGGTAAAAACCATTAAAAGCTTTTGGGATTTGTTCTGTATTACATAAGCTATATGCTTGACAGCTACTGACCTGGAGACTATCTTAAACGGGGAGTAAGATTTGCAATTATGTTTCCTCATTGGTAGCATTCCGGTTTACCACTTTCCGTTTTTCGTAACCAAACTGAAGAGTTTGCTTGAAGGTGGTAGACACTGATTCAGTAGAAATACTAAAAGTGTCTTTATTTTTAACTTACACAACGTTTCGGACAGTTGTATCACTACCCGTTATCACTTGAGTTTACACTTGATAACGGGTATTTGTTATGTTAGAGTACTTCGCCTTAACTCTTACTGTCAACAGAGTATTTTTTCCGTCTCTGTTCTATTTTGTTGCATACATCTTTCTATCAATACGTTTTCAATCTTTTTCATCCTTTTTCAAAGTTAAAATAAAATTTTGAGTGCAAACGTATTCAAACTGTTTTGATAAGATTCTGCGTTGATACCGACTAAATATAAAGTCTCATAACGTATTGTTTTTCCATCAATCTACAATAATCAGTTAATTATTTAATATTGCTCTATATACAATGCATTACTTGGCGCTAACATTTGGAGTTTTTGCTATTTGTGAGTATACGATACAGATAGGCCTGATACCAAACTAACCAAAAAAAAAACTTTGGTCTATTTAGTGGGGCAATCTCAAGGTGCGGACTCACCCCAAATCACCCCCGTACAAGGAGGAATCAGCGGTGATGGGATAACTACCAGATATTGGGACTGTTGTAAACCTTCATGCGCGTGGACTTACGAAACCAACCAAAGTGTAGCCGTGCAGTCTTGCGAAATTGATGGTGCCACCCCGATCAACGACCAAGCTCCCTCCGGATGTGGACCTGATGGTATCGCTTACACTTGCAATAATCAACAACCGTGGGTGGTAAATGACACCTTGTCTTATGGATTCGCAGCTGCTTCCTTTGTCGGTAAGTAAACTAAGGTGATAATTTTGGGGCTGCCAGTAGGTTTGTTAACCTCCCTATTCAATAGATCCACTATTCCAGATCGACTATTACAGAACACATTGAATAAACATGGTGTCCAGTAAAAAATTATCTATCTTTGTTTTATTTTAAATCGCCACCATTACGATACAGGGTAAAAAAGGGAAAATATCCATTTTTGAAAAATTTTCAGTTTATGTGTAAAAATGACGTAAAAAAATTAGCCCTACTATGTTGCCTGGATTTCAACTTTTGTTTTTCTTATGGGCGCCCTATTGGATTTCCACATTTGCAAAATCCTCTTTAAAATGTTTGGCGAAGATACATCCTTAAAAATAATGAAAACCAGATTTCATGACGGTAGGCTTTGATATTGCTATTTAATTTTAAAAGACATTTAAAGAATAAGTGGACAAGAAGAGAAAGGATCGAATCAGTAAAAATTTCATACACACCTTCAAAGATTTTTATTAATCTGCCATTTTGTTGCACGTAAAACATACATGTTCTCAACACTGCTTCATAGAACGTCTTAATATTTGCTGAGTGATACTATCAACGGCATCTTCAACAGCTTGCCTTCATTTTCCAACGTTTTCGTAGGACCTACTGTATACTTGATTTTCAAGTGACCCCCATGCATAGATATCAAGGGTGTTATGTTGGAGATCTCGCTTGATCTGGCTGATCCCAGGTTGCCTATCCACCTGTTGCGAATTCTACATTTAAGTTCGTAATATTTTTTGCATTAATGTTCATAAGATCTTCTGTTAGGTTTGTTTGTAAAAGGTTTAAATATCTCTCATTGTATGTAGCCAAATTACCAAAACAAACGTAAAATCCCCGTCTCACAGTTTCTGACTATTAAAGAGTCCACAATTAGTGAACCGCTCCTCATTCGCAACGCCTGTCTGACGTATGATATACTAGGTGCTTCAATCACACTACTACTACGCTATTTTTCCGGATATATCTTGATCAAAGATAAATGTGTTACATATAATTGAAAATAAGTTTTAAACAGGATTTTGAAAATGTAGATATTCGATATGGCGCCCGTAAGAAAAACAAAACTTGACTTCGACATTACGCAACATAGTAGGCCTAATTTTGTTTGGTACCATTGTTAGCATCGCCGCAGACTTTTACCCATATCCTGAAAATTTGAACATTTTAAAACTCATAATAAGAAAAATGTTGCGGTTTTTCAAAAATGGACATCCTCTTTTTTCACCTTGAATCCAGGTGTTTTGATTTAAAATAAAATATTGCTACATTATTTTTTGGCATGTACATACTCTAATTTCCTTACATTTAAGTGACTATTACAGTTTTCACGATCCACATGTACATCATCTTATACTAGACTCCCTGTAGATAATTGCTTGATAACTTCTGGATTCCGTCTGCGTCGGTTCACGATGAATCGAAATTGCTGACGTTTGGGCAATAATCCTGTTGGTTACTTCAGAGCTTATTCGAAAGTTTTACATGGTTGATGTCTAAAGAAACGAATAGGATGATTGCCGAAACGGCAGCAAGTTAGATTCATCAACAGCCAACGCAGCAATACGCTGGCCTGAAGTTTCTTTGAAAAATTTTTCTGTTTTGGTTTGTTTTGGAAAACAAATTATTTTGAAGTGTTTAGGAAAATATATTAATTTTTGAAAATACTCATCTTAAGATAAGCAACGGTCGTACCATTAGCTTATCAGTGTCAATAACAAAAACTAGATTATATAACTATGATATTGAAGATGATGTATATACGAGGGCATACGAGGGCACATCTTGCACTTTCTTGGTTGTTCCTAAAGTCTAAATATCAAGAATTTAGTAATTAACATTTAAAAATAAAATGTTTTGTGGAAGATATTTCTGACGTGCAAACTCGTTTCCATATATTTAATATTATTCGTTATTTTTTCATTAAGAATACATTGCCTCATTGCTCTAACTGGGACAATCGATATAGAGTTGTTCAAAGGGAATAATAATGGGCTTAATAATAATAATAATAATAATTAATAATAATGTCTTCTGCTGCCTCTCAGATTCCCTACGATTTATCTGAATTTTTGTCTTTTTGTATGGATGATAGCTAATCGCAAAATTGTGTATGAATAATTGTAGGAAAGTTGCTATATGAAATGAAAATAGTTACCATTTACCTCATTTTTCTCATATTTCGGGTTTCATTATACTTTATTTCAATAGGGTCTCCTATATTTTGATTATTCTAAAAATTTGAATATACTTTATTTCAAACACTGAAATAACAACATGAAATACCTCGATTTTTCAAATGTGACGCCCTATATATCAGATTCATTTAAAGGCTGTGAAAGATATATGAGGCACTCCATACAACCTTAACTATTTTAATTGAATTCAGCACTTGTATGCAAAACATTTATATTTAAACTTTTCGGTAAAACAAAGCTTTTAATGAGCTAGCTAGGCTACTAGCTAGGCAAAATTGCAAAATACATCAATTACAAGCATCGTTTAAAAAGTTTGCTGGCGACTTTAAGATATCTATAGTGTGATTCATATCTCGAAGACAAATGCAACCTGGTTTTGAGTAAGGTGAACTCTTGGTTTAATGATAGTAATTTATCTTTTCATTAAATAAAAAAATAATTTATAAGAATTCGCTCTTTGCATGATGTAAATTTTCTTGGAATATTCCTTCATTGAAACATGAATATTAAGACTCGTTTCTCTTCTTTGGTATCGGGGTTGGGAATTAAGATATATTTATTACATAACCTAAAAGGTATTTTAAGGATATCACAAATATTACATCCTGTTTGAAATGTGTGTTTAAGTGTTTTAAAATAAATCATGTTTTCTGTTGAATAGTAATTTTGAATCACCGAATACTAGAACTAAAGTCTACGCTTTAGAGTGCCATATGTATATATAAAAGAAATAAGAAATGTATGATTATTTATGTGCATTCAAAAAAAGTTGAAGGAATATCTCGCTACTTTAATTAGAGTTAATTTTATATTTTACTGGTTGTAGTCTTGGATAAGTAGATTAGGCGAAATTCATTTTTTTTTCCAATTTCCTATGCAAACATTCTATTTGTCGGGTTGGAATATAAATTTTATTTTTCTACTCCCGTCTGTAAAATGCCTAATTACACACGGATCTAGCGTGCGGGGAAGCGTCGCTTTACTATCTCAGTTTCGTTTCCCACTGATCCGAGCCACTTCGGACGTTTCCGGGATTCTACCGCACGGGTTTCGAACCAATCGGATGTTTTCGGAGATATTTCCCGCGTCTTGAACTTTGACGTTTGTCAATTCTGACGGTCATGTCAGCGAATGTATTCGTGTTGTTTTGCCAAAATGTACCCAAAAACTAACGGTCGTAGAAAAAGTTTAGTATGCAACACGTTCGGTAAGCTTTTTAACTCAGTCGTTTATTAAACACTCGCTCCGCTCGTGTCAAATAAACTCGTGAGTCAAATGCCGTTTACCGCACTTGTTGCATAATATACTATATTACTATTATATTGGTAATAATAGTAGATCTTAAGTTAATCAAAATATTCCCTACTCATATAGACACGTTTGTATTGGTCGGTTTAATATGTGAGTAATCTATAATACCATCATTCGCGTGTTCTTCTAAACGTATACTATCTTCATCTGAATGGGTTAATGCAAAAATTGTTTGAAAAATTGTTTACGTTCTCAATTACTTTCACGTATCAAATAAATAATACAGGTAATCAGTTAGGGGCGATGCCTATTACTAGAGAATCAAAGAATTTTGTCTTACTGCTGCCGACCTTGTCACTATCTTCATCCACACTCCAACTTTGGATCCAATACATCTTTTTTTAATTTTTAATTTGAAGCGTGAAATAGAGCTTACGATCCAAATCCACTTTTCCTAACGTATTAAACTCCACAAAAGCAAGTAGATGAACTAAATTTCCAATATTTTAATTTCAGGTGGTTTAGATAATAGCAAATGTTGTCACTGCGTTTTGCTGCAGTTCCAAGACCAACTGGCGGGCAAGATGCTTCTCGCGCAGATCCTCAACACGGGCGAAACCCTGTACCAGAACCAGTTTGATTTGGTTATACCCGGAGGCGGTGTCGGCGTGAACCACAGGGGATGCGTGACGCAATGGAACACCCCAGAAAACGGTTGGGGGGAGGAGTACGGTGGTATTTCGACGGAGAACGAGTGCGACCAGCTGCCGAAAGTCCTACAACCGGGCTGCCACTGGCGTTTCACCTTTTTGGAGGGAGTGAGCAATCCGAGCGTCAAATTTTACGAGGTTGAGTGTCCCGCTGAGCTGCACGCCATTACAAAATGCGTGGCTTTGTAAAAGTTTATTATTATAAAAAAACGTTTTTGTGAAATAATAGTTTTTATTTGACTTGCACGCCCGAGTCGCATCTCTAAATAGGTAGTAACTATATAAAAGTATATCCTTAATTTCATGTTTAAAATTGTTGTTTAAAAAATTAAAAGATTGCGGAAATTGGACATAAAGTTTTGTGTAGGGAGAGTCTTGTTTTGAATTGTGTAACCTGCATCTCCGGATGGCAAGATCATTGGCACTCCGGATGTCATGACTATCAGTTTGCATCTCAATACGAATTTCAAAAGGAAATATATATTTGGAGCCATGGAGTCCTTTAAAATTAGAATTTACAATGGGCCCAGATATAATTTCAGCACTCCTTGCACGTGACTGTCGCTGTGTTTTGGCTAAACCGCTTGTAATACTTTTCAATCTATGTCAGAGAAAGCAAGCCATTTCCGTAGCCGTAGTATGTTATATGCTGAAGACCTATTTAAAAAGAATCCAGCGCAGTTTAGAGTAAGTCAATAATTGATCTCCGTTATGCAAAAAGCTATCAACCAACATTATATTAAAAAATTCGTCTCAAGTCGCAGTCAAACAAACATTTCCTCAGAAGCGAAACATCTTATTCTGTGGAGTGACTCGTGTGGGGGAGGTCACAACATAAATATTAAAATGATCCTTTTTTGCAACCATTACTTCACCTTTCACATCTCTAGTGCCTTTGTGGTCAAAAGGTAAACGAGTCTCTGAAGAGAAGCTTAAGAACTCGAACCAAATTATGCATATTATACCAGGAGATTCTCTGCCTTTGTATAGCAGGGAAGATTTAGATGGATTCGACGGAGGAGCTACATTTCAATGTTGAAGCAAAGTAGATAATTAAGTTATCGAATAAAAGCAAAAATAGGATTCCTAGGTATCTCAATTACAGACATAATCCAAAATGACTGTAAAGTAAGATGATACTTGTGCTATTGCTACAGTTTTTTTGTATTCAGTTTTGTATGCATTGGATATATTTAGAGAAAATTTCATTTTTCTACTCCCCTCTGTAAAATTCCTAATTACCCACCGATCTAGCGTGCGGGAAGCGTCACTTTATCACGTCAGTTTCGTTTCCAATGAATCTAAACCACTTCGGACATTTCCGAGATTATACCGCACGGATTTGGGAGCAATCGGATGTTTTCGGAGATATTTCCCACTCTTTGACTTTTGACGTTTGTCAATTCTGACAGTCGTGTCGTGTTGCTTTGCGGAAATCTACTCAAAAAGTAAAGCTCGTAGAAAAAGTATAGTATGCAACAAGTTCGGTGAACTTTTATTATTTTAATTTATTTTATTTTATTAAATACTCGCTCCGCTCGTGTCAAATAAACTCGTGAGTCAAATGCTGTTTACCGCACTTATTATTTTATTATAATTATCAATATTATTGATTTGATGGATGGAAGTTTTATGCATAACATAATACCACCAAGTACAATGCAGTAAGTTTTAGCCTAATAGGTGTAGCTATTATGACTATGACTACCATCTTTTGATAAAATTTTCTCCTGTTCTAACACTTTTTGTGTGAGTAATATTCGACCCGAAATTATGCTTAGTACTTGGCGATTTAATTTAACTTTTCCAATATTTACCCCTCCTTCTGTTTAATACTATTGATATAACATTAGTTGGTGATAGCAAAATAATGTTGTGGAATTTTTGCATTACAATTGAATAAATAAATTCATAACATTTGTTGGGATGTTACTAGATTTAAAAAAATAAGTATGGATTTTCCTATAGCTGAATTAATTGATATGATTTATATACCGGGTGGGGCGAGAAAAGCGAAAAAATACTTTTTCGGAAAGTGGTAAACCGGAATGAGGAAAAACTATCCAAGCAAATTGGAAAAGTTAGAATAAGAAAAGAAGGGTAAATGTATATAAAAATGGATATACGACATTCCTTATGAAAGATGTAGGTTTTTGTAAGATGTTTTAAAAATAATATATTCGTTTATTTTTACCGCCCTCTAGCATTCAATTCAAATTCCGTGATAGAGAAAAACTAGTAGTTTTTAGAAAAAATAGTATACTTGACAAACTGTTAGTGTTTTTTTTTTAGTTTTTAGTTTTAGCTATACTAAGTAAGCCTTTTGTATTTTCCTTTGTTAGCTATTAATTGAGTTACACCAGATTTTTTCGAATTCCTTTCTAATAATTCATTCCTATTTGACATATATTGTTCAGGAATCCACAAAGAAACTCTTGCCATATTGTGAAATATTTATTGGTTATGGAAAATGAAAATAGAAAACAAAAATTAACCCAAAAGAAATAAATATAAGTAAAGATTAAAGTAAGTGGTAAACATTAAATGTCACCTTATATTCCTTCTTTAATTGGTATATAAATAAATATTTTATAAGCCAATTGCTTATGTTTATAAAATATTTATGAGATAGGAATTGGAAAATCTAAAGATGGAAGGTTGAATAAGTAGATTAAAGTTGATTAATAGATCGAGATTTAGCAGATATTTATTGACTGTTAAAATAGCAAATTATTACACTACAATAAAGAAACCATATTTTTGCGGAGTACGTTTATACGAATTCCAAGACCTTATAGGTTTTTTTAATAATGTCGGCGGCTTTTTCGGCAATCATGATGGCGGGCGCGTTTGTATGTCCCGAAGTTAACTCCGGTATTACTCCGGCATCGACGACCCTCAAGTTCTTCATCCCGTGGACTTGCAGCGTCGAACTCACCACAGAATTGAAAGCATCGCTACCCATTTTAGTCGTCCCAACTGGATGAAGAATCTACAAACATATCGCAATGCATAAACAAAATCGAGTAAATACGGTGTACATTTTTCTTGAGTTTTCTCACGGTACATCATTCAATTTTACGTACGTAAAGCCCATTCTAGACTTATAATCGGTACGATTTGTGATGGCATTGACGCCAACAACATGCCACCCCGAATAAAATAGATTGTTGACCTTGCTTTCACTTATATTTCAACCGATGTTGTTATGCCCTAAACGTCCATCTGATCAATACAAGACAGTCGTCACTAGATTAGAATAGATTAACGGTTGGGAGAGCTAGCAGTGAGCCTGCGACCCAGAGGATCTATTGTGACTCTCTCCATAGCTATAGGGCTTTATCTAGGTTCGTCTCTCTAACCAGACTCCACAACTTCGATAATGGCTCCCTCGTATAGCTCTCTGCCTCTGATTTGGTATCGCCCAGCAGATGGAAACGCACTCTCGCTAGGCCTTCGTAGTGGCACAGTACGTGTACGGCTGCCTCCTCTTCCTGACAGAATCTACATTCTGTGTTTTCTTCCACTTCCATCAGGCTTAGATGCCTCTTAAGCCCGTCAGCAGACCTACCATTATTCTTACGGCTTTTCTATTGTAGCTTAGTAGGTCCGCTGTAAAATTGGCCGATGGGCCCCTTAGGAATTCCTTGGCCTGTCTTTGCCGCGGCATGTCCCTCCATCATCGTCGGGATTTTAGGTCCATCCAATCTCTGATGGCTGTTTTTCCAAAGGGTTTCACAAAAGGGTTCTGGTCCAATCAGGCGTATTGACGACCCTTCGCGGGCTGCATCGTCTGCGCCTTCATTACCTTTATGTCCTCCGTGCCCCGGTACCCATGATGGAGTAACTTTGTTCTGGCTTGCTATCTCGTTTAATGCCTTATGGCAGTCCATAACTAACTTGGATGTTATTTTATTAGATTGCAGGGCCTTTATAGCCGCTTGACTATCGGTGTAAATTGCAATTGATTTGTTACGGATCTTCCTCGCTTTTATTTCTCTTGCAGAGTGTTCTAGTGCAGTGATCTCTGCTTGGAACACTGTTGCTAGCTTACCCATTGGAATAGAGATATTCCTTTTCGTCCTGGGTTCATATATTCCGGCTCCTACTCCTTCTTGAGTTTTTGAGCCATCAGCATAACAGGTTATTTCTGCTTTGATTGGTGGCCCGTTTTCCCAGTCTTCTCTGACAGGGATTTGAGTCCTGTAGTGCTTAACGAAGCAATACTTAGGTGTTGTCGTGTCCGTAGGCTGCCCTAGGACATTGTCCGCCCTTACCTCCAAGTAAAGTTTGTTATGTTTCGTGCTATGTCCACCAATTATTGGGGACTGGCCTTGCAGTAGTAATCTATATACTGCGGATCTTGCTTCTTGCTATTTTTTATATGTTTTTTTTGTTTATTAGGTATTCTAGAGTTTGTTTTATTAATCAAACAGTTTTTATTGTATTTTTTTATTATTTTGAAATAAAGTAGGCATCTTAATTTTTTTTTTATTGAAGCAACCAATATACATTTATATTATAATATATTAACTCGTTTAGCTGTCTGGCACTGAATTTAAAAATTTTTAAAAAGTCAATTTTTACGTTTTTTTCCAATTTTTCGGAGATTTGGGAAAAAACGGAAAAAAACCCTTGTTTTTTGCCAAATTTTCCGGTTTTTTTCCGAACCGTTTAATCTCTAAAACTATCTCAACCCGAGTCACTGAGTCCGTAATTAAAACACCTTCTTTCTATTAATTTCGTCTTTAGTGATTCTATTAATTTCGTCTTTAGTGATATTAAGCGTTCCATCGCAAAATACACGCCACGCCCGTTGGCGTGTATTTGCAGGTCCATGTTGTTATTTTTATAATGTACAATATAGAGGAAGGAAAGCTCTTTTAAGCAAGACTCAGCTCATTTCATTTCTGCAACCCAATTTGCAGTTATTAACTTTTACAAAAAAACAGACCTAACCTCCTCCACAATTTTATTTATTTTATAAATAAATAAAACGTTTCAAAGAAAATAAATCGGAATATTATATGACAGACTATTTTATTCGCGTTAGGAACTTGAAGACCATTTAAATTTTTAACAGAAACAGTAAACTGTTATATAACCTATAAATCTAAACACCGCAATCAACTTTATTGCCTTGCCTACTTTAGCGTCACCAAGCATTTTACCTCTCTAAATTCTTTCCTGGTTCATCCATATGCCTTCTACTTCTTTTCTGCAATTTCCTACTTTTTATCTCCTTTTGTTGTTCTCTCTTAGCCATTCACTCTTAATTTATTTCTTTTAGCCACCCCACATGTTGAAATTCTTTTGTGAAAATCTTTTGTTCCCGCTATATTATTTGGAGTTAAGTTTAACTTGATGGATGAAACAAAATGAACTCTATGCTCCAGAGTTTGGAGATCTACGCTAGAATGTTCAGCTCTAATAATACTTACACTAAAACTCAGCTGTTTGAAGCTGCAGTACCACCAATCTTTGGAGAACCTCGGGTGGGTGTCGTCACAACCCATCACGGGAGGGTGTCTGAACGTTGCGGTGTAACCCCTCAAAGCTTTCGTCCGGTTCAATCTGATGATAAACTGCACGGCCCTGTAAAGAGTCTCTAAATCCTCTTCCTGGGACAAGTAATTTGGATCTATTGCTGGAAAATCTGTAATGCTGCGGGATTTTAGCTTCACCGAACCTACAGACTTCGGGTGAAGGAGGATTATGGGCATCCAGATGTCATGAAGCTTATCCACTCCTAGTTTTGAAGCGTATTCCTCTGAAAGTCTAAATTGGCGAGTAATTTTTGCATATCTCGGAAATATCCGTCATTTCTAACACAAAAGGTAACGTATTTTGATGGCGCTCACCCGTTCAATTGCCGTACGCTGTCTGTATCAATTGGCACCGCCAGAGGTATTTCTATATCAGGTCTACCCTTCTTTGATCCGTCAGTTCTTGCAAACACCACTAGCTCCATCGCGCTCGTGAGCGGCTTCTTGTTATACGTGTAATCCTTCAAAGCTTCCAAGGGAGTTTCATTGTAAAACGTTTGGTTCGACCTAAACGATTGTTGAGTGAATAGAAAAGAAATGGTACAAGATTTTAATCTAGTAGACCACAATATGCACTGAATATATAAATGAAAGACTACATAAGTGACTAGTAGTGTCTAACTAATAATAATAAATAATGGTGCATATACAGGGTGTCTCCCGGTTTACGGACAATTTTACATTTTGAGAAAACGGGAGTAGGGCCGCTTGTATCTAAAAGTTACGAGAACTTTGATTTTTTAAATAGTACAACGTGTGTGTCGTTCAATTTGCTTGGTATTACTTTCTGATCATTTTTGCAAAATAATTTTATATTTCCATCTGTACCAGTTCTTGGAGATATTGACTATTATTTAATTGAAACCGATCTCAATTTAATAATAATAATAATAGCACTTTATTTCCAATAAGATAACTGCGGTAAGAAATGAAACAGTTTGCAAGTCTCCGTGCCAGCTCAAAAACAGTAGAGTGAACCTTCCCGTCAGAAGAGCATGATCAATTTCCCTCTCAGGATAGGAACCTTTCTCCCTGAACATTAGATACTTCAGTTAGCTTCTCTGCACACTCTCAATGGACTGGAGTTATGGCCCATAGGCCGTTCATTTTGTAAGTGACTGAAGTCCATTTATCTTTAATTTGAAATACGTTTTTACAAAATTAAAAATATACGTAAGATATATGGTTGACTTGAAAATTTTACGTCGCATTTAACGGATTTAATTTTATACATCCTATTAAAAAGTCGCTATTATTAAGTGTATAATATGACCTTGCTTACCTTAAAAATACTTGGTCATTTCAAAATAAAAATTTCTTTTGTTACAAAGAGTGAAAAGGCTTAAAACCGTTACATATAGCTTAAAAAATTAAAAAAAAAATTAATTTTTAGATAACAGAAATAAATTTAGTTATTCGTTAACATTCTCAGTATGCGAGAGTGATTTGAAGTAGTTATGGTATTCCGGATATTTTTGGATCTTTTGTAAACTGCTTCCAAGAGTGTTTTTGATATAAAATCCTCTTGTTAAATTTCATTTAGTATGAAAATATTACCTTTTCTACATTTTTTAATTATATTATAATAATCTTGTGGCACATAAAATAACTGATTTCTTTTTAACGACATTTCTATAACGCAAAAATCTCTGTGATAAGGTAAAAATGAATGCCCTGATTTTAAAAATTTGTGGTCTATGATTTCCACATCATTTTCCATCGATAGAATTTTTAACCACATTAAAGATATTTTGATGTTTCTGTTTTGTCCTCCACACATGTCACTATATGTAATGACTTTAAACCAAATTATCCAATAAAAATTTATATACATTATTTAAATATTAAAAAAGAACCAGCAGTAAACAAAATAACAATTGAACCCTGATGTGAAACAATTTTCAAACTCAAAACTGACAAATTAAAAAACAGTGATGCAATATTTTAATTAAAAATGCAATCGTTCACATAAATGAACATGGAGAATTTCATAATTCAATTTTAAATCGAGATATAAGTACAGCGGATGTATTTCTTACTAACTTAATGTTTGAACCAATACCAGACTCAAATTTATTCATACAAATCCATATCAATTGACGGAGAAAAGGAAATTAAAAAACGATTACGCTTAGATCATTTAAATGATGAAGAACAGGAATTAATTACATTCATATTAAACTTTCTGAAATATTTTATCTTGATGGCGATCTACAAATGAAATAAAACATCGCTCTCCAAATATTCATAAACAAGAAGTCAAAAATCAAATAAATAAAATGTTAGACCAACAAATAATAGAACCCTCTTCTTCACCCTGCTCGTCACCAATATGGGTAGTACCAAAGAAAATGGATGCTTCAGGAAAACAAAAATGGCGAGTAGTCCTTAATAATCGAAAATTAAACGAAGTTACTGTTGATGACAAATATCCTTTACCAAATATTACAGATTTGTTCGATCAGTTAGGTAAATGTGAATGTGAAACTTAGCTTCAGGTTTTCATCAAATAGAAATTCACCCAGAAGACATTCCAAAAACTCAATTTAATTGTGATATTCTTTCAAAACAATGCCCTTCGGTCTTAAAAATGCTCCAACAATTTTTCAAAGAGTAATGAACAATGTATTAACAGGATTTCAAAATGAAAAATGTTTAGTTCACATGGATGACATAATTGTATTTTCACCAACAATTCACGAACACATTTCTCGCCTTAAGGAAGTTTTCAAAATGATTACGAAAACCAAATTTAAAAATACAACCTGACAAATGGGAATTTTTCAGAAAATAAGTTGCATGTCTTGGTTATTTAATTACCGAAGATGGTGTCAAACCCAATGCAGACAGAGTTCAAGGAGTCATTGACTTTCCAGTTCCAAAAAACACAAAAAAAATAAAATAATTTTTAGGATTAGCAGGATATTATCGAAGATTTATCCCCAATTTTGGAAAACCTTTAAATCGTCTATTACAAAAATAACCATTTAATTTTGACAAAGAATATCATCAAGCTTTTCCAATCCTTCAATTTTACAATATCCTCATTTTGAAGAACCATTTATTCTCAGATGCAAGTTCATTGGCTATAGGTTCTGTATCATCGCAAGATCAAATAGGTACAGATTTACCAATAGCTTATGCTTCAGGAACATTAGTCTCAGCCGAAATCAATTATTCAACAATTGGCAAAGAATTACTAGTTAAACGTTTAGACCATATCTTTATGGAAGAAAATCAAACTTGTAGCTCATCATCGCCGAATAACATGGTGGTTTTCAATTAAAGATAATGGTAGTATGACTGTGAAATTGTTTATAAACCTGGAAAAATACCTTATCAAGAATTAAAATAAATCATATACAACAAATTATCAATTTTAACTCAAAATTATTAAATAAACCTGATACATCAAAGAATAATCTAAATGAAGAAGAAACCTCATCAAATGAACCTGAAATCTAAAAAGAGACAACTTGTCCAATGAGTACTAATGAAATGCAAAATGAATTTGACAAATTTATCGAACCCTATCAATGAAAATCATTAATAGTTAAATAAAGAACATGAAAACATTATTACTATTTTTTAACAAACTCAACTTAACGATTTACATTTCAAAATATTCGACGATTTATTTGAACAATCAACCAACAAAACAAATATTTTATCTTCCAAAACGGTAAAGAAACGGGGCCAATATATTATTGTTCTCCCGTTTGATAACGAAACTGTAGTACCAGAATTATTTAAAATACTTTGTAACACTGATATTAGTGAAAACAAAACGTATTGTGTCAAGTTACCTATTGTGAATATGTTATTATGGACATTGGAGACAAAGATCAGATACCAATATTTATTTATAAAAAAATTATGGAAAAAGTATTCTTCACCGTGGAATAAAAGAAACAATTTTACCAATTAAAGAAAAATATACATGGCAATGAATGACTAAAGATGTTGAATACTTCATTAAAAAACGTGAAATTTTTATATATTTTTGGTTGGAATTTCTAAAACATCAATATTGATTCTATATTCTATATTAAATTCTATATATATATATATATATATATATATATATATATATATATATATATATATATATATATCACTCGTACGAGTGACATGGACATGGCCTCTGAAGATGCCAAGTGATATTTTGGCGAAACGTCAGGCGAATGATCCTACTCCAGGGTCAAACAACGAACGGATGAACATCCGGATATATATATATATATATATATATATATATATATATATATATATATATATATATATATATATATATATATATATATATATATATATATATATATATATATATATATATATATATATATATATATATATATTTTTTTTTTCTATTTTTTAAGCTATATGTAACGGTTTTAAGCCTTTTCACTCTTTGTAAGAAAAGAAATTTTTATTTTGAAGTGACCAAGTATTTTTAAGGTAAGCAAGGTCATATTATACACTTAATAATAGCGACTTTTACACTTAATAATAGCGACTTTTAAATAGGATGTATAAAATTAAATCCCTTAAATGCGACGTAAAATTTTCAAGTCAACCATATATCTTACGTATATTTTTAATTTTGTAAAAACGTATTTCAAATTAAAGATAAATGGACTTCAGTCACTTCCAAAATGAACGGCTTATGAGAGTGTGCAGAGAAGCTAACTGAAGTATCTAATGTTCAGGGAGAAAGGTTCCTATCCTGAGAGGGAAATTGATCATGCTGTTCTGACGGGAAGGTTCACTCTACTATTTTTGAGCTGGCACGGAGACTTGCAAACTGTTTCATTTTTTACCGCAGTTATCTTCAACCAACTATCATCGCACTGCGATTTATATTATGAGGGTTGATACTTTGGAAAATTCGATGGGCGCTGGGTAATCAGTGCTGATAAGCCAATATTTCCTGTAATCGGGTCATGTTACTTACCTATTGGAAATAAAGTGCTATTATTATTATTATTATTAAATTGAGATCTGTTTCAATTAAATAATAATCAATATCTCCAAAAACTGGTACAGATGGAAATATAAAATTATTTTGCAAAAATGATCAGAAAGTAATACCAAGCAAATTGAACGACACACACGTTATACTATTTAAAAAATCAAAGTTCTCGTCACTTTTAGATACAAGCAGCCCTACTCCCGTTTTCTCAAAATGTAAAAAAGCAACATCTGCTTTGTTTCAGCACCAACATCAGACAGGCCATAAAATTGATTTCGGTACTTGCATACAAATAGCTAATATTCCTGATTTTAGGACTAGGGTTATACGAGAGGCTATCGAAATAGAAAAGTCCGGACACCTCAATACGAGAGATGACGCTCTGCATTTATCCAACACGTGGAGAACGATAATCAAACAGCAGAGCGATGCACAGCAGCCAACGGGGACATCACAACTACGATCGGGCGAAATTAACAACGCGACAATTCAGAGGGCGGAGCCACCTCCCCCCACGCACAAGCAGCACCGTTACCATCTCCGGCGCAGAGTATAAATACCGCACGCACCGCCGATAACCTCCCAGTGTTCGAAGTGTTTTCGGAGCGCGAGGATTGAAGATGCCAAGTGAGATTTTGGCGAAACGTCTGCAGGATTCCAGTCGGAGTTCAACAAGCGAACGGATGATATCCCGGAATATAGTGTCATCACATTTTTCCATCCGTGAATCAATACGTGAATATATATATATATATATATATATATATATATATATATATATATATATATATATATATATATATATATATATATATATATATATATATATATATATATATATATATATATATATATATATATATATATATATATATATATATATATATATATATATATATATATATATATATATATATATATATATATATATATATATATATATATATATATATATATATATATATATATATATATATATATATATATATATATATATATATAGTTCTGTCATGGCCGACTAATATTAAAGCAGAAAGAAGAATAAATATTGGAAAAGTGAAAATTAATTTTCGAAGTACTTGAAATAAGTATATGTCATACCTGATAAAAGTAGTAGGTTGTTGTGAGAGCTTTTGTAAATTACATCTCAATAAACTTTTAATCAACTGGGCAACAGCCAGCTTTATAGAACCCTCACCTCACCAATGTAGGACCAAAACAAATTTTAAAAGAATTAACTAAAATTATAATGGAGATCTTTTGAAAATATTTTCTGTTAGGTTAATAACCATATTTATAGGCGCAGTATTATAATAGGCATATGAAAAGAAGTGTTTTTTTGTTCAAGGGAGACGTATAAGCTACATCTAAGGAAATTAAAAAGACAAACGGTCACAGAGCAGAAGATTGACCGGTTAGTATTTTCGGTAACATTGGTTAGTTAACTAACTCAATTTTGTTTTTGTATAAATTATCTCAGCTTCAGTTTTCATGTTAATTTCTTTATTTGAAAAAATTCGGAGAATGAAATTAATTTTAATTTTAATTGCAATAACAGTAAGAGACCGGTAGGTGTAGGGAAAACAATTTCAACTTTTTCGTAAGCTTCAAATGCGTTTTAAGCATACGTTGTTTTTTATTTTACCTATAAAACATTCCAGCATAATAGAGATGGTCTTGAAGGTTGCGCCCTACCGGTAGGTCTCGAATAACTTCAATTCCCAGCTCTCGTAGATGATCTCGAGGTCCAATACCGGAAATCATCAAGAGTTGCGGCGTATTGATGGACCCGGCTGACAGAACAACCTCCTTAGTCGATCGGGCCACATACTTCTCCCCGTTTTTGAAAAATTCTACCCCGTAGGCCGCGTTCGTGCAGGTATCGATCAATATGTTGGAGACGAAACTGTTTAAGCTTACATACAAGTTGGGCCTCTTCTGGAAAAAGTCTAGGAACGCCCTCGCAGTGCTGTCTCGTTTGTTATAGTTCAGCGAATATTGCACTTGACCGATACCCAGTTGGTTCTTTCCGTTGTAGTCAACTTTGTCTTGGCCCAACTCTTTGAACGCTTTGAACATTGCGGGTTGCTGAAATAACGTCTTGAGTTCGAACAATGCGACTGACCAACAAACTCACGAAGTCGGGTGTAGGATTAAGAACGTCGACGTGCATGTAACCGCCTTCTCCGTGGAATTTCCCTTCCCTGCCCGCGAAAACGGCCGCTTCCGACTTTTTGAAGTACGGCAGTACGTCCCGGTACGACCAGCCCGGGTTTCCCATCTTTTCCCACCTGTCAAAGTCTTCGCGATTTCCCCTGGCGTAGACGCCTAAATTAACTGTGCTCGAGCCGCCCCTGACTTTTCCTCTGACGTAAAAGCATTGCTGATTTGGCATAGCTGTAAAAGTTTTCGTTTGTTCCACACAGGATAACTCGCACACACTTGGTGACTAGATAAAGATATTCTAATTAAACATGATGTTATGCAGCAGCTTGAGTATTAATCACTCTAATTTCCCTCGCCACACAACTAGGATTCTAGCTAAACTTAGACTAACAAGTAATGGTTTCACAAAATTTTAATATCAAGGTTTACCATATAAACCCAACAGGATAATCTTACAATTTGAATTGTACATTTGGGCGGCTTCATATTCATTCTAAAACTTGGATCCAATCTTATTATTTTTCTTATTTTTATCTAGTTAGAGTCTTTATTGTAAGTTCATAAAAGGCGAAGTCTAGTTCTATGACCGCTCACACCTAACTATCACATACATCTTACTATACAGGGTGTTCAGAAATTGAGTGCGGAAACTTGGAAGAAAAAATTCTAAATCGTAACATTTTCCCAGTTACAACTTGTCAAAACTCATTTTTTTGAATTTTATTTTTGATACAGTGGCCTTAATTTTCATCGGAATTAGCTGCTATTTTGCAAACAGCCCTAATTTAGTAAAATTCATCGTTACGAAAAGTGTTTCAAAAATCTGTCGCTAGAGGGTACTTCACCTAGAACATTTGGTTTTATATTCCCTGTATTTTATTTAATGATATTGCAAAATAGAACAGAATGAATTTAGCTGAATCACAAATCCTCAAACATTGTTACTTTTCTTTTAAGTCGATAAGCGTTATCATTTAGCCACATATCAACAACGCGATATGCGTTTTTGCTACGGAAGAGCAAATGGAAATGCAGATCGAGCTGAGGCTTATCTCAATAGAAACGTTCCATATGCTAAGATATTCATCCACAGAGGATCATTCAAACCTGATAATTGAATAAAGGAAGACCTACTCGCAAACTTTTTATTACATGACTTTCTACCATTATTTTACCTCGTTGAATATTCCCTCCAAGTTTCCGAACTCAATTCACGAACACTCTAAAATACAAAAAAATATATAAAACGGAAATTTTAAAATGAAATGAATGAAATGAAAGAAATGAAAGACTAGCGATAGAATTTTATTAATTTTCAATTAAAACGAGAAATCCATTGGCGAAAATTAATGAATAATTACGTAGGGAATAGTTCATAACTTGAAGAAATATTTTGGACTTGGACTAACCTATCTTTTCCAGGTACACACATGAAAATCGAAATTGTCTGCTTTATTTTTAAGCAGACAGACAGGGAGCTCTTTAATTTAAATATAATTTTTAGGGAGTTTAATTAATTGAGTTCGTACTTCAGGTGGTTATAATGCTTCCTTGCTTGGACATTTTTCTGTCCATCTCTGTAACTGACACGGTACTGAATTAAAAATTGTATTTCGTTTCCCTCCTAATTTCAATGTATATTTTCTTATTTTTTGTTACCAACTTGTTGCTGCTTGTTAACAATGAATAGTCAATTGTTACTGTTTGTTATGTTTGAAAGTGTGGAGCAGGACCAAAGTAATTTTTTGTCTTATAGATTTTCCAGGAGTTCCATTGTTATTTTTATATCGATTACATCTTAAACGCATTTACCTTGACATATGTTCTTTTGTTTTGTGGTGTTGTACCCCCAGTTCATGTCGGAGTACCACAAATATCCGGCCATGCCGAAGATATCGCAAAACTCGTTATCGTTGCCGCCAGCTTCCAAAAGCAAAATCTTCCAATGTTCGACCTCGGACAGCCGGTTTGCCAATACCGCCCCTGCAGAACCGGCTCCGACCACTATAAAGTCGAACTCGCCAAATTCTGAAAGTCGTAGGAGTCAATTGCTTCTGCTTTGTCTTCTCTCGTTAACGAAATCATATCAAAAGGAGACCCAAAAGCCGTGACAGCATTGCTTTCAAACGAATTTCAATATTTGACTTTAGCGGCCATTGTACGGGGTGAGTCACCGATAGAGTAAAGTTCATTATCTCATTTGTTTCAAAAGTTAAGGAAAAATGGTTGTAAACATTGTTGGGATGCACAATTTAAAATTAAAACGTGATGAATTGATTTTTTTTGTTATTATATAATAATAATTATTATTAATATATAATAATTATTATTATTATATTATTATATTATATAATAATAATAATTATTATTATTATATATATAATATTTTTTTCTTTCTTATATATTTTAATGTTGACCATCTGTGGCAGTGTTGCAATTGCAAATTTGCAGATTTGTCCCAAACTGCTTGCTGTTGTCTGCAAAGCATGTTAAGGATTCTAGCTTGGATTGTCATGCGGACAAAAGTGTCGAACATTTTGAAAAAAAGTATTCCGAAGAACAATAACGCAAACTACTACAGCACCAACAGCATCAAGTTTAAAAAAAGTTCGAAATCAAAGAATATTTGTCAGAAAATTACATTTATTCTGAATTCACTTACAAGAAAGCGCAACTGTTAGGAGTACTAAATTCTGACTGGGCTGGCCATACTGTTTTACTCTCTTCTTCCTTATTATTGCATATTTAATCCCTTAGAGCATTTGTGCCACAAGTAACAATACAATAAAGTTCGCCGAACGATATACCGTTGTCACAACCTTTTATGTTTTTTTTTGGCTTCGGAATGAGTTTGTTGTAAAGATCTGTGCCGTGCAGACTGTTGCATTTTAAGAGTAGGAAAATAATCACCGATTAAACTGTTATATTAATTCATATTAGTGTGCTTTTTACAAATCTTCCTAAAACAGTCCCTACTTGAGGTAGATCGATTTCACATTAGAAAGCTTAAAATAGTCTCCAATATAAGGGTTTAGAGAGATCTAAGAATTGGTGCCAAAAAGACCCCATCATATATTTAGATGAGACCTGGTTTGATGGCCACTATACCATCAAGTGGAGTGATGGTAACCGCAGGAAATGTTCGTTGGACGTGCCAGTTTCGCGAGGCAAATGAATTGTCATACTACGTGCAGTCTCTGAAACTGGTTGGGTAGATAACGTTTAATTGCGTTTTTCTAAAGATGTCATAGAAGCAAAGGTTGACTGTTGACTCCCACTAAAACATGACAGCAGATGGCTTTGAAAAATGGTTTTGTGAAAAATTGCTTCCCAATATTCCACCAAACAGTTTTATCGCGACGGACAACGCCAGCTAGTTGGAAAAACGGGTAGAACATGTCATCGCAGAAGATAAGCACGAAGTACCGAACTACGGTTCTGGAACATCATTGAGGAAATACAAATCTATTCATTGAGGATTACAGCCGAGGTAGGCCTGCCTTTAGACGCTCACAAAAATACTGGATTATGTCGTAAAAACGGTATATCGTACGGCGAACTCTACCTCAGTCGGCTCAATAAAATATATGCTTTGCATTTGTCATTTTCTCTGCTTCTTACTAACGACATTGCCGTTTGCATTAATGCGAATATTTTTTGCGGTCTTATCTAGTACTAGATCGATTTCAGGTTTATTAGTAATTTTAGAAAAATAAGAACTACAGAAATAAGAATTGTTATTACTTGTCTGACCTATGTAACTTACCGCGCACTCTTGACCCTCCAGAATCGGCTAGTTTGGTGAGCTTGCTGTTATCGACGGGAAATTTATAACTCTTCGCATCCGCGATATTTTTCTCCACCATTTTGACGAATTGGTCGAAATCCGGCGACCCCGAAATCAAACCCGCCCAAAAGCTCAAAACGCAAGCACGTACGACAAACGCGGGTGCCATTTTACGTTCCCACTTCGAAGTGGTGCCGGTTTTGAACACAGTCGGTTTTTTATCGTCCAATTTCGCTCGCCGATAAATAAATTACAATTACGGCGTACCCTCGTATGCGGCATACTGCATATTAACAAAATTATGAGCAGATAACTTGCCGGTACTTATGTCAAAACGAAGATACGGAATCGTTTGTACCCTAAAATGCAATAGCTGACGCTTCCGGACGTGCATATCAACGCATAGCAATTTTTCAACCAATTGAGGCTGCCGCAAAGTTGATATAAAGTACATTTATCCCTGCAACGCGGTATTTCAATGAGACCGACGACGTTTTCATGTGTTTCGTATACATACACAAAACAAAACAGTAAATAGGGATCTATCAGCATTTCTTAGAAGGGTGCGGGTCTTTTCTTATTATTATTTCTTTTATTTCTATTCTTTTTTCTTAAAAAAAAATCAATATACAGTTTCCTTAGATGATAATCTAAATGTGTGCAGAGCCGTTAATTTCGACGTTTTTACCTAATTCAAGGTATTTACAAAAAAATCACATCCATGTCAATTGCGACAACTTACCCCGCTATGGGACAACAACAAAAAAGCCAAATAATAACGTATTTTTTACCTAATAATTCATTTATTAAATAACATTGTATCACACATTTATTAAGAAGACTTTAAAAATCGTCATCTTGGACATCTTGGACAGATATAATGGGGAGTTGATGCACAAGCACAAGCTTGAGGATCTCATCCGTCCTTCCTTTGGCAGAAACGGTCATCTTCATCCGTCTCATCAGAGCTGCTGACCTTTCTGTTTCGTTGCTTTATTTTAAGTTTTCTTAATGGCTTCTCTTTGTCTGAAATTTTCCTTTTTACCGCTTTTGCCCCCCAACTATGCGTTTTTCTAATGATAAAAAGTCGTTGAGTTAATTTTTGAGGTGTTTCTCCTTGCCCTTTCCTCCTCTACTGCACAATATACCATACATATTTTGATTTACAATTTGGGATTTTTTGAATGCAAGGAAAAACATTTTCTTATGTTGATTACTCTAACTTTAAATAACAGTTGAATATGCTGACTAAATTAAGATTGTTTTAATAGAAAGCATCGCTTGTGACGTCACAAAATTTTGCTGAAAATTATAAAAGAACTACGTGATTTTAAGATTTTAAAAATTATTTCCAAAAACAAAATTCAACTAACTAACTAAACTAACCAAAACTAACACTTCGATAATTATAACTTCTTCTAGTCAAGTATAGACATTCGTTAGGAAAATAAGGCCGCAATTACAATTTATCGGAATACTAATTAATATCAGTTAAAGCATTTTTTGTTAGGGAAGCCTAATAATAACTTAATTGACGTTTAAAAAACGTCGTTAAAGTTATTGGGTTTATCGTATTGTAATAAACATGTTTTAGCATGGTACAGTAAACGTCATCTACAACGGCAGCAACTTCAGGATATCAGTTTTTGGATATTTAAACCGCTAGTAAGACACCATATCCTAGCAAAACTAACCAAAATGTTATTGATTCTCTACATATAATTATAAAAATTTTAGTAGGAAAAGACGTTGTTCTATCTCTTACTGAATAGCAATAAAAGCGAGCAGACTGTACCGGGTGGTCCATTTAAGATGCTCCAATAACTACGACTCTGAGAAAAAAAGTTAAATATAATAAGTGTTTGACCCTAAAAGTGACCCTTCAAGCACTCTTTCGCCCAATTAATTTAATGAGTTTTTTACCAATGTTGCTGCTGTGGTCTCTTTAACTGTCAATCCTGAATTTGCAGAGTGCCTGCATAAAATCCCAAATGTAACTTCATCTTTTTTCTTGCACTGGAGGGCAGAAGACTATGTTTTAGACTGGGTAATTGCATTGAAAAAATCTAGTTGTTATGACTATTATGACATTAATAGTATAATTATGAAGGAGATTATGAGCCAGATTCTAACACCTCTCACATTTTTATTTAACACATGTATTGATAGTAGAAGTTTTCCCTCGCAATTTAAGGTCCAATATTTAAAAAAAGGTAACACAAACTCTCCAAATGATTTCCGACCCATATCAATAGTTCTTCGAGACATTTTCAAGGAATCAATTTTCACGATTTTTTCAAAAAGCAAAATGCATTTGTGCAGGCGGTTCGCATTGTTGTGGGAAACGTGGTGGATGGCCTGGAAAAGGGGGAGCAAGCTGCACTCACGCTGTGACCTCACTAAAGCTTTCGACTGCGTCTCTCATGACCTCCGTCTGGAGAAGCTTGGCAGATATGGTGTCCGTGGTGACCCTCACGATCTTATCCGGTCATATTCATCTGACAAAATAGAGTGTGTCGTCTTTAACAATAACATATCGGAGTTGAGAGTTGTAAGGAGTGGCGTGCCTCAGGGCTCCGTCTTGGGTCCGCTACTGTTCACTATTTACATCAATGACTTGTATCATTTTCTTATTGCCCAATAAATGTACACTTGCGGACGATACATCGTTTGTGACTTATGGCAAAGACTTCAATCAACTTATGCACGATGCTAATAACGTTGATCGGATGGCGAAACTTTGGTTCACAAACAATAACCTTAAACTAAACACAGATAAGACACACCGTCTTGTTTTCTCAACTAATGATAATCTACTGGAGGTCAACAATGTAAGGTTCTTGGGACTAACACTTGGCAATAGTTAAAATTTTCTCCCTCATATTAACATCTTGTATAAAAAACTTGCCTCTACTATTTATATAATCCGTAAACTTAAAGGACTGGTTACTGTGGGCAGATTGCGAGTTATCTACTTTTCTCTTTTTCACTTTCATCTAACTTACGGCATAGTTCTCTGGGATAATTTTGCCATGGCAGACCAGGCGTTTAAACTTAAAAAGAAAGTTGTTCGTTTGATTGCCGGTGGAGGTTATCTGGAGCACTGTTAACATTTTTAAGAAGTCTGTATGTTTATTATCAATTATTAGAAATACACAAAAACATATATAGCTTCAGTCAGAACTCCTCTTACCATGACTATTTAACTAGAAATAACAAGCTACTTCGTACTTCAAATATACCAAAAAACAAAAAAATTAACTAAACTTAAACTTGTACAATAAACTATCAGCTAACGTGAAAGTTCAAAGTAATAGAAAATTAAAAAAAAACATCTTAACCTCTCATACTTTTTAAATGGGTACTCCAGATGTGATTGAAGTCAAATGCAATGACTTTCAGTAATTTTGTTGATGTTCCTTTTATTTATTTATATAAACGTCTTGTTTTTTGTTATATACACTGTCTTGTATATATTATACACTGTGTTATGCAACTTATACACTCTTTTTTTATACATATTGTATTTATGGCTTGCCATAATTGTATCAACAAAACGTGGTCAATAAATTCTATTCTGTTATATTCTATATTTTATTGTTATATTTTTATGTTATTTTGTAAATAGAATGCTATGAATATTTTTAAAAATTCTAATTATTCGCGTGATTTTGAGTATTCTTTGTTATTATAAAAAAAAAGAGGTCTGTGTAAAAAATGTATTTTTTATAATTGAAAATTAAAATTGGGAATTTTTATTATGGGTCCTCGAAAGTAGTTGATATTTAATGGCGAAAACATATTATACAGAGTGGTCACAAATGACCATGAACGCCCTTTATGTAGCACTTCTATTGGGCTTGAGATTTAAGTCTGTATCATTTCATATGCATAGCTTTTATTACAAAAATTGTTAATATAGAAGTAATGGCGAATTTTCTGCAATAACTCATGTATTTTATTATAAATCTAACTAAACATATATATTATACTATTCTAAGTTTTTTTAAACATTAATTACTTAAATTCAATATAAAATCAACCAGTAATGCATGTAAATAAAACTTATTAATTATTAGTTTTTATTTAAAATTAAAAAAAAAATTACAGTGTTTGAGAGCGTTTGCATCTTCATGAATGTTGACAATGATAAGACAATAATAAGAGTCGTAAGAGAATATAGGTGGTTGCTCCCACGAAACATATTTTTTCACGAATTGTTCTTGATTGTCCTAATAGAAGAGAAGCCAATAAAATTTCTCCTATATTTTGAAAGAGGAATTTAAAATATAATAACTGCAATTCGAATTTTTGCTAGTTCAGAAACACAATAGGACTTTTAAACGAGGTTTTTTTGTTGTTCCCTTATGATAGACTACTATTTGTTAATATTTATCGATAAGGCAATTTTCAATACGGTCGGTAGGTTTAACAGAGAAATTACTCATTACTTAATTGAATATCATGTAAAAGAAATTAAGAATACAGGGTCGGAGAAGTGCGTCTCACTTTCCATTATTTTCAATGCGATTTGTTGCGGCTTTTCCGAAGGCTGGTTTTTATGAAATGAAAGGAAACAAACAGAAATATCTTGGATTAAAGATACAGGATGCAAAAATGTTCATTTTTAGACACTCTTTGTTGTTATGCTTGAGTTTACCGAAATGGTTCAAACTGCCCTTGCGCTTGTATTTTTTCAGATTGAAACCCAATAATTTTCCAAGGTTCTCTGTTTCAAAAACATTATATAAAACAAACAAATTAAACAGCATATTTTATTTTCGGTAAGTCATATTTTTTAGTAATTTTACTGACACTGGAAGCTGAATGTAAAGTTCTGACAAGACCAAATACATGAACATGAACATTTTTAATTACAGCGATTTCTTCTGATCGTAAGAATTCTTTCGATAGAGGATTAGATTCGATTAAAGGATAGAATTACATTCAATTTTAGAGTCATAAAATAACTATGTTTGTATATCCTTAAATCCATTAAGTTGGCTTGAATACAATCAAAAAGGGTTATAATTATAATTAGAATTGGTCACATAACTCTAAACAAAAGATTGCATTTTTTCAAGCCGTGCTTTGCCGAACAAGGCAGCAGAAATTGGGCTAAGGACGTGACAGACTGTCATTGGCATTGGCTTTAAATTCCAGCACGAACCTTCTAACTCCCCACTCCTCTTTTGCCTCTTTAAGTACCAAGAGAAGGGAACCTACACTTTACGCCATTTTCTTTCGAAACAGCAAGTTCCACACACTTAGTTCTCACAAAATAACAAGAAACTTATTGAATACCGCAAAGTTATTGGTTATAAACGAGAGTTTAAGCTGCTCGCATGCGCATGTTGAATGGACCTTCTCAATGTTTTTTACATAGTTGCTTCATGAGTTTCGATAATATCAGCATAGCCAGGGCATGCCATAGATAGAAATAAGAAATCACAGCTTTATTGTTGCAAAAAAATATAAGGAATATTTTTACAAAGCATAAACTCTAATATAATCGACTTCGAGTTTCGAATGTTCTCCCCACGTCTTCAGCCAGTCCGAACGGGCTCGGTAGAAATCCTTTTGGCTGACTGGCTGGCTATTCGTCCATGGTTTACTACCATCCGATCTGTCTTCGAAATTCTGACCTCCCACTCCTACCCCGATTGTAAGGTACATCTGGAAACATATAATTACTTCGTAACGAATGTTTTTACAGACACTTACAGTCATTTCCACCGTCAAGCAAAAAGTAAATGAAATTCTTCATTCGCTTCCTCATTAATATAAAATCTGCATTATCATTGTTATTTATTTGGTATAATTACAAAATTGTATAGGAATTATTCATTCATTATCATCGTTAAGTATCATGCATATATAATTGTACCTCTGAATTCCAAGCTGTCTCGTACACTAACAACGTTACTACTTTGAAATTTGATAAAATTTGGAGCGCATACAATGCCATTTGAGAAATAATAGGACTAGTCCCTGTGAGAATTCTATACTTCGTAAATGAACCTTTACAACACAAAATCTTGAAATATCCCTTAAAATACACTCTTTTTTTTATTTCTGGTCTAATTTTTGTTATTTGTTTTCCAAACCGCCGACTTTAATATGCCTGTCCGGCATTTTGTCATTTTTCAATGTTGAACTGACCACCTTATCACTTATATCATTATGACAGCTTATAATTACGTCCACCGTCAACAACTGACAACTTTTCCGAAAAGGACATAAAATCATTAAAATATTGAGGTAAAACGGCCCATTTAAGGTTTTTATTATTTTTTGTGGCTTTTAACCACCAAGTCGATATATTTTTGGAAAACTTAAACTAAATTTACCAAAATTTATTAAAAAAAACTGATAAGTAACTATTTTTATATAGATTAATTTTTTTTTATTGGTATTTATAAGATTTTCGGAAGCTCCTGCTTTAAGCTAAATTCATAGAATTATCGAAAAAATAACAATTTCAAAAAATTAATTATGATTCGGTTAAAGGAATATGGAACAGCTTTTATTTTAGAATTTTTAGGCGGTCTATTTTACCCTTGGCATTACGCAAAGGGCTAAATAACCAGATTTTATAATTATAGTAACGAAAAAAGTGATTAATTTTTGAGGTGGGCCTTCTTGCTCCCCTACTATCAAACCGACCAGCAAGCATAAAAACCTCGACAAGAAATATATATTTTTTAACTAAACTCTTGGTCCACAGTTCATCTCACTTTAAAAGCGTGTACCAAGAAAACGACATATAGGGAAAGAATGGTCATTAACAAATATTTATTTACATATTATCGTTACCAACCTCTCCAAAAAATGTACCAAATGTAGAAAAATAGGCTTCCAATTGCACCAAATATTTTATAAATAAGCCGGGCTTCCAATTGCGTGTAATTAATATGGTTTTGCTATTTAAATTAGTTACCTCCTTGTCGAACGGCGCCGTTTTGCTTCCAGATTGCCATCGGTCCGCGTGCTTGATCGTTAAACTGTTGCGAAGACTAGCAAAGCCGTTTTCTGGAGGAAATATGTTCGCGTAGACCTTATCGTCCACGCCAACAATTATACTGTCTGGAAAAATGAAACGAGTGAAAGTCTACGAAAGAATTACGTAGAGCAAAAACCCTGCTTTCGCTTTTATCAAATTACAAAACCCAGATGCGAAATAATGGTGCGGGAAAATAATTATCTGAAATTGAAGGTTTATAGTATCACTGGGACCGATTATTATCGATGTCAATTAAAAAATCAATAAAACAAGGAATATCTACTCAATTGGAATCATAACCAAAACGGGAAATGCTCTCACGTTCGTCTCTACCTGAGTCGTACTAGTGCCGCTCACAGCGGAGTACGACACCCGAGCGACATCCGAGTTTTTTCCGGCCATATACCCAGCGAGATTGTAACCAAAATACGCGGAAAATATAACGGCAGCAATTAATTAAATGAAAACCAATTTCGATTTGAGCGATATAAAAATTCCCGAATTACAAAAATTAAAGAGGAAAAATAAAAGAAATCAATTCAAACTAATTCGATCTGATTAACATAAATATCTATAACTACTAAGGCCCGTGTAGAAAATTAAATTCTATTAAACTAAAACTACTCGTAGCTCTAAGAAATAAACGCCCTATGATGGAATATGTTATATTAAGAAAACAGAAGTCATAACACCTTCGATAATAATTCGGTCATAGTCAATAGTCAATAGTCAAAGTCATATCCGTATGGTAGTAAAAGGCAAACCAACCATAACGAAAACTAAAACTAAAATTAACACGACCCTACAAAAGAATTTTCGTTCTTTGTCCTAAAGTTTAATTTATGATTTTTGGGTTAATTATGCACAAAAATGAAGAGAAAATACCCTTTTTTTGTTACAATTCTGCTTCTGTGATAGTTATAATAAAAAAACTCATTGTTTTATTTTTTTATAAATTATAATTAATTTTAACTGAGTGAGGTTTTTACATTCACAAATTTTCACACGTTCTCTGCGAAGCCAATGAAGCATATTTTGACTCTCCCGTTTGGAATCAAGACAAGCCATGGGCTCCACATGTTACTTGTAGTTATTGTAAGAGATGTTTATAAGATAAGCAATTTTTAATTAAGCGGCGAATCAAGTATAATGGATCTATTAATGTTTATTTTCATATTTTAGGTTGGTATCAAGGTGAGAACAGATCTATGATATTTTCAATAGCACCTTACCAAAAGATCACGTCAATAGCTGCTACATTGGCATTGCGAATCCACGTAAAAGAAGCGAAAAAGTAGCTCATCTCTTAGCTCTAATAAAAATAATTCTGAAAAGGAGTTTTTACCTACACCAGATCCACCAAAACACCATCTTATTACTACAGAAGATTTTAACAACTTGATAAGAGATTTAAGTTTGCCAAAAAATAAAGCAGAGCTTTTAATATCGTTAATATCACATATCAGCGGCCTAGACATGAAATTTTCTAAACATTTTTCACAAAAGAAGAACATTAACGAAAAAATTGGCATACCCCGGGTTCCTGACGAATGGCGTTCATTTATTGACAGCGGTACAAAGAGCTTAAAAGCAGTTTTATTGCACAACGGAAATAAATTCAAATCTCTAACTGGCAGTTGATTGGAGATTTTAAGATGGTGGGATTTTTAATGGACGCGATATGCAAAGTATCAGTGTTATCTGTGCTCATTGTTGAAGCGGATAAAGGGTTTAATTTAGGGTTGATGAAACAATTTGGATGAACGTCCAAAAGCTTTTGAGTACTTGAAAAACTTTTTCCCGAAGTTATCAGAAGCCGGAGTTTTTGTTGGTGAGCCAATATTCAAAAAGTAAGTTGAAACAGTTTTAAAGCAGCAATTTCTGGATTTTTAGGAAATAAGAAAAGCTAGTTGAAAATATTTTTAAAGCTATGGGCTGCAGGACGTTATTAAAAGTACATGCTCATCTAGATAAACTTAAAAACAATTGGAGCCTATGTTTTCATCGGGACATGATGCTTTGAACAACGTTATCAAGGCCAACAATAACAACATTTGGGATAAGTAATTAAGTAAATAAAAGCGCACATTTTTCAATTATTTTCCACTTTTTTGTAAGGTATGTTGATAATAACACTTACATAACCCCACATTTTGAAGAATATCGTTGAATCGATCTCCTAAATACAAACATTGGAGGCTGATATGTTGACATTGTTTTGATAACCGAGAAAATAAAAAAAATAATCATCATACGAGATGGTATATCGAAGGGGATAGACTGAAAAATGAAGAATTGTAATTAATATTGACTATTTTTTAATTCAATAGTCCTTTTTTGATTTTTCTCGTTGAATGGCAATTTTTTCCTTCAATTTCAAGATTTTTTAAAAAATAATACGGATACCAAAACAACAACACCACAACTGGACTAACCAAAATTGACCAAAACCGGAGAATACTGCACGGTCTAATAATTAGTGATTTAAAAGAGTGCAAAACGGTCTATGGGTGAAATTCCGGATTGTGTATTTGTCGTCATCATATCGAGGCCATTTGTGATATTGTTTTCAAACCATTCGAAGGTGAAATGAAAGTGAGAAACCCAATGGTAAACCATCATCCTGGGAACAAAACATATCTCGCAGGCACTACATTACGATTCTAAATTTTATGATATAAAAGGCTTTGTAAGAAGCGACGTTTACTTTTTTACGCGTCCGTGTTTTGTGCAGCTCAGGTAAAATACATAAAAATAAAAATTTATCCGTAATGCCGTCGTAAAAACAAACTTTGGAAGCACCGCTCCCTCGCTAGTCAGTCGAAAAGGGAAACCGTACGACGTTGAAACAAACAAACGTTTTTAATCAGATTAAACAGCATTTTATCAAACTAGAGTACTGAAACGGACCTAACAAAATTCTTAATTTCTTACCTGGTTTCCAGATCGCAGTGAACACGTGAAAATCGTCCGACCACGACGAAACTCGCTGAACAGCCTTCACCGCGTACTTCCTCGCCGCTTTCGAGTCACCCAATATGGCACCACCCTGAAGGGTTTTGCTTTCTTGCTCGTTTCCGGACACAAACGCTATCCTGATCTGTCCCGATTGATAGTACGATCCGTAATCATCGTTCTGGGAGTTCAGATATAGTTCTGAAATTTTAAAATACCAAAGATTTTTTTTGGCAAAACTTTTATTCGCATACGCAGTTCAGTTTTCGTGGAAAGCGCTAGACAGATCAGGCAATTCTTTCACTCTACAAACATATTCTTCTCAATTTAGATCAAAACCGGAGAACTGTGCGTGGAAATGCACTTGAATTGTTAACATCTTTTTTGATTGATAGAAGTCGAGACCGGTTTTAAACGGGATTCCTCAGGGCAGTCTGCTTTCTTTCCACTTTTCCATCAGGGAGAAGTGGCCACATTCTCATTTAACAATGTTATTTAAACCTAGGTTTTCCTCTCGCCGTCAACTATTTCGTTAATATCTATTAACTTTTTCTGGTGTTTTTATTTATAATTGTGCAAGCCCAAAATCCCAACCTGAACCAACGATTAAGGAACAATTATAAATTCCCAGGCATAATTTGCCTGTAGTAGCCAATAGTCCGGTTGCTTTGCCGATTAAACTTTTTAATCATTTGGCTACTTGAACTGAGGAGGCTTTTACTTGATGAAAGTCCATTTATCAAAATAAATAAGAACTGAAAGTTCAGATTTTCACGAAATTATATATTTTGACATGACAATTGTTTCGACAACACCGTATCAAATGATGATAAAGACACGGTTTTATTCTTTTAACTAAAAAAATATTTTTAAAAAATTGATAAATAAATAATAATATATAAATATAATTATATTTATATATTAATATAGTAAAATATTTCAATGCAATAGTGGAAATTGTTAAGTTTGCGGTTTTGTGACCACACTACAACAAAATTGGATTTTGTCAAGAAAATTATACCCAAACGGTATCACTTTTCCTCCTCCTTCCTAACCCAAAATATCAGAAAAGGAAATTAACACTCGAAATTCGTCATCGCTGTTTTAGCAAAATATAAATAAATTTATTGTTTAAATTCCGGAAATTTGCGTTTTTACATTTGCCATAGCCAATTAAACCACGTAAACGTAATTTCCTATAATTAATTTAAATTATGATATGCGTGAAAATGTGGGTAGAGGACATTTTCCTTCCGATACTGTCACGGATTTGAGTCACTATTTGATTATGCAAACACGCGATTAATAATTATCAACGATGCACTATGTAGATTTTTTGGACCATGAAATTAAGTTTTGGGATGCATCTAAGCTCGTTTAGAAATTTTTTTTACTCTCGTCTGTAAAATACCTAATTACACACCGATCTAGCGTGCCGGAAGGGTCATTTTACCACGTCAGTTTCGTTTCCCACGGATCCGAACCACTTCGGACATTTCCGGGATTTTACAGCACGGGTTTGGGAGCAATCGGACGTTTTCGGAGATATTTCCCACGCTTTGAATTTTGACATTTGTCAATTCTGTTTTGTGAAAAGGTACCCAAAAATTAACGTTCGTAGAAAAAGTATAGTACGCAACACGTTCGATAAACTTTTTACGTCCCTCGTTTATTAAACACTCGCTCCGCTCGTGTCAAATAATCTCATCAAATGCCGTTTACCTCACTTGTTGCATAATATACTATTATATACACATCGAATAGGCTTTAAAATAGTATATTATGCAACAAGTGTGGTAAACAGCATTTGACTCACGAGTTTATTTAACACGAGCGGAGCGACACATGTGCGGTAAAATCCCGGAAATGTCCGAAGTGGCTCGGATCCGTGGGAAACGAAACTGACGAAATGTGGGAATGTGGGAACAGTAGACTTTTTCTAACCTATGAACGGAGATAAAAGCTTTAGTTTTGTTCCCACGGAAACTCTCATTTCCTCAATACTAATTTGCCTTGACCAAAAATAAACTTATGTAATTCTTTTACTTTAAAAGATGGTTCAGTTAGCGGCTGTGGCCTAATCTTAGTGGATCCTCATTAATAATAATGGACAATATTGGATCAAGCAGTCTCTCATCCAACTTTAATGGAAGACCAGCTATGGTTGTTAGTGAGCCAACACTTACCAGAAAAACTGCGTAGGTAGTTCCCAAGTATTCTGCTTTGAATATGAAATTATTTTAAATTATAATCTTTCAAGAATGGAAAAGTTAGTATTGGAAATGGCCATCGCGTTTTGCGGCTTCCGCCTTATCATTGCCAATTTAATGCGTTCCATCAATCCCGTAACATCTGGTGTTTTTATGGTCTGAAGCACTTGTTCAAGTAAAATAATAATAATAGTTCTGATGGAGCCCTGAGGCTTGGGAAGAGAAAACGTTGTTCTAATATTCTCCCAGTAGTCATCCATATGCATGAATCAGACTCACAAGATTATATTTTTTCCAATGATGACTCGTTTTTGTTCCCCTGCTTTGCTCTTTGCGTTATTGGCTTTCTTTGTTGTTTTTTCAAAAATCAACCTATCTAATTGATATTTGTTGTCTTCTATATATTTGATTCATTTTATTTTGTCCGTTCATATAAACACCAAGTTGCCATGATATCATTTAATCAAAATTATAATATGTACCTAAGTACATGGAATTTTTGCGAATAACCGTTTCGTGACCTTGTTTCTAGTAGATTCTACAATTTATTACAGGATGAATAACGTCCACGAAGCAAGAACCATTCCGAACGTAATTACTTTAACTATTGAATTAATTAAAATCGGAAAGCATCAGTTTATTACTGGATGTCGTAATTTGACCCGTCAGTTTTGTTTGACATACGTGTCATTTTTGATTACGTCATTATACTTGACGTAACAGCACAGTAACTAACCAAAACTATACTACTTTTTGGTGAAACGAAAGAAAGCGCTAATTGATTTTCATGGTTAATTTTCGGTTTGATTGAAAATAACCCCAACAGTCGATATTCTCAAAAATTATATATTTGCCGAAACAGAAAATAACATTAATAAAAAAATTGTTGTTGTGTATGGATCGCTTTGCTAACTTCCGTTCCAGTTTCAACTAACCAAAAAACATATTCTGAGAACGGAATTGAATTATATGTAAAATGTTATTATTAGTTGTTATTAATATGAATTCGGTCAGTTATCAAATAGAGAAGATACAAAAATGACAACAGCTTAAATCATAATAAGTGTATTAGGAACGGAAACCTGTCTCATTTCAATCATCTTAATCACTAAAAAATATTATCGGTCATGCAGTCCGAATGCCAATCCTCACCTGGGTAAATCCAATCTCCCTTGGGCAACTTGGCTCTTATTTCCACTCTTCCATATTTGAAGTGAAATTTTCCCTTGGTGGTGATTTGGGCTGAAGTGACGGGAGGAATAATAAACCACGCTTCCGGCCTTTGATAACACTCGGGCGAACCCTTGACCCCCGTGCATCTGGGTTAAAACGGAATGAGTTCGTTCCATTAAGAAAATTTTATTCGGCCATTATTTACCTATCGCCAAAATCGTATCCGGAAGACGTTCCCACGTAATTTTCGCCGTGAATTTTATCCGTGAGCACTGGGGTGATTACCAAACGGCCGTTTTCCGTTTTCATTGTTTCACTGTCGTCGTACATGACAAACTCGAAATCCTAAAACGGTAAACCTCATAAAATACCCCCCAAGAAGTTTATTTGCACGTTATTTTAAGTGAACAAAAATTTTGTTTAATACCGCTTATTATTACACTATCACATTTTTTAATTTATGTGAGAATTATAGAAATTTTAACTTTTTTTTAACTTTATTGAACTGCCCCCCCCCCCCACCCGGGTAAAACTTTTTGATTTACCGTTTGGAAAAAAAAGATTTAATACAAAAATAATCAGCAATTTGTAAGATATATTTTTATATATACAGGGTGTTGCAGAAATAATTCAAAGATAAAAGTTATATGTTTTTTAATGGAATACCCTGCACGCATGCGAGAGAAAAACTATTAATTGGCTTAAAGAGAACTTCGTGTAATTCATTGAACATCCAGCCTAGCAAGAAAGAATTGAACATTGAAAAGAGACGAAGATAATGATTTAGGGACTTTACTAAAAGTTGAGAAATATTTTCCATAAGAAAAATTAGAATTAGGAAGAATTAGGAATAAAAACAATACAAGCGGTTTTACTATAGAAAACAAATTTTATATGTATTATAATTCCAGTTATTTTTGATCAATTCTTAGCGTTCTGCATATATAATTTAAGTTTGTCTTAATAATGCTTATATGACGCTGAGAAGTACTCAGACCTGATCCACACTCTCAGACTGTTCCATATGCCCAATAACACAACTCACATAAATTTGCTATAAATACCAGCTCAGTCGATTACCTTGCCGGTTTTTTATAAATAATTTATAAAATTTATATAATTTATAAATCGTTCTTCTAATCTTATTAATAATGCAGTTGATGTTAATGTCAAATTTTAAATTTGAGTATATATAAACAACTAGAAATATACCATTTTTCTGGCATTTCAATGGCACAAACATGGCAATGTTTTGATCCATAAATCAATATTGTTAAGACTGATGATTTCGCATTGGTTAATGTAACAGCGTCATCAGCAAAGCATACACATACAACCATTAACAGATAAAATGTCTACTCAGGTAGGCTAAAAATGGCACAGGGCCATTAAATTTTTCATTTAATTTTTAAATTCAATACATTTCGAAGCAGCATTGAGTGTCCATGAAAATGGTTTTATACCCCTAGTTAACATTTTTATTTATAAACTCAGTAACACCCTGTATTGCATTTTAGTTTCTTAGGCCAGATCTTAAGCCAAACTGTGTCGGGGAAATTTCAAGAAATGACACACGAATTTCAATTGGCATGGGAGGTGCGAAGAAGAGTAATTAATAATAGTTTACGGGGTCATATAACGGTTTTATTTACAGATTTACTGATTTGACACAATTTTAAGAAGCGCTTTGGTTATGGAAGTAATTTTGAGGTTCTGTACAAAGGATCACGCTCCATTAGCATTTGATCAAATTTTAAAGATTAAGGGTGTGAAAAATTCTGATTTGTTAGATTTTAAGCAGCAAAAATGTAGAACAGTAACTAGAATGTTCTTCACCACTGATGGAAATTTCTTATCTGCTACTGGAACCACTAGATCACGAGTTTTTCACTTTCACTTACGGGATCGAGTGCGTATTTCCTCTGGATGGTCCAATCTCTCGCTATACCCTCGGGGGTAAACGAGCTGTTAAATATTAGTTTTCCTTTACAAGTTTCTTTCGTATTTACGGTGGTCGGCGTGACTTCACAAACATTACCATCTACGTCGATCCTGGGGGGGATCGCAGGTGCTATTGTTGGTTTGGGGGCAGGTTTTCCTTTTACCGGTTTTGGCAACAACTCTACAATTAAATAATGAATTATATGCAAAGTACTATTTATTTAACCAGCTCCTTCTCGTCAACAACAACCGATGTTAAATACTATCTTAGAACCTGCAGGATAAGGACCAAATATACAACAATTTAATTTTCCTTATAATGCTCCGTAAAATTGATTTATTTATAGTGCACTTGCAAATATTTGTCAAAATGCTTTCTAAGGATTGCTATTCCCTTTTTATTTTTAGTTGAAGAGGATATTTGTGAATGGATAGGTAATCGATCAAAGCTACTGCCCAAAGATTCGTCATCGGGACCTAGAATAATCAATGCAAAAACTTAATGTGAGGATGATTCTCAACAACGTTTAATTAAAGCCAAACCTAATAGCAAAAGTGTTGTCAGACTTGACCTTAAAAGTGGAAAATTATACTGTTACTTGTTTCATTACATTTTCTATGAAATTTATTAAAAATTTAAAAAATGTTTTTTCATTGAATACGAATTTGGGACTTCCGGAAGTTGCGCTTTTTTGTAACTGAATTCAAAATAAATATCATTTTCTAACAAATATTCCTGGATTTCAGTGTTCGAACTCAGCAAGGCTTTGTGGAGCAAATGGCTGGGGTAGCTTGCAATAATACATAATGTCACTATTAAATAAAACTATATTAAGTAACTAACTTTTTTAAAAGAAAGAATTAAGAAAAAACAATTACAAACGGATCTTTCATTTTAAATTAATCTTGAGTAATGCAAAAGGTTTTGAGACAAAACATTTTAGCTTCTTACAGAAATGGAAAAACGTGTGTTTGGTACCTCCTAATTTTATATTTTTTTATCTATTAAAAAAATGAACGATTTTTCTTCCAACTCTATAAGGTTGCAACAAGGAGGAAAAAGAGATGTCCGCTTTAACAGATTCTGCAGCAATTTAGAAGCATCATTACAATTTTTTCAAAAATTTTCACTTTTAGGACGTGTTGAGGCATATTTTGGTTACTTTTTCAAAATACATTACATTACAATACATTAATACAAGTCGTCCTAAAAGTGGTAAAAATATCAAACTCTGTTCATTAAACTGAAAACCTTAGGAATTTTGGAATTGCTTTAATTTATATGCAAAATTGAACCATATTTTATAATCCTCGGGGGTTCTATTTAAAATAAAAATGTTGGTGCTTTAAAACTTTTTGAATAGCTTTTGCTCGGACCACTATATTCCGTGCAGTCTAACGAGAATAACCCTGTATATTTCTAGATGGGTATACTCTAGCGCACAAGAACTACCTACCGGTGACAGTAAATTCTTGGTCGTCCTTGGGGTATCCCAATTTATTGCGACCGTCAAAGTAATCGACGTACGTCCAATAATAAATGACATCGCCTACGTTCAGCTTTGTAATGGGGTCGTAGAAAGTCCACCGCCCATTTTTGGCTTTCGTTATGTCTCTGGAAAAGGTGCCCCCCTCCCGGCCGTTCATTTCTTCGTTGATTTTGCCATGGAATGCGAAGAGTTTGATCCCTTCCTGATCTGGAAACCGAGAGCTCCAAATATATTTTTCGAAACAAAATAGTTCCTAGTCACATTTGCAAAATTGTACGGCATGCGGCCCACAAAAACATTTTTAGCCCACCCTGTACTTCATCTACATCTACATCTTTTGAACATTTGGAACCTGCCAACCTATTCGACCATTTTTGAAAAATTGGTTACTATCACCATGAAATCTAAGCAAATTATGAACTTTATGAACTAGAAATCTCGAATCTTGCTCTAGAACCGTGATATGCAGATTTTTCATCGATATTCAAATGTTTTTTAATTTGTGTGTTTGAGCATAAGGTAGTGTCTCATATAACAGTTATTCCAAATTCATTGGCCTGTTAAAAGTATCTAATGCACTGTTATCAAATTTTCGTCGCAGGTTGAGGCATTTATTTTGAATGTTGCAGTATCGCCAGATCTACTTCACATCACTTGATTTCATTTATGGAATTGTTTTTTCATAATACCTGCAATAGTTTTTTATCACCTAATCATTCTAACTATAAAATATAATGGATAATGTATGCTGCAAAAATGGTGCTATTTTTTAAACACGCATTATTTAATAACTATTTTTTCCATAAAATAAAATAAAAATAGTCGCACATATGTATCGTAGGTGCAATAAATTTGGAATTTTGGAATTTTACGGGGTATTCCGTTTAAGATGCCAAAGTTGTTATAACTGTTTAATAAATCTGACACTATCGCTAGGACATTTTTGAAATAATGGACCACAGCCTCCTATGTCTTGAGCAAAATGTTGACAATATGTGATAATTTTATAAGTCGAATTGGATAATAAGATTGCGTACTGTATTGAATTGATACTTGCAATTATCTATGCCCCTCACTACACTTTTTTGAAGAAGTCCCATGAACCGACTGTTTTAATAAAAAAATAATTGTGTAGATGTATTTTAAAGATACCACACTAAGTGTTGTAGTAGTGGAGTGGATTTTTTGTCCAATATTATTATTTTTTTATGCCTAATCGCCCAATGTACGGTGGTCATCGATATAGCGAATGTTTCGGATTCATGTGTTATTTTTTCGTCAATGACCTGAGTTTAAACACTCCATTTTTTTGACGTCACTACCGAGACTATAATTTTATTATGCTAACAATTAGAAATAGATCAAATAGCTGCTCATTTAGCTGTGCCCCCCTCAAACAATATAACCGACGCAGGAGGAACACAGAAGTTTTATAAACAGTATAACTATAAATAATGCAAATCTAAGTTGGCCATACAAATGTAAGTTGGAAATGCAAATAAATAATTATTTGAAACCTGCCAATTTTTGTATTACCTTTCTTAATTAATTCATTGTTATAGGTGCTTAACCATGAATTTTTCGATGGTAGAAATGGCCGACATTTTAAAAGTGCTGCAATTCATGATTTTAATTGTTTAAATCTTGGATTTAATACATTTTTCCGCATTACATTTTGTATTAACAGGTAACGAATGCTGTTATCTGAAATGATTATACTAAATTCATCTCCGTAAACTTTTCGCGTTTCATGCGGTTGGACGATTTTCACGTATTCACCGCGATCTGGAAACCAGGTAAGAAATGAACAATTTTGTTAGGTCCGTTTCAGTACTCTAGTTTGATAAAATGCTGTTTAATCTGATTAAAATCTTTTGTTTCAACGTTGTACGGTTTCCCTTTTCGACTGACTGGCGACGGAGCGGTGCTTTGCTTCCAAAGTTTGTTTTTATAACTGAATTATTGAACACAAGATTGTTTCCAATATGAAGGAAAAACGCCGCAGCTTAGTGAAAAATTAAAAATTTTACATAAAATTTCGGATAGACGAATTTACAATTCTGCACCAGTATCACAGGTATACCGTCGGATCCCGGTCTTAAGGTTTGCTTTAAAATACTTATTCTACTGAAAACATCCACAACATTTAATTTTAAAAATCCTAGACTAACCTATTTATCACAAGAAAATGATGTATTGCATTCTGCATAATCTGAATAGATTGAGGTAAAATGTTGATTGAACATATTCGCCACTCTCTGAGTGTCGCTGATAATTTCATCATCAAGCGACATGCATTGTTGATACTCAAGGTTTTTCTTCTTTGAGTTCACATATCGCCAAAAGGACTTTTTATCAGTTAAATGATTTTCGAGCATTCCGATGTAGTCTCTATGCGAAGAAACAATTAAAGATTTAAGGTTACCATTCATCCACTTGGAAAATTTTGGAGTTCTATAGCGAACGATAGGTGTGAATTACTCAATAGCACAAAAGAGAACATCATAGAACTGCGAGACCATCAAGCCCACATCCGTACACTTAAATATATATTCCCAGCTGACATTTGACAAAAACAGATTAATTTCTGTGTAATTAGCACACTTATTATTATAATAAAAATAATCACATGCCATATTCCTGGGTGAGGTAATGAAGTTGCAAACGAAAGCCGGCCATTACGGAAATACATTTTTTCACGAAAACTAATAACTAATAATTAGTAACTTCAAGATAACTCTAAGATAAATGACCGTACCACTTATAAAATTGCTGGCACGTTATAGCTGGCGTCCAAAAACACTCAGTATATCACGGTTGGGTATGATATGGAACTTCGGTATTTCCAGATCGAAGCACGTATTTGGGTATTTCTATTTGCGATAAAAGCGACATGCAATAAACAATTTAATCTGCAAACTGAATTGAATTGTACATATTATCTAGTCGTCCATTCTTTTAGTTTACATACTTGCCATTAGTTTTATGATCTCTCAATCTAATAAAAACCAGAACAGAATTGGCTTATTCTAATTTAGGCAGCTTTATTTTCGAAGCTGAAGGAAGTTAACTATGCTACGAGAATTTTTTACATGCAATATGTCGCGGATACTTTATTACCTGGGATCGATACGCTAAATCCTTGCGGCGTATAAGCCTCCACTAGGGCGTCGGGTACTTCAAAATCCGCTAACACTGCACTCAAAGTCAGAAGCGCCACACACAAACTCTCGACCAACATCTTCGTCTCGGCGTACTTCAAGACACTGGCAGCTTAGCCTTCCGAAGGATCGGATTTCCAAGAATACGTATTCGCCAAACTAGTTTCTCCGATAATCTTCGTAAAAATAAACAAAAGCCAAGTAGCTACATCGCAAGTATGTAAATAACAGTTAACTTAAATTGGAAATTAATGCAGTATATGGTGCGTTTGCTTTAGTAGTGTCGATGCACGGTACTATAGTGCGTTTGCAGTCGGTAGCTGGGAATTTTGGTTGCTTTTAAGGAAAGGAAGAACGACGGTTTTTGGAAAATTTGGAAAATGGGCCCTTTGATTTGGTGTTTTACAGATTTTTCAAAGAAACTTCCATATACTATTCACAAAACTTCTAGATCCGTCCTGTGTCAGTTGTTATGAGACTGTCTCACATTCTACTCTGCTTATAAAGCGTTTGAGGGAGCGGAGCTAAAGGAGGGGCACGAACATTGTATCGGATAACTGACTCCCATATTGGTGAGAGGTAAAGATCTGAGTCGCCGTTAAGATTGGTTGATTCTAAATTGCTTATCAATTTCTTATGGAACTCTTTAAAGCCTTCAATCTAGAACGAAATTTATGGAAACCCTACCAGATTTTTTGAACCATTTAAACTCTATACACTCTAACATACATTTTTCATATTTTCATGTCAATAGAAAATCAGACATTGGGCTATTCTGCCTACAAAAAAACTACGCATACACAAACCTTAATGCATTGTCCCATCACCATCCACCACATGAAAGATATTAAGCGTTCCATCACAAAATACACTTCACGAAAACCTTTCAAAGGCAATGGGTTCGAAACCAAATCGCCCTCCCACTCACCCCTACATTCAAAACATCATTGACCACATGTTAAAAGTTCTTAATACATATAATGTCAAAAATCAAATTTCCCAAATGTCCAAATCTCTCAACAACTTCGATCCATCAAAAACAAAATTCCGTTCGGGACAACAAGTCAATCAACGAAAAATCGGAGAAACAGTGACTCTGGTCTTCACCGTCGTTCACTAATATACTAACTAACGAAATAAAGTATTTGACTTTTGTAAATACATTACAATTTTTACAACAACTATAAATCATAATTTGTAAAAGCAGCAATCTCCATATACCAAAAAACATATACTTTCTCTATACTGGGAAAAAAGTAAAAATATTGTTAATACAATTTTCCAACAATCGGTACAAAACAAATTGGTGCTCTCCCAAGCTCGTTATCTACGACATATGGAAGTTAATCTTCGGCATTTTAACAAACACTGTACAGAAAGATATAGACATAATTTACTTAACAAAACAAGACACACAAAAACTTTCCAAGTAGACGATATTGAAAATAAAAATTGCTCTTGCTCTATAGGGTGGGTTTACCATGGGCAATTCAATGAATTTACAAGAAAGCAATAAATGTAATGTATTAAAATAAACACATGTCTAGGCACAGTCTTTATTTTCCGATAAAAATTATTGGAAAAAAATGCGTTTGGTACAAAACAGACAAAAATTCATAAAATTTAAAAAAAGCTAACCAAAACTTAAGGTCTAAATTTTTTGATACTTGTTTAACGCTACATATTAGTTTACCAAAATAATGGCTTTAGCATATGTTTCGATTAGATTAGATTAACAGTTGGGAGAGCTAGCAGTCAGCCTGTCACTGCGACCCAGAGGATCTATTGTGACTCTCAACAATACAATAACAATCTGGCTAATTAAAGCCAGCTAAGGATTTTTGTATGTTGCTAGGTTAAATAATAATAATAAATTAATTCAATTCAGTTACAATCAAGTTAAATCCATTGACAACTGACTACGACGAAAGCCAGAAGATTTGTAAATTCCTTTTTTTTGTCTTGCATCTCGCCTTCTTTTACCTTAAATACTACTACAACAAATAATATAGCAAACACTCGGTACAATAGCCCTTAGACTCCCATAATGACAAATGAATCAATATTTCATTTGTTAAGCATGCTAACATAATATTATAAATACCTATAGATAACCTATACCTATATAATTATACGTGCTCGTCTGCGTCGAGTGTCACGAAGTCCCATTGAAAAATGGGAAGGAAGAAGGTCTGTTCTGATCTTGTGATTAGTTTACAAGCGACCTCTGCTGCACACTTGATTAACCCCTTTGACGTTCTTATGGTCATCAAGGTTCACTTGATTTCCAGACAGATCAAACTTGTCTCTGATGTCCCCTGCCCCGGGAGCAGTTACTGTTACTACTAAGTTGCTAGGTTTCGAAATCTTAACCCAGCGCCATCTTCTTGCCGAAAGCTAGCCGCAATGCTATTATGCTATTGATAAAACACTGCCTGAGAAATAATTCGCTTACCAAACAACGTCCCATTAAATTCAATGCCGTCAAGTTTAATATCAGCTGATTTATTTTCGTCAGAGTAACTATATTGTCCCACATGTTGACGTTAATACCGCGTGAAGTTTAATTTTACAATTTGGCACTCTCGCGCGTGCCGTGAAACCGAACACTCGTTGAGTGCCCGAAACTGTTGCCATAGCAGGGTAAGTTGCGTTTAAATGTTTGCGCGATCACAAAATGTGTAAGTATAATTAATTAATGGAGGGTAGTCGACGCCTGCGAATCGAGTACATGCACTTTGCAACTTGCAACCATCCAAAACTAGACCTTTTGAGTTTTAACTGTCAATTAGCAATATTAAGCTACTACTTTGTAAAAGCTATTGACATTTGGTTGGTATATGGGATTTGGCTGTAGGAAAATAAAAAAGGCTATAGCGGCTGATCTAAATTTTCATTTCATTCATTTTCAACAAGATGACGGGATGACAACCATTTTCAACAATAAATGGACCTATTCCTTGGGCTCCTAGGTTACCAGATATTTCTATGCTTGATTTGAACATGTGGGGTTATTTAAAAGACGAATTTATAAGGAATCAAAACGTTGATGTTTAAAGCAAAAATAAGCCAGGTAGATAACAATACTAAATGCAATTCGCTCAATAAAAAAAGTGTTCAAAAATGTATTGAAGTACGAGGGGGTAAATGGGGGTTTATTTCGCAACGCTTAGTCTAGAAGAAAAATGTGTTCATAATTCGTTTATTTTCAATTTTAGGCTAATATTGCATATGACCTATTTTGTTCTGTTGGTGATTTGCGAACGTTAGAGTAAAAAATATACAGTTTCAGTGAAGCTCTGAAGAAGCCAACAGGATGATTGGCGAAACGTCAGCAATTTCGACTAAGCAAAAAGGAGGAATCCAGAAGTTTTGTAAAAAGCATTACAGTAGCCTGTGGAAGTTTCTTTGAAAAATTAAATTAATTTGTTAAATAATTTTAACAGCTTTTTTCTTATATTGTGAATTGATGGATTTTTTGCGTTATACAGTTCAAAACAGTTCAAATTTTTATATAATTTATTTAATTATTTTTGTAGAAAATTAGGAACTCTAATACAATCAATTAAAATCTGATTATTCGCACATTAAGCATTTAACACGGTGACCATTAAATTCGCAAAAAAATTGCAAACTGCAAAAACTTCAATCTGCAATTATAGAAATATCTTATCTGATTTATGATCTTGTCTAGAGATTAGTTTGAGTACAGAAGTGTACAAACCACACGAGGCCAGCGCCAGTTGTTAATTACATATGAAAAACACCAGTAAGATAAAGATGCTCGAAAATGTGCTCAAATTTCCGACGTGGTTCGAATCCATGGGAAACGAAACTGACCTGGTAAAGTGACGCTTCCCGCACGCTAGCTCGGTGGGTAATTAGGCATTTCACATACGGGAGTAGAAAAATAGTATATTATGCAACAAGTGCGGTAAACGGCATTCGACTCTTGAGCGATTTAAAAAGTTTACCGAACGTGTTGCATACTATACTTTTTCTACATGACCGTCAGAATTGACAAAAGTCAAAATTCAAGTCCTGGGAAATATCTCCGAAAATATCCGATCGCTCCCGAAGCCTTGCTGTAAAATCTCGGCAATACCCGAAGGGGTTCGAATCCGTGGGAAACGAAATTGACGTGGTAAAGTGACGCTTCTTGGGCTATAGATCGGTGTGTAATTAAGCGTTTTACAGACGGGAGCAGAAAAAATTATTTACTTTCGGTGATTTATATATCGAGTGGTGGAATATAGGAAATTGTATAACTCAACTTCTCTGGTAAAAGCAACGTAAACTAATAAAAAAATGCTAAAACGGGACCATATTGAAACAATATGTTACCGAAGCAATGTGTTAATGTTTTTTGTTTTGTTTTAATTTTGACAGTATTCAGCACTTGGTAATAAATTGTTTGTCAATCTGAATTTAAACAAAAAGTATAATTTTATACATGCAAAAAAGCGACGACAGATCACAATGAATCACAATGAAAAATGGCAATGTCGACTTTGTAAATGACCAACCTATCAAAACGACCAACTCGAGTGAATCACCGTACATAGATGAAATGAATAAAAACAATCAACAATCAACAATAAATACAGATCCACTAATTTTTTAACATTGTCCATCATCGTTAGGAGTCCACATTAAACTCGTTTTATAATAATATGACCGACCATAAACCACAAATAAGTATGGAAGTATTTAAAAAAAAATAAAAAATCGCCTTTGCAAGGGTATAAGCAAAAATCATTTCTCGAAAACTAATCGCTATTATTTGTACAAATTTTTATATTTATCATAGTTTGCCGTGACTTTGAAGTTTAGCGATACGTGAAAGTTTCGATCGATTTTGCGAAAGTTCCATAGTGGTCCGCAGGAGCACGATAGAGAAACAATGCGTCCCTTTTTTGACAAGAAACCGCAAAGCGGCTTTTTTTTGAAATACAAAGCTATGAGTAGCACCATATATAAGCTTTCTTTTGTTGACAGGAAAAAAATTATGTGAGGCATAAAAATATCCCACTTTAAGCAATAACTACAAGACTCTCTCTCTACTAAAGAAATTGCTCTTGCCAAAAAGAGGCATGTAGTACTTTTATTAGTAATTCCGAAATAAATATGAAATAAACATTTGTTATTCAAAAACTAAACACTCTAACATTTATTGCGAGCATCCACTTTACCAGGGTGGCTGAAAATATTATTGATCTACCCTTCTTACGTACTCCTTTGAAGTTAACATTACAATACACTCAGGAGACTTATGCTTTGTTGCGAGAACGAGGGATTTCCTGCTTGCAAAGGTAGTGTCAGATATCGTTAATGTTAAATATTAAAATGTTAAAACATAATGAGAGTCACGCCTTGATGTTTTCGATCCCCTACAAAAAAAAGCCAAATTGTTTTCTAATGAGGTTCCTGCGCAGGTGATTTAGGTGCGGGCTTAACAAATTTACATTTCTCAAGTACATGTCAGCATTAATGAATTTTGATTTTTAATAATAAGCGTTGTTAAACAGAAAGAAACCTTTCTACGTTCTCAATTAGTAATCTCTCTTGAGCGATTTTTTGCACCGTTGACCCACCCTAGAACGTTACACCAACTAAGAAGTTTACGGTTCAGTGGCTTACCTTATCTTGGCAAAATAACTTTAAATTAAAATAAAATAATAAATTAGAAACGAAAGTCAATAAATTTAATAATAATATTGAATACAGGTGACACAAATTCCAAGTTTTTTGTAACCGAAAAGCAACTTCTTTCTACATGAAAGTAAGATAATAATTTCAAATTTTATTTATTTATTATTTTACTCCGGGTATGGTTATTTTCGAGCCATTCATTTGGAGATCTTTCTTGACACACGTTTAAATCAGCAAAAAATCATTTCGACGTTAAGGAAACGCTTTGCTCGTTACGCCACTGGTATGTAGACGCAAAAGTAGATCAAGTTCAACATCTTGCGATCTCTTTCGGACTTTACGAATCAATCAATCGGCCAGTTTCACCAATTTTATAATTGCTGATGATTTAGTATCGAAGTACCCGTGCTGGTGTGTGCTCCAACAGGGTCCCTGAAACATTTGTTAGTACGAAGGTGAGCAAATTGACGTGTATATCGGAACTTATCACAGACAGGACAGAAACCAAAATCAGAGGATTAGAAAATCTCTTTTAATTTTGAGTGGATTTTTAAGAAAAAATACACGTATTCAGATACGAAATAATCGTCTTCATAGAAATACAAAACTTTATACAGCCAAAGGTTATTTGCAAAAATTAATATTTTTAAAAAATTACCCCTTATAATTTGGAAACGATACCAGATAACAGATAATAATTATTATAGTTTTCAAAGATATATCCTCAACAATTTTTTAATGTGTTAATAACACGAAGATCCATTAGCACCTACAAATAGTATGGTTTGAAGGGTGTGGGATACAATAATACCCAGGGGATTTTTGTAAATATACCAAGATAGTTATGGCGCAATGCTACCTTTAAAAATAAGCAGCCTAAGATGCAAAATGGAAAATCAATTACAACATATACTATAATAATCGGGTTTTCAAAATACGATTCAAAAAATAATAATATACATTGACACTAGCCAATATTTGATAATTTTCTGATTAAAATTTCTATCTATCTATTTCTAAATTGCTATCAAACGCTTTCCAAATATCGTAAAGTATCAGAGGCACACGGTCGCCATTTTCCAGAACATTAACGATCTCTGACACTACCTTTCCAAGCAGGAAATCCCTTGTTCTCGCAACAAAGAATAAGTTTCCCGAGTGTATTGTAATGTTAACTTCAAAGGCAAAGGTAAAGTGGATGCCCGCAATCAATGTTAGAGTATTTAGTTTTTGAATAACAATTGTTTATTTCATAATTAAATAATCTCCAAGAATCTCGCGATTTATTTTCGGAATTACTAATAAAAGTACTACATGCCTGTTTTTGGCAAGAGCAATTTCTTTAGTAGAGAGAGAGTCTTGTAGTTATTGCTAAAAGTGGAATATTTTTATGCCTCACATAATTTTTTTCCTGCTGACAAAAGAAAGCTTATATATAGTGCTACTCATAGCTTTGTACTTCAAAAAGAAGCCGCTTTGCGGTTTCTTGTCAAAAAAGGGACGCATTGTTTTTCTAACGTGCTCCTGCGGACCACTATGGAATTTTCGCAAAATCGATGTCATTATATCATGCATACGCCTTTCACGTATCGCTAAACTTCAAAGTCGCGGCAAACTATGATAAATATAAAATTTTGTACAAATAATCGCGATTTTCAATGATATTGACACTGACACTCTCTCTCGACATAATTCACGATACTGCTTAAACCAAATTATCTTATGTTTTCTAGTTTTTCATTTACGGCTAACAATTTAACCAACGAAAACGGCAATTTTCAGAGACTTTTTGATTTTTTGCCCATAATCGACACACCCTATACATAATCGAACCAAAAATTGGATCTGCCATGTTTCCTGGTCCAGTAATTTTACCGATCGAATAAATTGTTTTTGAAAAAATATTTTTTTTCTGAAACCAATAATCAATAACGTCATGGCGTCTTGACTGAACGCGAGGAATACTGATTTTCATATGACGCCGTTTGAACCGATGAGCCATATTTATTTCTATTTTTGATTTGCGTTTAATAATTTACTCTGGAAAAGAACAATTTTCTGGGTCTTTTACATTTTTGTCTACAATTTGAAAACCCTGTATATAATGGCGTCTGCTGGTTATGGAAAAAAGCATGTTTTTCTGGAAGTCAAAATAAACAAAAAAAAATACTTTTTTTAAATACTTGGTGAAATTTGATTGCACCCAATTTCCACTGTTTAAATGCGGACATAGACTTTCACTTCTCTGCTAAATTTGAAGTCCATATCTGCAAATTTAGAACACTTAACAAATTTGTCATATAGCACGAAATATAGGGAACACCATTTACAATATGACACATATCGTCCTGTAAAAGATACCAATTTTCACTATTAGGGGGCTCCATATTTCAGGTTTTTTGAATATGCGGCGCACCCTCTACATTGTTGACAAATTATCAAAAATAAAAGTTTACGGAGCCAAATTTTGTGCGTCTTTTAGTTCAAGAATTTTTTCAATTGCATAAACTGTTTTCGAGATACGATTTCTTCTTAGACCCTTGCAAAGGCGATTTTTTATTTTTTTAAAATACTTAAATACTTATTTGTGGTTTATGGTAATATTATTATAAAACAAGTTTAATAAACTCTATTTTAGTCACGAGTTTGATTTGGCCCGAATAGAGCGGGTGCCTGATAAACGATTTACTGGGTATTTTGGAGTTGGAATAAAAAAATGTTTCTGGAAGTAAGTAAGAAATATTGAAACGTAATGAAAAAACAACAACGAAAGAAACCATTTAATAAAACAAGTTTAATAAACTCGATTTTAGTCACCATTTTGATTTGGCCCGAATAGAGCGGGTGGACTTGGAGTTGGAATAAAAAAAAATGTGCCTAATAAACCATTTACTGGGTATTTTGGAGTTGGAATAAGAAAAAAATGTTTCTGGAACTAATTAAGAAATATTTAAACGTAATGAAAAACAACAACGAAGATTTCCATCTTTTGCTTTAAAACTTTGATGTTAATTTTCTATAACTTAAGTACCGTCGATAAAATAAATTCCGGTCGAAAATCCGGCTTGTCGCGCGTGGTTTGTTAACGTCAACCTTAACCTTGAACGTGACCTTCAGCAGTGCCCCAATCCCATCGCTTCTTTGCTTCTGGGGGTCACTGACACACGCGCGTACGCGACTGGGACACTGCTTGTTCCGGTTCGTTATTTAGAAGTCTGTCAGTCTGGGAGGCGACTGTAACGTGGTGAAAAAAACAGTTAGCAAGTACATATGACGACAAATTGTGACTGTGCAATTGGAAACGTGCTCTCCTACGCGTAGGTAGTGATAAAACGTGGCTGTGCGTATTTGGTCGTCCCGGACTTTCTCCGCAATTGTGGGGTACGACGATTCGCCACCGTGCTCGTCGGATAATGTCAAAAAATCGTCCCCACACGCGGTCGGAATTGTGCTTGTTCGACCGTGGTTTTTCTAAAATTTGCAGTATTAAAATACGCATCGGTGATGAACTTCGTAGTTAAAAGTTTAGCAGTATTAATCGCGATCCTAAGTGCACTTGTGGGTGTGTATTATGGTAACGGCCGATCTTTGTCGTCGCTACCGACCGACTTGAGATCCATTACGGGATAGATTGCCGAGACCGTTTTCCAAAATGGTAATTTTTAAAGGTGTTGCTAATCCCAAATCATTACAATTTTGCAAAGGTCAGACGATAATTCAGTATACCTAATATAATTTTTAACATATCAGGATCCCATTTAACAATAAATATTATAATTAAGAATGTCAAGATTATATCACACGTTTCGGAAGTATTATTATACCGCATTAGTAGAACGTACGAGAACGCTTAAATATCTCCAAAATCGCCAAAGCTGGAACCATGGAATTCAATGCCCGGGGGTTTTGGGACACGCAGGATTCAAAAGCGCTAACCGCAATGTTGTCAATTTTTGTTGGAATGAATTGCACGAATTTATTGATATATTTTAATGGCTGAGCAATATATAATAATATATATATATATATATATATATATATATATATATATATATATATATATATATATATATAAATAGCAATTTTGGAAAACAGCGACTAACCAAAACTTGTTTTAAAGAAGCATATAAAAATATAAAAACGAAAAAACTAACATTACAACAGCACTTACTCTAATTTTGTCATAAAAGAGACCAAGACAGCGGTTGAATACTTTCAAGTTTCGAGTTAAGGAAAAAAAATAACCATAGTTGGCGTACTGAAGTTGGTATACTGTAGTTATCTGTCAGAAGAATTATCTCCAGTGCTATATTTTTGCATAATATTATTAATAGTAGGATTGACTGTCCGTTACTGTTGGAAAAATTATCCTTCAATGCCAGAGTCGTTATAACAAGAACTCCTTCATTATTTTACGTGCCTAGATTTAATACAAACTTAGGTAACAATTCCCCAATATCTTTTACATACACATTACAATAATCACTTAATTCGTTTCGAAATCAGGCAATTAGGGTTTTTCTATAAATTTATTTTAATTTTTGATTTGTTTTCCTTATTTTTTCACATTTGTTTTTTGTAATTCACGCACTTAATATACAGTGTTAGTTTTGGTTTAGTTTGGTAAGTTTGATTGTTATTATTTTTTTTTATCTTCTGCTTATCGTAGATATAGGTAGGTACTTACTTATAAGTTTTACTTTGTTAATTAAATAATGGTATAATTGTTAGTGTGTCCCTGTAAATTGTGAAGTTAGTTCTTCATGTTAGGGCACCTTTGTAATAAATAAATAAATAAAATAAATAAATAAACATGGGATAGTTTTGACTGGATGAGAGTGTAAATATCGGAGTGGGTTCTTCTAATTTCCAGATCATCTATTATAAAATGCTCGCATACCAGATCATAATCTGATGAAGCCAAAAGTTAAATACAAAAGTTAATTGGTGTATTGCAAGCTAATTTGTTTTAATTTTGTATATACAATTTCTCGTGGGCGAGTATCAACTTTCTAATTTTAACTGAAACTCCTGGAATATTACTTTATTTTTGAATTCTGTATAAAATTCTAGACATATTTTGTATATAATGTCCTTTACCTAAGTCTAACTGTTTTTGATATTTTTATTTGTTTATGAGAAAAATGACTTTCGCAAGACGTGAAATATCTGTCAATTTCTTCAATGCATTTATTGTTTGACTTGAGTAAGTTGAAGACAAATGACTCCAATAACCAATTTCATAAGAAATGTCGATACATATTAATACAGGTTGCGCGAAAAACAAGATTAAAAATGAAATAAAAAAAATTGCGAAAAACTTTTTTTTTTTAACGGAAACTACTTATTTTCATAATCTTGTCATATTTAGCATTAAAAATTAAGGCAATTTTATATAAGGTTGTATATGCCTAATATTTTTACTTTTTGAAATATTTCCATTAAACATATCTCTATTACAAATAATTTGCTTTTGAATAATAATTTCAGTTAGTGTAAGGTGGCTATGACGGCGTTTGACCAAAACAAGTGGTAAAGTGCTGCCACTATGATTTACCATTTCATAGTTGCCCATAATCTTGCTGATGTGCTTATGAAAAAATTAATAAGTTGGCGGCTTGTGTTTGTAAACTAAATCTTTAAGTGTGCATTTTAATAGGCGCTAATTTATTGACTTGCGTGATAAGGAGCGCCATCCTGCTGCCAAATTAAGTTTCGTTGTTCCCTTTCGGGAACAATGAGATGAATAATATTTAAAAGCGTTGTCAATTTAAATTCTGTTCAAAAAATACTGGACCTTTTAGTCTCAACATCCAAATGGTGCACCATACTTTGTTCCATATATTCTAAAGTGTTTGTAAATCCTGTGGAAGATCTTTTTTCCTGGGCTTGACTGAAATTCAGTTTCAGTGAAGCTCTGAAGAAGACAACAGACAATAGTTCGACTCAACAAAAACCGATGCCTGAGGAATGCGTTTCTTTGAAAATAAGAAACGCACATAGTGTGTTAGAACAACTCCTACAAATTCTTGTAGAAAAATTGAGGATGGTGTTGGTGTTCCAAAATCAACCATTCAAGAAATTTTAAAAAGGCACAATTTTAAACCATATAAATTCAAGAGGGACAAATAGCGAAAACTAGAATTTCTATAGGAAAATGATCTTGCCTGATGAATTAAGCTTATTATAGCAGTGCAGGCATTTTAAACAAGAAAATTTTGTATATACGGAGGTAACATCACAGTGAAGAGATATCTGCCAATACTTTACAATTTCTTTTTACAAAAATCAGCAATGGAAGAAGGGTTGAAGCATTAGACAAAACACAAAAATTTTGCCAATGTTGGTCAACAGATCATCTTTTATATTCTTCAGTCTTTAGCAAAAAAATGGCAAGAGACACTTACAAATTCTAAAAAGTTTGCATTTTTCAAACAACGAGAATGCTAAAACTGGTAATAGATTGCATAAAGTAAGACACGTGGAACAAATAAAGCAAAAAAAACAAAATGGTTGTACTGAATGAGTGATTAACTATTATAATCAAATGGGAGCAGTAGACCTTTCGGATATGATGATGAGCAGCGTTGATCGTATGCGGAAGACCATAAAATGGTACAAGAAATTATTCTTTCATAGAATGGGTATCTGTGAATGCACATGCCATGTTTTTGATGAAACAGGTTGGCCCAGTGTCGCTTGCTAAGTTTCAACAAAATCTTCTGCATGGTATTTTCAAAAGGTTTCTATCAATTTTATTGGCTATTATTGCTGATTTCTTTTTCAAGTTCTTCTGTTTAGTGACGTTAATTTTTGTTGTTGCCACTGCCAACAAGCCCACTTTCGTTTCTGAAATTGCTGATATAGCTAGACTATAGAGCAAACATTTCTCCACATTAGTTTCCTCAACTGAAAAGACAAAAACCGCCTCTAGAAGATATGTTGTATGCTCACACAAAACGGAAAAGGAAAAACAAAGAAAGGTTTCCTGATATATGTGTAAGGAATGTGTGTAACTCCATGTTGCCAGATCTACCACACAAAACAAATGCTTTAGGCATTTCTTATAATGAGTTTTATATTTTGATTTAAGAATATTTTTTATAAATTCATTTACATCTTTTAATATTTATCAAAAGTTTGTTGGTTAAAAAAATATGTTTTAAATTAAAATAAAGGTAAATGATTAAAAAAAGTTTTTTTTGTGTTTTTTACAAAGGGCCCCATAAGTACCTATGACCGATATATATGATATTCGTCCACTGGACACGTAAAAAACAGCCGTGCCTGAAAGGGTTAAAAATACTCAATTTTATGTCAAAACATAAAAAAAATCTGAAAAAACTAGCTACTCCATTGGACTCTACGTTAAAAATCCCTATAGACGTATTTTTATGTTTTCGAAAACTTGAATATTAACTAAGGGTGCCGCAAACCGCGAACTTTTTAAAATCATCCTGTAGCCTAATACGGAACAGGATAAGAAAATTCTGTTGTAGTTTTACTGAACCGAGATATCCCGCAACGAAATTTTGGACACATGAACTTCTTCTCAATATCGACCAACATTTATCAAGTTGCGGAGAATAGGATTTTCGATTTAATGAACAATCTGTCTTGTCACATTTTATGATTCATATCTTGTTCAGTTTTCGCAGGTTTCAATTAAAATCAACAAGAAGTTTGAAATCATTGATTCCGAATGTATGCTTCGCGAATATTTGAAAAAAGTAGATAAAAAAGATACCAAAATGAAAGTCGCCCAGTATTTTTTACTTTTTACGATATTGTTGGTAGAATTGAAATTTGAAACGCGTACAACAGTTAACAGAAATTTACCTACAGATACAATTAACAATTTGGGTATCAGAATTTGTTATTAATTTTACGCGACCGATCTATAGTCAACATATTATATTTCTGCTAAAAAACAAGCTAGATTTTCAAGATATTCCAAATGTCAATATCCAATATCTTGAATGCTCTCATGGCTATTAATAACCTTTTATCTTAAGTTACGTTACTCGCCACGTGTCTTAATTTGTGGTAAAATCATTATTCAATATGGAATAATAACTAATCGTTGGTAAACAAACACGTTGTCGGTGGCGCAAAATCTCTCAAACAACAAATTCCAACCTTAATAAAACTGAAAACCAAATTCTTAACTGGAAAACTAGACAATATTTTTTAATTTATTCGGACGACCTTTTCGATGAAAGGATTTAATAGATAATTATACCATCCACCACCCAGGAAGTGATTTATTTACTTTTATTATGTATTATTAGGAAGGTTACAACGCAATGACAAATGCGGTTGAAAGAAAATAATATTCAACAATTTAGAGTCGAATCTGATGCAATTCTAATCAATCTCGAAGGCGGTCTTTTGTTTGATTGAATAAATCTGGCTAAAAATATATACTGCCCAACTATATAGTTATTAATTATTATTATGTAGGTGTGAGATTAACAAGGGTCTTTCGGAGGTAGTATCATCTTATCTTGATATTATTACTAAAGACAGCAAACCTTATTTAATAAAAGAAATCAAATTCTGAGCATACCATGTCCGTATATGTTAAATGCTAGTATAAAAACTCATTCTTGAGAAACTCAGACTCATATAAATTTAACACTAGAAGTAGGAATGACTTCTTTGTAGATATCAGCAGGTCGTACATTTCATATAAATCGCCAAAAACATTTGACTGGTAATTTTTAGCAACCTACCTGCAGAAATAAAAAATTGTGAATTGGATTTCAGATTTCATTTTAATTGTAAAAATTCTTCTAGTGACAAGTTAATGAATTCTGTTAGTTGGGTTTAATTTAGAGTGGTACGCTGCAAAGTAAGTCAGTGGATAAACCATTGCTTTCTCCAGGAAAAACTTGGTGTTTTTTATATGCATCGTGAATGAAAGTTTTCTTGATCCACAACCACGAGCAACGATATTTTAGCATTTCTTCACAGTAATCTTCCAAATCATCGACATTTATATCCTCACAAACTCCCGTCCTAGCCAAGTCAACCTGTAGATTTACTAGTCGTTTCTTTTTTTAATAGCCATTGACTTTGATATATTTTATCATATATTATTATTATTAACCGGCCGAAACCCATCAAATTGTAACATAGTCTCCTTCAACGGTGTTGGTTTGTACTTCACTGTATTTTATTTGATAACAACAAAATTGAATAGCTGTCATGGGAAGTATAGACTTATTACAGGAATATGGTCCTCTTGTCCGCCAAATTCGCATGTTTTGTGTCATCATCGATATTTTTTGGTTTGGTTTTTCTTAACTTTATTTGAGAAATTTTAGTTGACCTGCCCCCCACCTCCCTCTCCACAATCGTCCATTAATAATGTAAGCAATTCAACCGTTCATTCATTCATTCTTTCATACATTCTAATATAATTTTCTTCTTAACATGCCCTACACGTCGTGCGTTGGCGACTATCTCACTCAACTAGGTTCTACTGATAGCATAGTGATAAAGCTCACCAGTGTTATTTATACCTGTCCGATGTTTTATATTACGCAGCCAGGAAATTCGCTTACTACTCACACCTCTCCTACCCTCGATGTTGTCTTGTAGGGTTAACTGTGGGATTTGTACTTTGCCCCTATAAGTATGTGGCAGCGGAGGCTAATTTTACTTTTTTTAATTATTTCAAAAAGCTCACTCTCTACTCCAGCTTTTCTGAAAACCTTCTCATTGCCAACATTCTCCTTAGTGACCATATTTCGAATGTCTCTAGCCCGATGTTTTTAGAATCCAAGTTTCCATGCCAACAACTAAAATCGACCATTCTATCATGGATCTTAAAAGAAAGAGACTGATTACAGAGGAAGGCTTTGAACCTAATAAATGCTTGTCTTGCCTGTTGCTAAAGTTGCTAAACTGCCACTGCGACAAATACTCTCTCTCTCTCTCTCTCTCTCTCTCTCTCTCTCTCTCTCTCTCTCTCTCTCTCTCACTCCCTCTATTATCCCTCTCCCTCTCTCTCTCCCTGTCCCTCTCTCTCTCTCTCACTCCCTCTATTATCCCTCTCCCTCTCTCTCTCCCTGTCCCTCCCTCTCTCTCTCTCTCCCTCTATTATCCCTCTCCCTCTCCTCGCTCTCCCCTCTCTCTATGCCTTCCCCCCCCTCATCTCTCTCTCTCTCCCTCTATTATCCCTCTCCGTCTCCTCTCTCTCCCCTCTCTCTTTCCCCTCTCTCTATGCCTTTCCTCTTTCTCCTTATCCTCTCTCTCTCCCTCTCCACCCCCTTTCTCTCTCATCCAGTGTTCTAGCTACGTCTGATAGCCTGGACGTTAATTAAAAAACATCTCGAGTGTATTGCTATAAAATATGTGGTTGGGCAGTGTATTGTTAACACTTAATTTGAAGAAGGCATTCGTAATTGTGGCGATTACGGGTTCATATAAATGATAACAAGCGCAATTCGACAATTCAGTCTCGATTGTGCTTTAGACGTGGAAAAACTCCCAGTATATTCGGATTGATCTCGTTTTGTAATACTATTCGTATTTAATAATTTATTTTCGTATTTATTTATTATTCGCCAAGGTAATTTTAGCAACCCAGAGTTTTCCGAGGACACAACCACAAGTGCCTTAGTCCTTTTGTTTCGTTTCGGCTGTCAAAAGAATATTTTGAATAACCAATAAACGGAGCATGAATTTTTTTTCCATTTTAGAAACCGTCAACGAACAAATTAGAAAGATGCCGAGCGTAGCACATGAGGCGACTACGCCTTTCAAGAAGGCGACATTTGGAATGGGCTGTTTTTGGGCAAACGACGCCCTGTTCGGTGCACAGCGAGGGGTCCTGCGTACCAGGGTTGGATATTCGGGAGGTACCACCCCGAACCCGGTATATAAAAACATGTAAGTACCCGTACCAAAAGCAATTTACACTTCACGTTGGTCTCGAGTGTTTAATTGAAACTTTTATCTTCGCGAGGGGTGGGGAGAATTATCTTATTAACTTTCAATCGCCGACGTGACTATCGCCGAAAAAAAGCTTTGTTGTTGTAAATTCGCGGGCTGAAAAAATACGATATTCGTGCAAAAGTTTGGCCATGGATTTTGAGTAGAATGTGCGGACGAGTGACAAAAAAATTCAGCTTATTTCCTGTGACATTGGAAGAAACGATAGAACAATTTCCGTGGAGTACCCTTTCAATGCTCCCTTAAAATATGCTAATTGAAATTCTGCCCATCACTTTCTAACACCTTTTCCCACTTTTCTGGAAAGACTCTGTTGGTTTCTAATTGCGATTCATGAATCCACCCATTTTTCACAATCCTGTCATTTGTCGTTTGTCATATTACGGCCATTTTTCTTATTCCGCATCAATTTTCCACTCAGAAAGTCCCGCTTTTTAGTTTCAGGTACATGCCATATTAATATAATAGGTTTTCTTGTAAAATGTAATATTTTTAATTTAATTTTAAACTAACACCTTTTTTTCAATCAAACTTTCTTTTCCTTTTTTAAATGCTAACGAAATATGTTAGAAGCAACAACCGACCGCCCTTAAAACATAAACGTTCAAGTCTTATTATTATAAAAGAACGTAAAAACGTAACAAGCAAGTAATAATTTGCACAAACTGTTGGTGTTTATATTTTTAAAAACAATGAGTATGAGCTGTCATTACATTACTATATTTCTCATTAACAATCATTAACCAAAATTGTTAGAAAACATTTTTCGTTAAGCAATTAAGCAGTGCTGATCTGAGGATCTGAGGGTAATTGAGATTTGTTTAAAAATTCAATTAATCTAGAATACATCGCCGTTTCAAACAGTTGGACAAAAGACTAATTGGTTGATTGTTATCTATCAATTTTTATTTAATTGAAGCTAATTTAAGCTGCTATAGAAAAACAGGGCGCTCCAATTAATTATTTGTTATATAACAGAAAACTTAAGGTATTTTTGGTATCAGTAATTTAACTAAAGTACGTGGAGTTTGGTCATATCTCTGCTATGTTTGTTATTTAGTTTTACTGAAGTTTCCTGTAACCTAACTGGTAAAATTAAATTGAAATTAGGTATTATGAGATACTTATGAAATAGCTATAAGCTATAGCATACCCACAAAATCTCTCTCAAAGTTGCATTTAAAATAATCTGTATAGTTATAGAAACATTCCTTTATTAAAATATTTTTTGGAGTTGTTGGTATTTAATTATACAATTTAAAACCAATAAAGTTAATGGACTATTGAGTTTTGTTTACACAATGATAGGGAAGCCACGGATCATTTTTATGTCTGTGAATGTCGGAATTAATTACTTTTTTTTATTATGCACATACATTATACACTATTCACTAAGAATCAAGTATTGAATTTCAAGAAAACTAGTCGTACTCGCAAGTCCATCATAATTCATTCTTGGCCACTTTTTGCAGTAACTAGAAAATATATAGGGTGGGTCCAAAAGTCGATGTTGATACCAAGTTTACTTTTTTTAAACTTAACACAATTATTTTCTATTTACTTTTTGACCCACCCTGTATGTGTTATCCAGTACCTGATTTTTAAATGAATTTGTTCCATATTTTAGATGTTCGCTGTATAACATACTATATAACAACAATGTTGCTTAGGTTGTTTTGTATTAACTGTTGTACGTAAGTTGGCAAAAATGTACCCAAGAACTAAAGTGTCGGTAATATAAAAACGTTTATCTTCACTATAGGGATATAAATATGAATACCCGTTGCTGTGAAAAATGGAAATCGTTGAACTCCTTTAAAATTAATTAATATCTGAAAGCTGGATTTGGGGTTCGCTGCGATTTTGATCTTTCACGGCAAAAAGGATTAGCCGAATATTTGCCGAAAATTTTTCTTTTAGCGGAGAACCGTCGCAATCAGTCGCCAAAGACGAAAATCCTAGGTATGCTTTACAATATCACCTATTTTTATCCATGTACTTATCATAAAATGGGTTTCCATTGTAGTCCCACTGATAGCTAATATTTACGTGTACGAACATAATTATGTTGTAATGGCCACTTGGATGAATGGTGGATAAAAATTCACTTGAAAACAGCCCCATTTTCGACACTGAGGAAAAAAGTTATGACTACCAAAAAATGTTTTTTTCCGATAAAAAACACTCAATTTCTTAAATAGAACACCCTGCATTTAGCACTTTTATTGGGTTTGGAATTTGATTCTGTGTCATTCTTCTTACAAAAATTGGCAGTTTAAACGCAACAACTCCTGTATTTTATTTTAAACCTAACTAAAGCTATATAATATCCGATTCTAAGTTTTTCTTAAACATTAATTACTTAAATTCAATAATATAAAATCAACAAGTACTGCAAATTCAATTTCTGCAATAGCATTTCTAACCGCGTCTGTTGCATTAAGTCTTCCGATCTCTTGCCGAATTTTGTTCTGAAGTTCCATAAAAATTGGGGTGTCAAGTCGGGGCCCTTCGCTAGCCAATCCATAGCCCCGTGGAAAACTTTGATTTAAACAATTTCTCACGAGCACCGTGATATGATATGCCGCACTACCTATCTATTTTTTCTTTTTTAAAACGTTGGTGACAACTTAATATTAAATAAAAACTGTTCGTTTCTGTCCATTATTTCTTTTTTTTACATGGATATCTTGGAAAAATTTGAAATTGAAACCATAGTTCATGTTTACAGGGGCTAGAAAACGTTTTGTAATTAGTAATATTAATAGTAATATTTACTTGCATTACTGGTTGATTTTACATTGAATTTAAGTAATTAATGTTTAAAAAATACTTAGTTAAAATAGGGTATTACATTTATCTAATTAGATTTAAAATAAAATACACGATGTGTTTCAGAAAATTGGCTATAACTTCAAAACTACCAATGTTTGTAATAAAATCTATGTGTACGAAATAATTCATAATAAAACCACAAAAATAATTTACTTGATGCTCATTTGTGACTACCCTGTATAATATATTTTCGCCATTAAAGTTAAGCATTAAATATTAACCACTTCCATGGATCCATAATAAAAATTCCCCAAAATGGAAAAGTTCGTTTTTCTAAAAAACTAATCAAAAGTTTTTGTGCTGACAAAAAATACTCAAAATGTTGGTTACTGTCCTGGCAAAACGGAACACCCTGTATACATAAAAATACCATACGTAGGGTCAAATACTTTTTGAATTTATTTTTTTCCTCGGTGTCGTACTTATTGAGATAAGGTATAGAGCATCCTAAATAAATCGCACAGCTATCAAATAAACCCGTAAAACTATATAAATGAGGCAATATTTCAGCTAGGTAATCAACATGAACAAATATTTGTAATGTCGCAATAAAAAATTTGGTATGTGCAGTTAATATGTGGTGTCAACAGTAACAACCTCTCACACTTAAAAATGATAATCCTATTTTACAATATAAAAAAATATTGAAAGAAATAGAAGTTATGTGGAACTTTTTAAAAAATTCCTGAAAGTTTAATCTTTTTGTGTTAAAAAATATACAGAAGCTATACAGAATTTTGATGCTGAGGCTTCTATTGAAGCCTTGGTCACTACTAAAAAGAAAAGACTATTATTTCACGTCTGATCAAGAAAAAAATGTTCTTCTACTCCATTTAGTACTGCTTTAGCGCTCCCGAGACGAAAAACTCTGCAGATATGCTTTTCATAAGCCAAATTCACATCCTTACGCAGCAGATTTCTACCTATTGAAGGCTTACTGTTCTCTGAAAACAAGCAATAACAAAAATCTGTGTAAGTTGATTTTGTTTTAACATAATGGAAGATTCTTACTAATGTTTCTAGACATCCTGGATGGTACAGCTTGACCATTTCCAGGTTCTTTCTTGTAATCATTAAACAATCTTGGCCATTCCAGTCATTCTGAGAATTATCTCAGCTTCTTTTCACTGAAAAGGATGTCGTTGATTTACCTGCCATTTTGCTAATATGGTTATTACTGGATTAACGGCAGTAATACGTCATTAATTTCTTAGGTATATATTGCCCAAATTATATAGTTTTATAGGTTATATTAGAAACACATTTGGTCAAAAGTAACCTTACAAACTGACAAGAAACGACACAGTCACTCTCAAAAGCAGGGCACCAATCTACCTATATGTTATGCAAATTCCATTCTACTATTCGTGTCTCATGTTCAACTTCACTCTGTCAATTTAACATCGCTACCTTACTTTCAGGGGGGACCATACTGAAGTAGTCGAAATCGATTACGACCCAAAAATCATCAGCTTTGAGGATCTGCTAGAGCTATTCTGGAACAATCACGAATACGGGTTCACAACAGTAATTAAGAGACAGGTATTTTGAAATGTGCTAGCCATTAAAATGGCGCGAAACGTACGCTCTACAGCGCAAGGGTGAAATTTATTTATTCAAATTTCATTTACAGTACATGTCCCTAATTTTATACCATGACGAAGAACAAAAAAGAGTATCCGAACTATCGATTAAAATAGAAGCGGGCAAGAGGAATGACAAGGTGTTAACAGAATTGGCCCCTGCAGGACCATTCTACCAGGCGGAAGAGTAAGTAACACAACTTTTAAGCGAATGTAAAAGTGACTGCAAATAATTTGTTTTCATATGTTGGGCTCCTGTCAATTGTTCTTTCCAAATTGTGCAAAACTCTTCTGGGCTTGTTTTACAATGAAATTTTCTTTGAATATACGGCAAAATGTTGGCAATGTTTAAACTAAAAGAATTTCAAAAGAAATTACATAATCAAATGTAAACAGAACTAATTCCAAAGACTACTCGTTTAGGTTGGAGGCACTCAACTGTCAGCACTAGTGATTGGTGTTTTGTTGTAAACTAAACATACGTTGCATCCCAAATCTCAATGCTGCCTAACTCCGTGCGTATTTTTGTGTTCTTCCAGTCATCCGTTTAGACGACATGAAACGCGGCAGTTGTCACTCTTCATTCTGAGGTCTGATTTTGGCTAAGGTACTTCAAATAAGGGCAATGGAAGTTTTATTCCTAGAGGTGTTAACTTAAGCCTAGTGCGACATTGGATAAATTGTTATTACAAGGTGACTTGTATTCTTCGAATCCTCGAACTAAGCTGTTAATGCATTTAGAAACCGCTTATTGAAAACCTTCACATTTATAGAAAGAAAGTCACCGGAATATGACGAACTTCGTCCTCTAAAAGCCCCAAATCCCCATCAATTCAAAATCTCCAAAATGCTACATCAGCACTATTTAAAAATCTTCTGATGATCCTGTTGGATTCTTCAGTCCTTAACTGAATCTGAGGAGAAATCCAGAATATCCAGAATGGTAAATAGTATTACAGTAGCCCCTGGAAATTTCTGTGAAAAATGATACATCAGTACTCAACATAAACACGTGGAAAGGGTGTCGATCTTCGAACTAGTCTTCGCCTAAATTGCGAATATCCTAGGTCGGTTGATGAATCGAAATATCTGTAACTGCTTATATATTGTGTGAAGGGAGCGGAGCTAAAGGACGTGAAGATTGTCTCGGATAACTGACTCCCATATTGGTTGCTTATAGATTACTATAGATTCTCGATTTTTGTGAGTGGTGATAAAGAAGAACAACAGTGGCATGTTGCTTTCGGACTACTTGTCTTTGGAAGGTTGTGGTGAAGTGTATTTTGTGATGGAACATTTAATATCTCTAATATGGCAATTATCATAGGGAAGAGCAGATGTAAGAATCCCTACGAGATCCAAGTTCATAGCTTTTACATGTCTATTTATATGTACAAAGAGAGTATTAACCTTCAGCCGTATTGAGCAATAAAACATCTGTAGTGAGTTTACTTTAGGTCAACATTCGCAAAATAAACCTTCATCAGATTTAAGCACCGATTTGAGTTGACGTTTGATTAAGGTATTCACAATGTGTTTTTCAGTTGAGATTTTTATAAATATTTATAATAGGAAATTTTATATTTGCCGTAAAAGGACCTTTTCGCTTTCCAATTCAATTTTTAATTTTTTACACTGTTTTGCCCATGATGAAATCCCATAAGCATCGAGTTTGATATAGAGAGCGATGACGTGACTAACTATTAACCATCCGCAAAAGCCGTAAATAGAGTATTAGGATATACGGGGAGTGTTCAAAAAGTAAGGTGACTTTCAATCTTCTCTTTTTTGTTATATTGGTACACATGTCCTACCATACAAAGAATTTGCATAAAATTTTGTGCAAAAATACAGTGCTGCAAAACAACTTTAAAAAAAGTGGTATAGGCTGTTCCAAGATGGCCGAGAAGCGACTCTGGACGCCCCAGTACGTCAATAACTCATGAAAGCGTGGAAGAAGTGAGACAAATGGTGTCTAAAAATCGTCGAATCACTATTAGAGATGTAGTTGAAGACGTCGGCATCTCTATCGGCTCGGGCGATGCATTTTTTTTTATATGCTCAAAAAGGTAATAACTGGTGGAAAATCTTGGGTGTATGGTTCCGACTTCGGAACGAAAGCTCAATCGTCCCAATGAAAGTATCAATATAAATATAATATAAATAGCAACAAGACAAAACAACAACTTAGATAACAAGCTTTTTAAATAACCATATAAACCATACAAAAACACAGCAACAGCAAGAAACAGTAAACAAAAAGTATCACACTACACTCAACCACCTGTTTCAATTTTGTCTTAAGTTGTCGAAGACCGCCAGCAAAGGGATGAAGCGAGCAACTGTTAAATAACCTCAAGGTTCGAGTTAAAGGTAGTACTGCCAATAAAGAGCATTACCTTGCTAGAGGCAATACGAAGAAAACCTCCGAGGCGATTCATGGATTTTGCATCACTATAAAGCTCCTGACAAGTTTTTGACCAGACACGAAACTACAGTCATGCCTCGGCCACAATATTCAACGGATATGGTCCTCTGCGACTTTTTCCTGATCTCAGAAACCCATGAAAGGAAGGAAGTTTGGAACGATTGGGGAGATACAGAAAAAATCGCTGGAAGAACTCAATACTATACCAGAAAGTGCTTAACAGAAGTGCATCGAGGATTGGAAATAACTTTGGCACAAGTGTATTATATCTGGAAGGGAACAATATTAATTTTGATTAATAAATAAGTACTTTTTGATAAAACTTAAAAGTTACCTTTGCTAGAGGCAATACCAAGAAAACCTCCGAGACAATTCATGGATTTTGCATCACTATAAAGCAACTGACAAGTTTTTGACCAAAAACAAAACCACAGTCATGCATCGGCTACGATATTCACCGGATATGGCCCCCTGCGACTTTTTCCTGATCCTAGAAACCTGTGAAAGGAAGGAAGTTTGGAACGATTGGGGAGATAAAGAAAAAATCGCTGGAAAAACTCAAGACTATACCAGAAAGTGCTTAACATAAGTGCATCGAGGATTGGAAAAAACGTTGGCACAAGTGTATTATATTTGGAAGGGAGCAATATTAATTTTGTTAAATAAATAAGAACTTTTTGATAAAACTTAAAAGTTACCTTGCTTTTTGAAGAAGAAGAAGAAGACGTGTAGTGTAAAATTAGTTAATAAATAAGATAAAGAATATCGGACATAAAGAATAAACAAAATATAAAAAAATTTAGTTCTTGCATCCCTGTATTTTTTTGTTTAATAATTGTAATAATTGTAAAAGTACATGGTTTAAGATCGAATATGGCCTAAACTAGCCCTTATTACTGCCTCTGTATACCTCTGGAGTTCCTCCATTTCTTCCGATATTCGAAAAAGAATATTTTGATGTTGGTCTATGGGTCCAAATGGTCTTCTATGTTACAAGATATGTCTCCCCGGAGCATAGGTATACATCTATCTGAGGCATATGAATCTGGACTCATCTATAAAGAAGACATGGTGACTCCCTAACAAATTATCACGGTGTTGCCTAATTAACCGCTGACCATTTGCGAGTAGCATGAGAAATATATCGTGTTCTCAAAGAAGATATCTTACAGTTTGAAAGGGAACGTTAACGTTTTGCCCTTTTGAGAGTTCGGCTTATAACCTCCACGCTCTCCATTGGCCGTAAGATATGAAACCACCTTGTACTTTCCTTTAGAGATGCTACTTTGGTGGACATTCAGCAAGTTTGCCAGGTACATTCAAGAAGAGCGACTGCTCTAATGGCCTTTTTAGCAGTTTCATGACGGATTTGGAACTTTACTTTCCACTTTTCAAATTTACTTATTATGATCGACCTAATCCAACGCCCTGCTTCCAAAAGTGTACTTTTACCATTTTTAAATCAACAACAAACGATTGAAACTGAATTTTGCTTTCAGCTACCATCAGAAATATCGGTTACAAAAGCATCAATGGATTTTGGAGGAGTTGGGCATAACACCCGACTTGTTGCAAAAGTCCACCGTCGCCACCAAACTAAACGGGTACATCGCGGGGGTTGGAACCCCGAAAAACTTCGAAGAAGACGTCAAATCGCTAGGCATTCCAGATAAAATCGCCAGTTTCGTGAAGATTCAGCTACTCGAAAATGAAGGGGGAAGCCTTTACTGCTGACGAGCGAACAAAGATTTGTGGCACATAATGGGGATAATCGAATCCGTTAATTTCGATCAACAAAGTCGATTTCGAACAATATGTTGGGCCAAACTTAATATTCCCCCTTCAAGCGGTAATAAATAGTTGAATTATTATATTGTAGTTTTCTTGGACATTGGGAATTGATCGGTCGATCATTGTAAAATTGTAATTAGTATTTTTCCCAACAAAATCATACGAATATGACAAAACAACTTTAATTTTTCAGCCACTGGCTACTGTACCGCAATTTACACATCTTCCGGAAGTGACATGGTTAGTTTCGACTTCTCCTCTTTATCAAAGTCCCCAAAACTCTGAACATTATTTCAGGTATATTAAAATCCAAGAATCCGGAATCAAACCCTCTCATCTTAATTGAAACATGCTTATCTGAAACATTTTTTTGTTGTAACTGACAAATTTATGGACAAATGTCAGGAACAACTATGGGTTCTTTATTATCACCACTCATGGCTAATATTTTTATGAAAGCTTTTAACAAGAAAACCCTCATCACTTTCCAGTTAAAACCAAAACTATGAAAACGCTACGTTGATGATACTTGTTATTTGGCCTCGTGGTCAAGAACCCCTTCGAGATTTTCTTTTAAATTTAACCTCTATTTTCGTGAACATACGTTTTACCATTCTACTAGAAACTAATAATCATCTTAAATTCTTAGATAGTCGGCTACCAACTCTCTTGTCTACAGAGCGGGAAAACCGTCTCTACAATAACTTCCATTACAACATACATTTCACCACAACCTCTCAAAGAAACCCCATACTTGCCACTGTGGTCGTTCCTTAAATCGAATACATTAAATTCCAACTAACCAAAAGTCTCTCAACATCAGTACCACTAATATACAGCATTCTATGCATATGCACCGCGAAATAGATTGGAGAAACAAATAAACTATTCAGCAGCAAATACCAGAATCCATAGAAGTCTCTAAACAATCAATCTTCACCGCTACTCAGGTTTCATCTTTCACCAATGTGGGAATCAGTCAACCGAAACAATGTGCATGTCGCTTCTTTAGCTCCTCAAACAGCATACAGTGTCCTATTAGACGTTTAAGGAGAACGGCTTACTGTATAAACCTGACATGTATATTATCAAATGTTTAGATTCAGCAAAATATTATGCAACTTTTTTGTTTGACATGTACCATACGTATCTTTAACATTTTCGGAGATAAAGATAAAAACTACTTTTAAGAAATTTAACAACAAAAAAAACGAAATAAAATAATACTTTTTTCGCAAACCGTACAGCTAAACAATTGACTTTTTGATTGATAAGGCCCAAAATAACGGACATGTAAAAGTTGCAGTTATTTGAGAAAGTAAGATCGCACATAATTATGCAAACGTTGTATCTTAGAAAGATAGGTTTACGAATGAATACAAATTTTAGCACGGATCAGCACAAAGTGAATGTAGCATGTTGAAAGGTAATATAATAATATAAAGACCATTACAAGTTTACATTATAAATATGGTGTTCTATGTCGCATTACGTCCTAGACAATATTTTTGCACCCTGCATTTAAAAATAGGAGTAACAAAAAATATCGATATCAAGAAAGCAGTTATAAGAATTAAATATATTTTGTAATCTAGTGATCGGAGAATTGTTTCCTATGTTGGTTGGGTAGTGGTCGACATCAAATAGCGCCCTATCTCTTGCGTTCTGCCTTGGTATTGGTAGGTTAATCTTTGATAAGAGCTAAGGAGAGTCAACTTGATTGTTTAAAATTTTGTGGAGCATTAACAGATCTGTTTGCGTCCTTTTGTTTTGGGGAGTTTAAATTTTGATCCAGTTGTGGTTTTCACCGTTAGTGTTAGACGCAAGATATCTTAAAAATCTGTTTTGTACTCGTTCCAAACGCTTGATATGGATGTTGTAATTAGGATTACAAATAACTGAAGGGAACCGATGTTTACCATGAACAAACGCATAGTACAGTGCAAGAAGAGATTTGGGGTTTTTAAAATCTATACCATATGAGTTTTAAAAGTCCAGCGTGACCCCCCGATGTCTAATCTTCCCCACCCGCTCTAAGTTGGTGTTATTAATATTGTATGTGGAGTTTATTTTATTTACATTTTTGGTGAAGAATATGCTACAATATTTGGCGGGATTCAAGAAGATTACTATTTTGACAGTATTGTTCCAAGCGCAGATATTTTCAAGTCGTCCGCGAAGAGTAGTATTTTAAAATGTCTGAAACATTTTTGTATTGAATTAATATATATTGTAAAAAACAAAGGACCAAGATGACTGCCCTGTGGTACAACGGACGTGACGTCAAAAAACTCCGATTTATATCCATCGACTGTCACTCTTCCAACCTCGCAACCTAACCATTTCGACCTCTGCAAGCCTAGTCGACGATAGTTGGTAGTCTATCTTGTCGAATACCTTATTAAAGTCGGTGTAGACTACGTCAATCTGTTCTTTACTGTCAATTGTCCTTGTAACAAATTCAGAGACACTCAGTAAGTTTGTCTCGAGAGACCTCTTTGAAAAAAACCATGTTCTAGGATTATTTTCTATTTTATACCGGGAAAATACTGTCATACATGAGTTTCTCCAGGATTTTGTTAGTTTTTAACATCATCTCCATCGTCGCTTTTAAAAATTGGAGTAATTTCACACTTTAGACCTACGCAAGTGACTTATTAAATATAATTTACACACTTTTAAAAGAATGCGCAAACGCTTTGGCAACCTTTTTGCTGGCCCTTGCAAAAGTTTGGTTGTGCCTTACTGTGTAGGGATCGACACATTGTTTTTTCTTTTACGTCCAACAAAATTCCATTTTTTTTTCAGTTTTCCAAAATTTTCGTCTCTATGCTTATATCCTTATACATATCGTAGTCGTATGTGATCATTTGCTTTGATACGGTTCGAAATCGATAATACGTAGCTTGGTTGCGATATATTTTATATTTTTAATGAAGTTTGTTTTTTTCTTTTATCACTGAGTTGTTTCAAAACTAAAATGGACAAGAAAATTGGCTAGTTCAGTGATTCTGTCTATTATGTTGTAAAACTGATCTCTCATTGAATCCACGTGATCAGCTATCAGAGTCCGATTCCAGTCTATTTCTGATAGGTAGATATTTATATCGTCAAAATTAGCTTTATTAAAATAATGTGAAATTTTGTTACAGTATCTCCGTTGCAAAGAATTACATTAAATGTCCTGCTAGTATTATTTTTTACATGATTGTATTACATTAATCCGAGATATGAAAATGTGTCGATTATTTTTGAAAATTTGTTCCCGAACAGGACAGAACCCTCAAGTAAAATTTTTTCATGTTTGGCCAAACCATCAACAGATGACTGCGCTCCCTGCCTAAATCTTCAGAGCTCTAGTTCCTCTTGTCGGATGGACTGAAGTGTTGTCTTGACAGCAATTAAGCAACCTCCTCCGTCTTTTTTATTGACCTTGTATACCAAATAGTTGTATGTTTCAGTTAAACAGATCACGTCATAATCATGTTGAACTCGGTTATATGTTACTTTTATCCCATGTCGCTTATTGCAGTATGAGTTCATAACGTTCGTCTACTTCTTGTATTTACGATGCATATACGGGTGTGTATTTTGTTGACAATTATGGTGTTGGTGCTCTTGTTCTTGTCGTTACACGGAATAGCGCAAATTGCGAATGTCGCTACTCTAATATAGACAGTTTATTATTATTATTAGGAAAATCTGTAGAGCTCCTTTTTATTTCTCTACACTCAAACGACTATAGTTAATCTAGGTACTCGGACCATGATGACTAAATGACTAAAATTTACAAGTTCTAGTTTATCTATATTCATATTATTCTTACTTCTATATAAGTTTTTATTCACTTGATCTTTGAATAATTAATACCTCCTTTCATATGCATTTATTTAATACTTTCATTCACCAAATGCAATATAACCTTATAAGTTGTCTAGCCTTTTTAGTGACTTCTGTCATTGCAAATTTACATACTTTACTATCGGATTATTAACTTTTACATTATTGTTAGTTCATTATATTTTTCCCAAACGGCTATAATAGGCCAACTGACAATAAAATAACTCGTTTGATATTGGCGAGTTTCACACCGGATTTACAGGATTACAGGATTACGTGACTCACTTTTTGATCAATATGAGATGAATATTAGTAAACCAATTTTAATCTTTTAATCGATTATCCGTTGACTCATCATCCGAAACAAGTCAGATTATCAGCCTGATTAAAAACGAGCTTTGTCTTTGATATGAGAACTTTCACCAGAAGAAGGTGGGATATCTTTTTTCCAAAATGTGGTAAACGATCCTATTTCGATGGTCAATATTTAATCCTTCTGAGCAGCCTAATAATAATAGTAATGATAATTTCATGTAACAAGATTTAAGAAAACAGCACCAACACCATAGTTGTCACCAAAATATACACCTGCATATACATCATAAATCTAAGAAATAGATATACATCATAAACTCATACCCTCGTACCTACACATTGGCATCATTAACGCATGTTTGAATGACCTTGAGGCGATGTGGGGGGGGGGATGTTATAGTTGCCGAACTGTGCCTAGGATCGCAAACAATAACGAGTGTCTCTATTATCATTCATCATTTCCTCTGCAAAATTTATCAAACAAATCATCTTTAAGCAATCTAGTAAGTAATAACTAATAACTAACCAAATAAGTTTTTATAATTAAAACGTAACATTAAATATTACAAGCGTAACTTTTAACAGAGAATATCTTACATGGCCATCTAAAAGTACGTAATTTTAAAATATTAAAAGTTTTATTTTTCTAAAAATATTAATTAAGTTAATTATTTTTTGTTTTGTATATTAAGTTTAAAATAAAATAAATACACCTTATTAAATTTGAAACTTTTTTAATATAAATAAAAGACCATGCATGAGCCCTAAACTGCATAAGGTATTCTTCATGTTTGCATATATATACAAATATAAATACACGTATAAAAAACTTTTGAGTTTCTATGAACATATGCATAATCGTAAAATCCAATTAAATTTATTTTATATCCACAAACAAAACACTTGAA